TTCCCACATTATTTTATTCCATAAAGGAAGCAATATTAGACATGTTTGTAAAACCTTACCGCGGAACTGCAAGTTAATAATCTAACCACGAATAGTCCGATTCTGTTGCCGCTAGACGTGTTGTATGACCTGCGGTTGGGAAGGAATTCTCCGACTGTTTTTTTGGTTTTGAAGATTTTTTGTTATTTTTAATTGTATTCTTTCGGATCTATGATGTAAAACGTTTATTTTACATCTTCAGTAATCATTTCCTGCATTGACAAAAATGTAGGTGAAGCTCGCCCACTTTTGCATGCATTTCCTCTGGCCTTCAAATAAGGTTCCACCGTATGATGATAAAAGGCAAGTTTAAGTTTTTATGTGTCATTTTGCAGACGTCGCGAGTATAAGCGTCATCATACTATCATTGTAAAATTGCAGTTGCGTCGAACACAATGGTGGCTTATTTTCCTCAATGGCTTTCGCATTGTTATAAACGGTGCTATTGTAAGAGGGCTGTATTTGTCTGATGTCTGTTCTAATTAAGCGTATTTCAAAAATCTGCAATTACCTTTACCCACCTTTCATTATTCTTATAAAAATATTATAAATTCTTTTAATCCTATCACCAGTGCTCTGCATACTTCTGCGATTATTTATCAGTGAAATAGCTGAATCAGACACCCTAAATAAATACATCAAACTTTTGAAGCTCTCACCAGTTGCCAAGTATCTTAGTGTTATAGCTAGTCTTGTCGTAGTTGATATCGCTGTTCGCATGTTGGTATCCTGCTTTCGAATATTCGGTCCAATTCGATTTAGTAAAAATTCAAAATCCGTTTTATCCATTCTCGTAAAGTTTTTGAATAAATAATTGTCGAGAGATAACTCTTCACTTAGATTTTGTAAAGTAAGCCTTTTACTTATAAGGCCTAACCCACAACTTTTTTCTTTTTTTAGTGTTCGGTTTCTTTTTAACACAATAATAGCAGCCGCAATAAGCACTAGATCATCCATGGTGATAAAGCAACTATTTGTGTGAATGTTGTCTAGTGTAAATGCAAATTTGCTATGGCCATATGTTGCAGAACGATGTCCGGACATACTCGTCCAGAATATGGCCTGGCAATATGTAAAAATTCAGTTGCTGGGCCATGCTGCCCGGCTACATAACCCGGCAATGTTTTCAAAAATCTGCATTTTCTATGGCCCGTGTAGACGACCTATTAGGATATGAATGTTAATTAATCAACGGAGGTGTAAAATAAATAGCCGAGTGACAATTAGCATAATTGCGATTGTCTATAGTGGTCTCAGTATTGGAAAGTGCAGCATAGACACTCTCAGAGTTAATGCACTGTTCATAAACTGCGCGTCTAAGTTTAGGATTCTCAACATTTCTATATGCTAAGTTTCGGTAAGGTAAGGCGTTTCCAAGATTCCCCAAGAATTACTCCACATCTATGAGAATGTTCATTTGAATTTCTGTTCAAGATGAAATATATTTTTTAGCGATTTAAACAGTTTGGGATTCCAAGATTATATTAGTAAAGCTTAGAAACCAGTATAAAAATGTTATAAGTTCCTAAAGGACACTGATAAAAATGGTATTTTCATACAGTATGACCGTCAAGCTGAAAAGACGTTTGATAGCGTTAAAGAATATTTTTTTTATTGAAATGACGTTTTTATCAGTTATAATCGCCAGTAATTTTAAACTATTTTTCTTATAAAGTCTCATTATCATATCGATATTTAAATAAATTCTTATAGCTGAAGTAGTAGACTTCCCGAAAATGTTGTTTATGTGCTTTTACAATAATTAATACCTATATTTTTAATTTTTTTTAAAGCAAATCCGGTCTTATTAGATGAAATACTATTTTGACGAGTAATATTATTTTATTTTTATTCTGTTCACGCTCTCCACGGTTCAAACTAAAGGCCGTCTGTCACGATACGAAGCTCTATATATACTTCATAATTCTGTATCAAATTTGGAAAAAATGTGTTACCGAATCTAGTTATAAAATTTTATGAATTATGAATCCTGTCTGCCAACGAAATACAAATAAATTTCGTATGAAATCATGCGCATCATCTGGTAAAAACATACTATATTTTTATCAATTTCGAACTGTCATTTATCATATTGTCAAATACCTATTCTAGCCACACCGTTCGTTTTCGTTTCGGACAATTTTTTCTTTTTAGTTTGTTCGTCAGCTCAACGGTTTCCAGTTAACACTGCTGCTACGTATTGCCCAGCCCAAGTCTAAACCCGGTTTTCAAAGGAGCATTGACGTCTCTAGCGGCCACCGTACAGTGAAATTGCGACTTTTAATATTAAAAATCATTTAGAATATGTAGGTTGTAAAAATTTTTGCACTAAATTTGTTCATACAACATTAAGTACTAAACGCTGTCGGCCTCTATTCTTAATTTTGTAGAAAATTTAGAGTACTAAATTCAGTACATAATTTGGTATCGTGACAGACGGTTTTAAGTTCATTCAACTTACCCTAAGTTCTGTCGACGAGTTTATTTTGCGGGGGCATCAGACATGCATTTTTCTTGTTTCCATCCGAAAGCGAGCGCCGTTTTCTTCCCATTTTCTAACGACAATATCTCGAAAAAAAAATCCTCTTCCTATGCCCACGGTATCGATGCCGCTTGTGAGATGTATAATTGTAGCACTTGTTGCCGGTGTACAATACGCAATAATCGTAAATCATAACTAGCATATCTAATGTGAATACAGCAGTGCAATTGTTTTTGAAATCACGTTGATTTTTTGGTCGAATTTCTCTGACCCGAAGAGCTCGACACATGTTGCAAAACGCTGTCAAGCGCAATCGTATCGTATGGCTGACGCTGCGTAAATGTCCGCGGGAACACGTTTTAACTCTTTGCGGTCTACTGTACAGTCAAACCTAAGAATATTTAATTTAATATTGTTTTCATTTTGATTAGAATTATTTAGTCCAATTTTGATGTGACTTGTGTTTTAATTTATTTTATTGTTAACAAATATCATTACGCAATACAAATTATCACTGCCTGCGTGTACGCAGGTGAAAACCATTCTGAAACAGGACGACACTCCCCAATGAGCACTTGATGGGTACTGACCAAGTCGCTCATGTATGATCATGCAAATGGAAACCTTGCCTTGGAAGGTACGAGATGCGGTGTTACCAAGCGAACCAATGATGCAATGTTACAGAATTTGTGGCGATCCTGACCTTACATTTAGACCTAAAATTAATTAAGAAATCTCATTTGAAAAAAGTTACCCAATACTCTAATACACATTAATGAATGCTAGTACTAATTCAATATATGGAATATAAAATGAAAGATTCCATAATAAAAAGATACACCTGGCCGCAAAGGGTTAGTCTTAACGTCGGCGATTCCGCTGCTGTGTCGTATTGTATATGCTGTATCGTAACTAGCTGTTCATGGTTATGGCCAAAAGGAAGAAAGTGAATGCTGTACACCGGGGAATGTGGGATGTTGGATGTGGATGCCATTTGAAATATTCGCGATCGTGTGCGTCTGGTTTCATTCATGCAGAAGGTTGAGTGTACGGTGGGCTGGGTAGTGTCTGCGGATTCGCAAGGCATTTCCGTTGTCTTGAGATGTTATTGGGCCGGGATAGGTGAGACAACCAAAAGATACAAGGAATCGTTAGTGCCCTGTGTAAGCATTCAGCACTCACGAAAAATATTTCCATTAAATTCCTATAAACATTCTGAACCGGCTAAAATTTGGTATGGTGGAGGTTAATAGTAGTAAAAACAAAAATTAATCCTTACTCTACATAAACCAGTTGACCTTCAAAAACTATATCTTTCTTTGTATCTTAAAAAATATTTGAATTTCTGGCTAAGGAAATTTATATGATACTATTTTAAAATACTTATCTCAGTTTTTGGAAGATGCAGAAATAATGATAATGGTGAAGAACTGATGCATTTAAATAAAAAAACAAATATGCAAATGACTCGGAAAACATATTATTTTCGGCACTATTAATATTTTATGCTTATTTCATTTCATCTTATAAGATTTGTTTTCCCATATCACTTTGTTTATTTCAGGATATATCTCTGAATATAACGTATAAAATAAATAAGGCATATTCCGTTTATCTTCCATACCGAATCGCATTATTATCTGTGAAAAACCAATTCTTTTTCACTGACATTGTTTTATGTTTAGGGGTGTTTACATCAATGGACAAATTTATGGGCTATCTCTTATTACACAGTGCTGCCAACCCCAACCACTCAACAATTTTTCATCTCATGAACGGAAACCATATTGTTGAATACTGTAGTTCTATCAAAGTTTTATACTTGAATTGAAAAGTTGATCAATATAATGGAAAAAAGAACAAGGTTGGCACCATGGAATTTGACGTCTAACTAGGCAAAAATTAGAACAAGTACTAATTTCGTGAAAAAAATCACGAAGTATTTCATGGATGCATTTGACGTCAAATTCCTGTTTTACGCTTTTGAAATTTGACCATGAATTCAGTTATATTTTTGTAAATTGTAATAAACTTATATGATACTACAATATTTATACATAAAATCGTAATGAACCTGAAATATCAAATAAATGCTCATGGATTGTCAGGTTAGAAAAGTGAACAAACATACTTTATAGCTAAAAAATAACCGATTTGTTGAAATCTGTATACATATATAGAATGGAAGATGGAAAAATGTACTACATGAAGTATGAGTATTTACGATGTTTATTTCAGTTTTTTGATTTCCTGCGGTAGCGTTGAAGACGTTTGAGTGTGGTTTTACGGTTATTGTATTTCGTGTCAGACTGTGCCAAATCAGCTGAGAACAACGGCAATTTAGGTCACACTAGGTCATACAAGCAGATTACCCAAAAATTTCCTATTCTCATGTCATTTCTTATATATATATATATATATGCTCTTTAAACTTTAAAAAGTATTTTAGGTTTAGTGTCATTTTAATTTCGTCTTTCAGAAAGCCAAAAGTTGAGCTGCAAAGAAATCGAACCCGTGGTCCGGTCTGTGGTCGACTCCATCATCGACATGGCGGTGGAGATCATAGAAAAGAACCAGCACCATCTGGAGACGACCATGGAACCTTCAGACGGTCGAATTTTGAGCTGTCTAACGCCAGATTACAAGAGCCGGATCATATGCAACACTAGCGAAACTCTCCCCTCCCTGTATATCCCGAAGATCATTCAGACGCCCTCTACGGACAATTTGATTGATGCAAAGAACTTCGTAGAGGAGTATGAGGAATTTCACGATTCCTGCTCGGAAATGGCAGATTCTGAGGTGGCTATAGGACAGGTAAATGACTGAAGTTCTACTGGTGTGTTCAGGGGAACGATAGCTGAACACGTCAACAAATAACAACTGATGATTCAGTGACATTGAAAATGTTTTTCCTGTCTTACGATCATGCCATTCTTCCTATCTTTGCTGAGGTTCCTGTCATAGTTATCAACGTTTTTCCACACTAGGATGTATGCACAAGGTAGTGTTAATACACCTAGAGAAATAAACTGTTCCTTACAATCGTTTCTGTATGGCGTGTTAGAGATGACCCTGGTGCACCTCTGGGCAGCACACACGTTTGAGTAGCTGGCTGAGTGACTCCACAATAACACCCCATGTCATGTGAGTATGGAAATAGCTGTAGTACGCTTGCCGGAGCATGTCAGAGGAAACAGTTTTGGAGGCTACAGAAGACAACAATGTTTTTTTTTAGTTTAGAAAGTAATTGATATGTGTGTTCATGCCATGAGAGACTGCTACCTAAGTGTAAATCTAACGTATTTAGGTTATGCACAAAGCTATACATTACGATTTTCCCCTTTATTTGCGTTTTCAAAAAATTTGAGAAGCATTACGGGAAATCAGCACCGCACCCGCGTTGTGTGTAATTAAGCCACATCACAGAAAAATTAGGCATGACGCATCAGATACAAAACATTTTCGCACTGCCTCACATCTAGATGCTGATTTGTATCTTCTAATTGACATCTTAAAATAAATTTCTATAAAATTTAAATGACCTGAAATAAAAATTAATGTGAAATGTAATAACTTTTTTACGTTTCATAAATATTTCTGTATCTACCATATTTTCTCACCTGTTTTAATATACTTCACCAACCAGGGATTTTCTTTTCTTATTGCTCTCTTTTTTGAAACCCAGCAAATTTGCATATGTAATTTCCAGATTGAATAAGAAAAAAACGGATACGCAACTAATCTCTAGCTTTGCATACATCTGAAGTAGGTGTATTTGAGACAAGAAACCAATTATCCTCAACATAGATTATTAGCATACTATATATGCACCTATGCACTGCCGATTCCTTCCAACTATAGTATACAACTTACAACTTGTACCTACAATAGCTGAAGCATCATGTTGTACAGCTACGGAACGAGTACACAACAAGTGTGCAACAGATAGTGTGTTGACATCTTGTAGAAAAACCTACATAATGTCACAAAAAAACCTATATAATGCCAAAAAAACTGTCAATGTCACTTTTCAAGATAGTGTAATACCCCTACCGAAGGTGCTACCATGACTAAAAAGAGAGTTAATAGAAAAAACTGACAGTTTTATTTTTGATTCACTCTTGCAAAAGGAAAGCATGACATGTTTGAGTAGGAGAAAGGAATGCTCGTGTATGGGCTGCAATTGCCAAGTGAGAGGTGTACCTCGTACTCCTTTGCACTCCATAGCAATAACAAAGCCTTTCTGTGAGTTGTTTTGCTTAAATTAATTAGGAAATCAATCAACTTAGTTGCTAATGGTCATGACTAGTCCTCAAAGAATTAAATAAAGTTTAATCATTAATTGCTGAAAATAATTCTTTTACATTAATGACTTTCAATAGATTTGCCATTGCCAACAGTACAAAATTAACACAACGAGGCTCTTAATAGATGTCAGAATGTGGTGAGGTATCATGTTGTATATACTGTAGGACCCCATTGAGTTCCTGTACTATTTTGAAGCTCTTACCCTGATTCCAGACATTCATTCCAGGTTATCGATGAGCTTAGCGAAAACGTGGATCGAGCTATAATGGAGAAACAGAATAAAAAGAAGAAGTATAAATCTGTAAAACATGGTGGAGTTACTAGTTTGATACCCATAGAAACTGATTCGAACGCTGAGGATGATACTGAGGTAAGATACTTCAATGCGCATAGTAAATTTAGTAAATATGAATTTAAAATGAGTAATGATGGAACAGATTAATTAGAAGACCGAGACGCATTTCTTATAAGCTACAGTAGTTGTGTGTTTACTATTTCCATTCATTATAGAGTGCAATATAAAATAGAGCGACAGAACTTATGCATTAACAATAACAAAACTTGTAATCACTTTAGCGGTATTCTGCTAAAATAATGACTAATGCTAAACGGATAAATGTTATGTATCTCAGAATAATTTTATCTCCCTGAATTCTGACTTGTATAAACAGAATCTCAGTTCTACTCTGACTGATTTAGTGTAAAGTGGTAAATGTCCAATTTGCAAATTATAGTGTTTAATGATTACTCATTTTCAGTTTTCGGCTCGTTCTTCATTACTAATCTAAATGTGTGTCATAGAAGAGATACTAGTATCATCTGATTTATTTATTGAAAATACATTTAGTGGTTTTTAAAAGGTAAATTGTACAAAAACGTTTGAGAACTGTATTTGGCAAATTTGCATAAAACATAACCCTTTCCCATGTAACCCAGTAAGGGAACACAACTTTTTCCCAAAACCTCACAAAAATGCTAAAATGGATAAAATTTTGGCTTTAGGTCATTAAAATAGTGTTCTTTAGCAAAATAAAAAGTTCCGGAAATTCTAATTTTTTAAAAAACTTTTCGATTTTATTGTTACCGTCTTGAAAATATATATTGGAAAAAATGTTATGACAATTTTTGTAGCTTGATAACTAAGCTACTAAAGTTTTCTCTACGATATTTTCATATCTACGTTACATATACTATCTTCCGTAATTAATCTGATCATTGAAACCAGAAACCTATCGTCGTCTAGTGTCGCTCCTGACGGGTTTAGTTGTAGTCACCGTTCTTGGCGGTTACGTCATCAACGCCATATGAAATAAGTATACAGATCGAGTCTCCGTACCATGAGCGGACATTGCGCAGACTAACCTTTAGCGCATCTGCTACTCTCTCCAGTACGCATGAAGTGGGTAACAGGGGACCGCTGCTTTCATTCTCTTCCTGGATATACTCTAATAAATTTATCACGAGCTGTCGGCCTTCGCCATTGATCGTATTTCCGGGCATTGTACAATTTTATATTGAAGAGTGATAACAGGACAACTCGAATTGCAAGCCGATGGCAAATATGATTTAAGGGCACTGATACGTAACGACATAGTTTTAGAGACGGAGACACACACCTAAAAAACGTATATCTTTGAGCTTACCGAACAAACGTTCACACACAGGGGTAGGTTGCATGTGTTTGTATCAGGGAGATGGAGATATATAAAGGGATACTGGTAGTCTTATGTTGACCCGCCGAGAACGGTGACTACAACTATATACTGTTAATTATGTCGAAATATTATATTAGCCTTGTTCTCGCATCGATTTTCAAACGGTTTGCAACCGTCAAATTTAGTTGGCCAAACAAATAGTGAAAAAAAAATGTCATTCGACTTATGCATCAAACTGAATTGGGTGTTTCCAACTGGACAGCCTTAATTATGGCTACACTTTAATTTGTTTTCTTCAAATGGGTGAATTTTGGTGTTTTTACAACAAGTGGAAAAAGTTGTTAATTTCACGTGAAATCATAATGTATTTTATCGGTTATAAGAGAATAAAAGATACTTTAATAGTGGCTATTAGAAAATAATCTACGGAGCATTTATAAAAATGTATAGAAATTGTAGCAATGTCAATACGAAATACGTCAACAACTGTCATTGTTTATTTGGGGCGACGTTGCTCAACCTTGTATTATTTGCAAAAAAGATCTTCTAAGGAAATGCATAAATAGTTTATCTATGAGTAGTTTTTGCGACAACAGTGAAAAGGGCAAAAACAAAAATGGACAGAAAGAAGCACATTTTAGAGTAAATGAACGGCATTATAAAAATTTAAAGATATTCGATTCTATAAAATATGCAACCATATACACAATGTAGTGTGCAGTTGTAAAGTATGGTTTGTGGATATAAATCTAAAAATATCATTCTTTGACCAAAAATGTTTTATAACATATTCATTAACTGGACATTCAGACACGTCGAGACTAAAATCAGATGGGCAAATGACATTTTCTAGAAGGTATTCGCCCGATATTTAATGAAAATTAGATTTCCTGAACAGTATTGGGTCAGATCTGGGGAAATTCATAAATTGCGTGAATTTTGCATCGTCGCATGATAAAACCATATACAGGATATTTTGTCCTTTATGTAAATTAGAAGAAACTGCATTTTTCCTATACTTCATTATCCATATCAAAATGTTCTAGTTTCACGCATTATACCCACTTTCTGTTACAAAATGTTATAATTTATATGTTTCAAGCATAAACTTGCCCGCAAAACCGATAAAAATCTTCAAACGTAACATTTTATGGGTATGTAGCTTCATATTCTTAACGCTGAAATGCAATAACTTTAGAATCGTCGACTTCCTAAAGAAAGCTTCGACAAATTTCTTCAAGTTACATCGAAACCTATCATCTAACGCCATGAAATTCGAAATCGTCGTGGAGCCATATACTATAATGAAGTCTCCAAGGCCACGACCGTCAGAGATTTGTTGCCAGACATGCCTAATGTCAATCGTTTGAGCTACAGGCAACACCGATTCTTTCCAGGCTGTCCAAAATGACAAAAGGCTGTTGGAAGTGGGCGCGATGTATAACATCCCGAAGAACCTGTTCCAAAGTACGGAGATGACCGAGATCACCGAGCAGACCATCGATGAGCTTCATAGGAACGATGAAAATGCCGAGAACAACCCCGATATGGTCGAACAGCCGGTGGTGGTCAACTTGAATCTGAGCAAGGAGGGGAAAATCGAAGACGACGATGACGTGTACAGACCAATTGCTGTCAGTCCGGATGGCAGGTTCTTCAAATATGAAGAAGAGGTAAGTGTCCTAGAGTTATTAAGCTGAAGCTATCTCTCCCTAATGCTACAAGCTCGGCCATTGTCGGTAATGGGTCAAGTTATCGCGAGGATAAGAGTCACATAACACTGATGTGTCATGTATTGATGTATTTTTATTAGCTGGGACCTTAGTGATTATACGATCTAAGATATCGTTGTCGTTTTATGGTAAAATCATGTTTTGATTTTCTTTTCATAATTTGTGATTCCATTCAGATTGGACGCGGGTCGTTCAAGACAGTATACAGAGGTCTAGATACGCAAACTGGCGTCGCTGTCGCATGGTGCGAGTTACAGGAGAAGAAATTGAACAAGGCTGAGCGACAGAGATTTAGAGAGGAAGCAGAGATGTTGAAAAAGTTGCAGCATCCGAACATAGTCAGATTTTATAATTATTGGGAGTCCTCAGGTAATTTTTTTCTGACTAAGGCTGATTCATGCTTATTTCAGAATGCTCACCAGATACAAGAACTATAGGTATTTTCACGATTTTTGGCCAGTCACAGTCAAGCTACAAGAATTACTTTTATACCTCCATGCTCCTCAAACATACATATACAAACAGATATGCGTTTTCTAGTTTTTACACACCCCTATGAAAATTTTGGTTGTCATGGGCGTGTGATTTGTGTTTGTTAATCGTTGATGTAAAATATAGTGCCTGAAGGTACAACTACAAAGTCGCTGTTCTTTATTAGAAGTATTCTCAGAACATCAGTGCAAAAACTGTCCTCCTTCACCCAGTTTATGTTCGTTATGGATAAGCTTGCATAGTGTGCAATTTCCCATAGGTAAGTTAGGCTAGTCACATGATACTTTTAGTCAGTCTGTTCACATATTTCATATGGCATTGTGACATAACCGCCAAAAACTGTGAAAAGGACTATAGTTGCGTTTTGCGGACAACTGAGTATTCTTATGTTTTTTCCTCTTCTGTAGGTCCAAAAAGGAAAAACATCGTCTTGGTAACCGAGCTAATGTTGAGCGGTACACTGAAGACATACCTGAGGCGCTTCAAGAAAATCAATCCGAAAGTGCTCAAATCGTGGTGCAGGCAGATCCTGAAGGGTCTGGCTTTCCTGCATTCCAGATCTCCACCCATCATACACAGGGACTTGAAATGTGATAATATTTTTATAACAGGAACTACAGGGTCGGTGAAAATAGGAGATCTTGGTTTGGCCACGCTGAAGAACAGGAGCTTTGCCAAGTCGGTAAGTCACACAAATATGTTAGGTATAACATTAAAATAGTGATTAAGGTAAATAGAGAATGGCTAGATGTTTTGAGTACTCTTTTAAGTGTCAAAATGCTAGGTATTTTAAATTTTATTCTTTTTTAGGTTATTGGTACTCCAGAGTTCATGGCGCCCGAAATGTACGAGGAACACTATGATGAAAGCGTCGATGTTTACGCATTTGGCATGTGCATGCTAGAGATGGCTACCAGCGAATATCCTTATTCAGAATGTACTGGTCCTGCGCAGATATACAAGAAAGTCATTTCGGTAAGTTTCTATATTTGAATAGTGTATTATTTTTTTTTTATCTTTCAAGCTCTGATCTTGTTCACCAAAAGCTACAATTTTTTTTCAGGGTGTGAAACCTGCCAGTTTTGATAAAGTTCAAAACCCAGAGGTGAAGGATGTCATAGAGAGCTGTATACGACCAAGAAAAGAGGATAGGCCAAAGGTGAAGGAACTGTTGAGTCACGCCTTTTTCGAAGAAGACGTTGGGTTGAAAGTTGAAGTTGTGTCGGAGGAGGGCAAAAAGATCGTGTTCAGGCTGAGAGTTATAGATCCAAAGAAGAGGACTCATAAACATAAGGAAAATGAGGCGATACAGTTTGAATTTGATCTGGAAACCGATAGATATAATACAATCGCTGAAGAGATGGTAAGTTTTGACCTAACAATAGTTATTTTATATAATTCTGCAAAATATCGCTCGTAAAACTTTCAAAAATCACTCTGTATTTCGAAAGTGAAGGCCTACAAGGATCTATTTAGCAAACACATGTCAATATTTCTGACAATTTAACGTGGACATTGTCATATTGACATAGTCATTTGGACAAAGATGTTGGAAAATAGACTATTCGAAAATGTTCATTACATATGTAAATGAAGTGAGTAAATTATTCGTTTGAAAATGCCCGATACAAAGATTAGGTTGGACTTCCTGTTTTGCGTAAATCAACAATTGTTCTTAACCGTTTCAGAAGTTTTATTGATATTGACGAGTAAGTCTCCACTTTAAAAACAATTTATCACTTGAGAATAACTATTTTTATATACTTCCGACTAAATATTCATTATAGTAATCATGATAAAAAACAAAAATGCAGAGCAGCCTGCCAATTTCTGATGTATCATAAGCTTAGTGACTGTTTTATTCTGTAAATAATTTTATAGGCCAAATCCGGCATCATCTTCGAAGATGACGCCAAGACGGTCGCACAGCTGTTGAAGACGCAGATCACACAGATCACCAAAGAGCGCGAGAAGAAGAGCAAAGAAGAAGAGGCGTTAGCTCAACAGTTGCAGTATCAACAATACTTGCAACAGCAAGTTGAACAACAGATCTCACAGCAACAGCAGCAGCAAGCGCAGGCTCAACAGCAAGCGGCTCAGGCTCAACAGCAGGCTCAGCAGCAAGCTGCTGCTCAACAGGTGGCGTCCCAACAAGCGCAAACTGTCCCCCAACCCCAACAGGTAACACGTTTTTAGCATTCCTTAGCAGCTCTTAATAATAATCCATTTGATTTTTGTAGGTTCAACCGCCCCCTCAACAGACTCAGTACCAACAGCAACCTCAGTCTCAACAGCAGCAGCAGTATACTCAACAGCAGTCCTATCCTGGTCAACAGCAGCAACAGCAGAATTATCAACCGCAGAGTCAGCAACAGGTATTGCAGACCGGCGATCAACAGCAAATGCACTATCAACAGCAGCAAGATCAACATCAGAAGCAATATCAACAGCAGCAAAGTTTAGCGGAGCAGAAACAGCAAGAGGTACATTAACAATAGTTTCTATGCAGAGTGTGTTATTACATTATCACAGGAAATACTGATAGGTGACAATGGCCTTCGGAGTCATTAGAGGGAAGTTGAGGGTTGATGTTTCCTTGGGAGGTTGATGCGATGTTTGAGAATAAACATTTTTTTTTTAAAGGAATATGGTGTTTTTTTAACTTCCAAAGGAATTACTTTAATCATACTCGGCAACATGGCTCTAATGATATGCAGCATCTTGACTTCCGATCTCGATAGAATAGTTAGTTTGATGTGTCACATTTTAGAAGAAACCTGGTAGCAAAGCACCAAATGTGTACGTTACCATAGCTTCCAGTCGCTTTTTGCTGTTGGTCGCTTAGGAATTTAAGCATTTCGAGAATATGTAGCGTTTTTACATAATCATCGGTCTGATTTTTCGTTCCTTTTATAGATGCAAAATCAGTACATACATCAACAGCAGCATCAACAACAACAGCAACAGGCAGACACGATGATGCAGTACAACCAACAGCAAACCATTGTTCAACAGCCGCAAGATATTCAGCAGCAACCGGTGATGTACCAACAGACTCAACAACCACCTCAACAGCCGCCGGTGCAGCAGCCTCAACAGGATCAACAACAACAGCACCAAAGCCCACCTTTGCTACAGAGACAGCAGTCTGTTGATCCGGTTCAACAACAGCCGATTATTCACAAACAACCGGCTCCTACGCACTTCGTACAGCAAAATTACATTTCTGAAAATGTGCCACAGCAAGCAGAGTTTGTCCATATGCAGCAACAGCAGCAGGAAAATCAGCACAAGCTCTCCAGCGTATCGCAACCGGACACATTGCAGCCTACTCCTCCACAACAAGAGCACAGGTAGCCATGATGAAAACACATACATATATAATTTTATGAATAGTTATAAATTCTTTTCTGAAAAATCTCTTTACTAAGAATGCATTTCTGATCCTTTGCATTTATTCTTTTGTTTCAGATTGAGTGTTGATAGCCAACTGGAAAAAGTTCAGCAAGCTCTAGCACAACAGCAGGAGCAGACAATTCCAAACTACCAACAGCAACAAAACTATCAACAGGCTTCATTCAGCCAACAACAGCCGAATTACCAACAACATAGTAGTTACCCGCAACAACAGAGTTTTCAACAACAGCAACCCCCCATTCCTCAACAACAACAGAACTACCAAAATCAACAGGTACAAAGCTTTCTAGCGAGAAAATTATTTTCCATTGTTTTGCCAAAAGTCTAAATGTATCTTGCAAGTAATGCTTGTTCATATTGTAGTAGTTTTGATTTATGAAATGTGCTTCAATTTCTCATCTGAAGGGTTACCAGCAACCTCCGCAAGGCTACCAACCCCAAGAATACCAACAACCTCAACAGCCACAACAACAATCTGGATATGTTCAGCAAGATCAGCAGCAGCAGATCATCCAAAATTACCCCAATGTGCAGCCTCTAGCACAGGATGTCGGAGGTCAGTTCGTCCAGCAGCAACAGAGCTATCAACAGCCAGCTCAGCAACAAACTCAACAGCCTCAGCAGAATTACGTTCAACCACAATATCAGCAACAACAAAGTTACCAACAGTCTGGACAACAGGCGAATGTGTATGATCAGAACTATCAACAGCAGCCTAACTATATTCATCAGCAAACTAGCCAACAGGTATCTTATTTGGATGAACTATATTTTCTTTATGTTTGTCTGTCCAATCAAACCACATGTGCTTGAAATTTTTCTTTATTGTATACGTTTCGGTCACAACAGTGTGACCTTCTTCAGCACAATTAACACATTTTTGGCATATTTTATTTCCAGGTGGCATTTTTTTATTTTCGCGGTAACCCACCTAAAACTGTTGCCGTAACACACCGGTTAATTGTTATGCTATCTTCGAGTAAAATGTAAATGCATTGTTTAAGGATCAGAAACGCGTGGCATAGTACTTTGACATTTAAAGGGAACCGTGTTGGGGGCTTTTGGTTTTTTAGAACAATGGACGATGGTGACGTATCTGGTACATTAAAAAAAAGACAGAATCTCATGCTTGCTTGTCATTTTGGAGGGCTGGACGTGTTTTTGGGGAGCGGAAATCGCCACCCCAGGTGGACCTAGGCTGTGCTGGTGCGTGATGTCAGATATTTAGAATGATAGCTTCGCGTAATCTCAGCATGTTACCTACCTTCCAGACTACAGTAGTAGCACCCTGTATAGGAGTGTGATCATGAAAAGAAACAATCGTCGTGAATCAAAAAACATTATAGGCAATGGCAGTCTGATAAACATCTCGATCATCCACATTGTCATCAAATTTCAAACATGTGGTTTGATTGGACAGACAAACATGGGGTATTATCGATATGACAACCACAAGCTAAGTTTCAGATGTTTGCTACAGCTTGTAACTAAAATCAGTAAAAGTATCTATGAGGCTTGAGAACGGCTGATAGGGAATGTATGGCAACTTGTCTTAAATAATTCAGGATTTCACAAAATGTACTATCTTCATTCATAGATGCTTTTGGCTATTTTCTGTTTTTGGTATCTGGAATAAGAGTATTTGAATTAGGCTACCCAATACTGTTCCGATTAATTAGTAATAGCATTGTTTGACATATTCTCCTGTATAGGAGTGTGATCATGAAAAGAAACAATCGTCGTGAATCAAAAAACATTATAGGCAATGGCAGTCTGAGAAACATCTCAATCATCCACATTGCCATCAAATTTCAAACATGTGGTTTGATTGGACAGACAAACATGGGGGATTATCGATATGACAACCACAAGCTAAGTTTCAGATGTTTGCTACAGCTTGTAACTAAAATCAGTAAAAGTATCTATGAGGCTTGAGAACAGCTGATAGGGAATGTATGGCAACTTGTCCTAAGTAATTAAGGATTTCACAAAATGTACTATCTTCATTCATAGATGCTTTTGGCTATTTTCTGTTTTTGGTATCTGGAATAAGAGTATTTGAATTAGGCTACCCAATACTGTTCCGATTAATTAGTAATAGCATTGTTTGACATATTCTCCAAAGAGATGTCCAACCTTATGAGCTGTATTTGGACGTTGAATGGTTTGTTCGTACAGCCTGTTAGCTGACAGCCAGCAAACTGATAGTCGGCGGCAATTCATGAGCTAGTTTATTGAGTTAGCTGTCACTGACACGTCGCTGACTGTATACATTGCGTATATGAGAACGTTACGAGTTGGCTGAGTGAGCTTGGACCAATTACTGACAACTGATCCACTGTTCATATAGAAACTTCTAACTGTTTGACGACTGTCAAATTAGTCAGCAGATTATTGTCCAGTAAATTGTCAGAGCTCGAAATCAAGTACAATCATTATTCGAATGTAACATCTTTCAGCATGAGGTAGACACTTTCTAGAAAAAATAACAGTACCAAAAAATGTCAAGTAGATTAATTCAGTAATCCCATTCAATCCTCATTTAAAAAGTATGGACATATGTAAATTCGGATGAATGTGATTCCACACATCGAATGACAAGTTGAAGAAACAAAAAGTAAGAATTCTGAATAAACCTCTGCGACGATTATGCATGAAAAATGTAAATATGTTTTTATAAATAATATAAATAAATATATATAATAGTATGGTTTTTAGTTCCCTGTTCCTTAAAGCAGCATTAAAGTGTATGCACAAACAGTATGTATATTCTAGCTTCTGTCCAATCCAAAGCTGATCCAAAAAAAAAAACGAAATTACTAATTTTGAAGATTTTGTGACACGGGGTTAGGAGTGAAAAAATATAATTATGGTTCTTGAAATTGTTGTCCGCTAATGTTCAGATTTTTCACACTGAATCTAGGAATTGCGTTTCTGTCATTACAGGGTAAATGAACAAAATATTAAGCACAAATCAATTTTGATAGTTTAAACTGATTTGAGATTGCATCAAATATGAATACATATATAAATATTTTGAAATGCGTATTGAAAACAGAGAATTTAATATTAGACCTTATAGTCCTACAAAAAACTTAGTGGGGACAACTTATAGCCGAATATACGTATAATTGACTTGACAGCGCAACAATACAGCACCAACACTATTCTCTGCGACATCACTTAGGTCTGATTGATGAATTTTGAGGTGATTATTATCACACCAATCCTTTTCTATTAATGTATGATAACGGATCATCCTCTGGTTTTTCAATTCTTATATGGGTTCCATCAGTGATGCCAACGATTCCAGGAAATCTATTTTTTAATGTAGAAATAGTGCTTTTTCCTATATATTTCTTCTTCTGTTGGCCGTTTTATGATTTCTGGTGCCAGACTGCTCAAAAAGTTGCTCAATCTGGATATAACTGCATGTTGGGTACTCACGGAAACAATGAACCTATCAGCTACACCCCTGAACATGGCTGTTTGATATCCAGCAAACCATAAAAATATAGAGGTTTCTTTATACGAAGGTAGTTTTCCATATGGCGCTGCCTCATATTTAAAGTGGTTACTACCACGGAGTTTCACTGAATTTTTTTCTGCTCACTCTAAAATGTTACAAAACCTCGTTATTATTGAATTGTGGCATTGTTTCCTCCACAAAATTCAGGTTTATGAACTGTCAGAAGCTTCTGTACGAACAGCGGATTAGCTGTCGGCAAATAGTCAGAGACTGTACGAACAGGTAACATCTCTCTGATTCTGATTTTTACAGTCACCGACAAGTTACCGACTACTGTATGAACAAACCACATATACAATTTGCAACATCACAACAATACTGTCAAGTAGGATCGCGCTATTTCACTTAAAAGTTATAAAATCAGCTTACCAGCCGTTTGGAAAACACGTTTATTCTTAAATGTGACATCAGTCATTCAAAGAAAGATTACCACTCAACCTCGCACGTAATTATTCCTAATATTTTGTAGTCTCAAAGCTTCTCAATGTTACAAAAGATAATTTCATAACCTGCGGTAACAATCCGTGGCAATGCTGACACCTGAGGATAGTGGCTGATGGCGATAGAGTACTTCATGTAGGCACTGTTTTGTGTCATGGAATTTGTTAATAAATGACAATACTAATAAATAATTTTTCCACATCAGGCTTACAGTCAACCTCAACAAAGTGCTCCTCAAGCTTCATATGGCGCTACCCAACCTCAAGCCCAACAACCAACTTATCCATCTCAGCAACAACAGCCTCTTCAAAGTTATCCTCAACAGACAACCCAGCAAGTGAGTTATACTCAACAAAGTGCTCCTCAACAGCCAAGCTATTCTGCTCAGCAACAGCCTGTATATATGGTGAGTCAAAGAAATACATCAAATTAATCGAACATGCATCGAGAAAATCACAAGATTTTTTTACCTAGTTTCTAACAAAGCCCATTTTAACTGTCTTTCTAAATATTCGCATTATATTGTTTTAGCAGCCGCAATACCAAGGTCAGTACCAACAGAACGACCAGCAGTACCAACCTCCACCGCAACCTCAACAACAGCAATACGTTGATCAACAGCAGTATATTCAACAGTCTGTACCTGATCAACAACAATACATCAAACAGCCCCCAGTAGAGCCTCAACAACCTCAACAGCAGTACCCAGTTCCACCGCAGGCTATTGATCCCCAACAACAGCAATATCTGCAACAGCAGAACGTTGATCAACAGCAGTATATTCAACAGCAGCAACAACCCGTTAATCAACAGAATGTTGAATATATTCATCAACCAGTGGTGGATACGTCGCAACAGTATATCCAACAGCAGGGCATGGAGGCGTCGCAACAGTATATGCAGCAGAATGTTGATCCCAATCATGTATACCAACAGCAGGTAAATAATTTTCTTATAACGTGTAACTGCATAAGTGGTGCCCCAATAAATACTTCTGATTTTTGTCTTGCAACCGATCATCAGTCTCATCTCTAAAGGTGGAGTTGACTTTGCAATCAAACTTTTAATTATATGAAGAATTTAGAAACGTACGTTGTTGAAAATGCATGGATTCACAAACTTATTTGAGGAACGCCAAAATGGGCCAAAAATGTAACAGAACATGGTTCTGGTTGCACCCCCAGATTGTTTAATCTATCAGTACATTCGTTGACCAGTACAGAGTTATAAGCAATTGTCTAGAAATACTAAAAAGCGATTTTAGAGATCTTATTAGGATAGTAGAAACAGTGTTGATAATGAAATAAAAAAATGCCGTCAAGTAGGTTGACTCTTCACTTCCGACGCAACATTGTCATCAGTTGATAAAGGATTAGTTTGGCCAACTACAACTGCAACCTTCGATTTTTAACGCATACAAAATGTGTTTGCAAATGATCAGGAGCCTCTGATACTTCAAAAAACGAAATTTGAACAGATTTGTTTTTTTTCGTCCTTTGCCATTCGCGCTTCTGCCAGTGGATCGATTTAAAAAAAATAACGGTTTTTCGGCATTGGCTTAGTAGTAATTTCGCCAAAATCCGAGCGGTACTTCCCAAGTTATAGACGGGCCAAGGATTAGCGGACAAACAGTGACAAACCGACGGAAATGAGTGGCATAGTTTTTCATGATGTACTTGTCATATATCATCCAAAAAACATAATATATCATTTTAGAAATTTTTCTCAATTGCAATACTTCCTCGCCAATAGGAATGGGAGGTGAAAATAGAATTTATTGGAATAATTTAGATTGCACGATCTCACATGCCAGTGGACATCATCATTGCGAGAAATCACAAGGTCATCAGGAAAACCCATCTATGCCATTTGAAAAGTGCATATTATCCCATAGGGGCTACCGAAAATACACACATACATATTTGTTATAGTGTTGAACATTTACCTTTCTATTGTTGGTATTTTGTATTATAATAATCCTGAACAAAAAAATGTAAATCCTGAAGTACGTATTGCGATAACCTTTACATGACGGATTCTTTTAGGCGTCGCCTTTAGTACAATTTGGTGGTGTATGTGTGTATGTAATGTGTGTACACCAGTAGTTTTCTCTTAGCAACCACAGGTGGCGCCACAGTACGTTCAACAGTCCAGCCAGAACTACCCGCTTGAACAAGGTTCTCAGCAAGTGCTACCTCAACAACAACAGCAGCAGGTGCTCCAACAGCAACAACAACAAGCTGATATCGTCCCAGAGCATCAACAGTTGGGTCATCGTTTATCTGCTTCTGAAGTGCCGCCAATGAATCTTGCTGAGCTTCAACAGAAGTTAGCGCAACAGGTCAAATTGACGGTAAGTTAACTTTTACTTCAATTCATCTATGTGATTTTTTGCCGCGAAGCATCATACTCTACTTCCAATATTTCGATTTTTTTAATATCATTAACGGAAGCTTATGAATCCATTGACAATTTCTTCAATTTCTAGGATCAGCATCGGGTATCTACAACTTCTCTACCTCCGATGCCAAGTTTTGACAGCCAGCCAGATCACAGAAGGCTCTCGACCATCTCACAACCTGCTTCAGTCCAAGATTACACTATGCAGCTTGCCGAACAACAGGTACTTGAGTCTGAAGCGCAAATTCAACAAGCGCAAGCCAAGGTCTGTTTCCACTAGTTTGCATCGCATTAAAATTTTATTGTTATTTAAAATTCTACGTAAATATTTTTATTAAACATTAATCATTTGGCAATGTACGAGCCTCTTCCCACTTCAGTTGGCCCAACTATTGAAATCTTAGTTTTTTTCTTATCAAACACAAATAATAGAAATGTAGCAGGGTGTTATAGGTTTAAAATATTAAAAATGAATATTTTGATAATATATAGTAGAAAACACCAACTTTATCACTCCCTAATCAAATTTGCAGCATAAAAATAACACATGTTGCATTTACAGCATATCATCCTATTTTCAATTCAATGCAAAATAAATCTATAACGCAATGGGTAGAGGAAAGGTTATTAGTGAGAAAATTCGGTTACTGATAATTAAATTAAAAACAGGCGTGCCAATTATTTACAGTTAAGTGCTCTGTGGAGTGACACTGTTGGAAGGAAAATTTCGAGGTCCACAACTCATAGAGAGGCCCACAAACTGGGATTTAGCACTTGCAAGGTAAGTTTTCTTATAAAAAAAGTGAATCAAAAACCCTAAAGTTGTTTATAGGCCAAAGAAAAGCCACTATTAACTGCAAACGAAAAATCGGCTTAGATGGGCTAAAGAACATAGACAATGGACACCTCAACAATGGTGTGCAATACAATGGAGTGATGAGGTCCGATTCCAAGTTTGTGTTGTGACAGTCGCAGTAGAGTTATTCGCAAAAAATGAAGCATTCCATGTTGACTATCTGAAGAGAAAAGTGAAATTTCCAGTATCCATTATGGTCTGGGGCAGTATCTCATCAAAAGGAGTAGGAAAACTTCATTTTATTGATGGAAATGTGGATACAAATATTTGGAAATTTTAGAAGAATCGCTTTTACCAGTGATGGAAGAATGTTTGACATCCGACCAAGATTCTGTGTTTCAGCAAGATGGTGCAGCGTACCATTCCTCAAAAAAGGCTATAAAATGGATGGAAGAAAATAATGTACCACTTTTGAAATGGGTTTCTAGCAGTCCAGATCTGTCACCTATTGAAACTTTGTGGCACGAGATGAAAAAGGTTCTACAACATCCTGCTCGTACAATCACCGAACTGAGACAAAAGCTTCACGAAATATGGAATTGTTTTACACCAAATTTTTGCCAAAACTTGGTTAACACTATGCCCCAAAGAATTTCAGCCGTAATAAAAAAAAAAGGTGATTTTACCCAATGGTAATCTTTCAATTGTTGCTTTGTTAACTTCGCGCATTTATTCGCACATTGTTTATTTGTTCAGATGTTGTATTAGTTATAGGTCTAAATGATTTCAAATATGTATTTTTTACGACTAGAGTGTAAATGTTTTTTTTAAAATAAATTGTTTTAGAAGTAAATAGTTTCGTCATGTTTAGTTTATAAAGGCATATTTTGGTACAAATCTTCAAGTGGGCCAACTGAAGTGGGAAGGGGCTCGTAATGTGTTTGTAGCCATAGCTCTTTCAATAGTTTTTATTAGGTTTCAGTAGTAGACTTGGCAATCCAATACATGGTAGCTTTAGTTACCACAAACCTATACAAGTGGTCATCCATTTCAATATTACTACTAATAAATATTTTGTTGCAGGTACCGGTACTTCCTCCGTTAGATCTCCAACCGCCAATAATTGAAGGCCAAATCCATGCCTGTTGCCCATTAGAGACCATCCCCTCTGTGGAATCTCTCGTCTCGAATGCGCCTGCTTCACCAACTGGTCTCCAACCGGCTCAAATGCAAGAAACAAAATCTGAAGAACAAGACATATCCGCATCAGACCAGGTAGGTTCTTTTGAATGATTTTTATTTGACATTAAAGGATAACATGTTCCAAAAGATATATTAGGGCAGTCAATGTTCATACAATTTTGAGTGAATACGGGTTTCTATAGGGGCATAAATAATGGGTAGGCTCGTGCGGCCCGATTCACCTTACTAGGCACTAATTGATTTTAGCTAAAATCCGGCGTCAGAGTCCTAATCCACGCGCCCGATTCTGGTTTACAAGCAGAATGGGAGACATAGGGGCTAAATTTCGAGTTACTTTAGCGACGAGGAACCTAATGGGTTTTGAAGAAACCTATACTATCAGCTAAAAAATTCTTATGAAAAAAGGTGACCAACAGAAATTGCTGGAAATAATTTTTATAAAATGGTCGCTGGAGGTTATTGTCATACTTTCTTTCGCAAGTCCATTTTTTACCGGTTCGTCATTTCAGAAAAGGTAACTTCTGATTGATATTATCGACTTCCATGGTGTTGATTTCATTCAAAAGCGCTTCAGTGTGTGCTTCTAACGGATGAAGTTTTATTAGTTTAGTTTGTTTTCATCCGTGAGGTGGCGTTTAATGACAATACCGTAGTTAATCTGAATGCATTGGTATTATTAGTTTTCATTATTCAGGAAGTGCATGAAAAGTCCTACAAACTAGTGTAAACCGATGACGTTATTTTAAATATTTATAAAGTTATCGCTGAAAATAGAATTTATCAAGAGTTAGAAAGCCGCGGAGTGGGGAATACAGGCTTCACTGCATCTGCACGCAGTAAACTTTATAGACGTATTATTCAGATTTCGGCTTGTTGAAATCTGATTATACATATTGCGTTATTCTTGAATTTTTTGTAACCCTCCCACTCCCTTGCGTCTCATTCAAATCGTCAGATTACTGAAATATACACTATTCAGCATGTGATTTTCATACCTTATCTTAGTCTGGCGCTTTGGTATTTTAGTAATTCTAACGATCGTCTTGTTTTTACTATTCTGATTGGCTGGAGGTATCCCTCCTTATGTTAATCTGGTCGCTCGAGTAAATCCCAAAATTCCCCTTTGGCCTCCCCTACTAAAGTGTTCGTTTAGCTTGCAGATACGCAAAAAAATTGTAAGTGTCTGAATTAAAATCTTGTGTCGCAAAGTCCTACTTCGTGTAGAAAATTGGGCTATTGAGCTCCCATCAATGTTCACAAAAAACGTATACTAATTGACATATAAATCCGAACACCCAGTTTAAATGGTTTTATTTTAATAAAATTTTGTATAAGTACTTAATGAAACATAATAAGTAAATGATAAAAATTTCAAAATGATTGCACTGCTTTAAAGCCCTTTGGCCTTTAATAATGTGTGGATTCACCCTGATGTGCTACGCATTCTCCAACGCGCCTAGGCACGCTTCTGATCAGGTGGTCAATGTCCTCCTGTGGTATCTCATTCCAGGCAACCACCAACTCCTCTCGAAGTGCTTCTAGAGTCTGAGGAGGACGTTGCAAATTGAGCAATCTCCTACCCATCATATCCCACACGTGCTCAATTGGGGATAAGTCGGGAGATCTTGGTGGCCATGGTAACAATGTGACATCATTATGTTGAAGGAAGTCTTTTGTGACTCTTGCAACATGTGGTCGGGCATTATCTTGTTGGAAAGTTGGATCTGCCAGGGTGTCAAGATAGGGTAAAAGATGGGGTTCTAGAACTTCGTGGATATAACGCTGCGCGTTCATGTTTCCTCTGATGAAGATTAAAGGTGACCTGGAACCATAAGCTATAGCACCCCAAACCATAACTCCAACAGTGTGATGAACATGTCTTTCAACAAAAAACTGTGGATTCCTCCTTTCACCACGTCGCCTTCTAACCCTGGCACGACCATCGTGCATGCCTAAACAAAATCGAGACTCGTCACTAAAGACAATACTGTTCCATTCCTGATCCCAGAGTGACCGTTGTCTGCACCACTCAAGGCGATTACGTCGGTGTTCTCGACTTAAAGGGAGGAGCTAGTGTGGCCGGTATGGAAACAAGCCAAAACTTCTCATTCGTCGGTAAACACTTCGCATGCCAATAGGTCTTCCGTGTTCTGCAAACCATTCATTTGCAATGGACCTGGTAGTGGAGAAACGGTCCCTTAAGGCCAACAATCTTAGGCGGCGATCTTCACGGTCTGTTGTTCTACGGCGGCGTCCAGTGCCCCTTGCTCTTTGCGTACGGCCTTCTCGAAGCCATGCCTGACAACACCTAACCACAGTGTCTACACTTCTTTGCACTCTAACTGCAATTGCCCGAAAAGAAAGTCCAGCTTCCCGAAGTCCCACTATACGGCCCCTATCAAACTCACTAAGTTGACGAAATCGTACAGGTCTCCGTACTCTAGGCATCGTAACCGATCGTAAAGGATGTCAAGAACCAAAATCCGCCAACGTTGATTCTTTACTGCGGCTGAAATATTCATTTTTAGAGCGTTAGTGAATTAAAAAAAAGCAGTATAAAAACCGGAATGTCCAACTGATAAGGCTGAAAATTTTTTCACTTGTTATTTACAGTAAGATAAATACATTCACCAACTTTTATTAAAATAAAACCATTTAAACTGGGTGTTCGGATTTATATGTCACTTAGTATATTTCAAGGAACCAGTTAGTGCAATTTGTATTCTATGCAACAAAGAGGTTACACTTATACAATTAATACACGTTTATTCATTGACTTTTCAATATTTTCGATTCTTATTAGCTTTATGATTTGTGTCATTATACATACCGTTATAGTAATTTCTACTTCTAATGCTACCCACCCACCTACATATATCGAAGTTACTCAAAACACGCACTGACGCAGTTGTCCTTTCAAGTTCGTATCGATTTATCCATTTAAATCGATTCGATAGACATTGTGATTCCCCTCGATTGGAAAACTGGGTGTGTGATGATTTTGACTTTCAAGCAATGGTTGGTCAGTCACCAATCCGCTCGATATCCGTAGGTGGATCGGCAGCATTAAAAATGATTAATTTTTCGTCTTTTCCATTCTTAACCTTTCAAAGGTAAGCTCCGAGTCTGTAGAGGAGAAACAGCACCAAAGCCAGCGTGAGCGTCGTAAACGCGCCGCGCTCAAACACCAGCTGGTCGTGGATAAGGTCTACCCGGACGGCACGGTCGAGTGTCGGCTGCTGTGCAAACAGAAAACGATTAGCTTTAAGTTTAACAGGTTGGACACGAAACCGTCACATATCCTGGACGGCATGATCAAGCAGAAGCTGTTGAAGGAGGAGCCGCACAAGCAGCTGTCTGAGCATCTGCAGGAGGTGATTGACAGGTTGAAGGAGGAGCCGGATAAGATACCGGAGTGCGCTAGGGAGAAGAATGTATATGTGCAGAAGGTATGTGGAGGTTTCTGCGGTTGAAGCTTCGAAAAACTGTCGTGGCTGTTTCCCTCATAGAGTCATGCAGATAGATATCTAAAATGAAAAATTGGAACTACAAATTTAATTTTTAGTACAATGCTGTATTTTTATAAACGGACTTTCTTCAAGATAGATTTCATAACAAGTCGCCTGGAAAACAAAATTGGCCATGGAAATTGTAGTAGTTTTTGTACCAGTCCTGGAAAAGCACATACTTTGTTATATCAGTCAATCAGCTTTATTGTTGATGATAATTTCGGATGATAAAATCGGGTTTCCACCAGGCTGGAAAACATGGGAAATCAGAGGAAGAAATTTTGTAGGACTCATGGAAAAGCACGTGATATCATTTCATGTACGTTACAAAAAATCCATCTTGTTATCACCAGATATGTCATACTCGTATCACTATTTATTAGGAAAATATTTCTATCGAAGCTTATTGTGCTGGTATTAATTCTGATAAGTAGATTTTGCCCTCTAATAAATGATTTTATCATCCCAAAATTCACGCAAGATTCGATTCAGAAAGAAAACATCAGGAAAATGCCTTTTTTCATTACCATTTTCCATAAATCCTTCCTTCCTTGCACCCCACAAAAATAAATTACATGATCTAGGATAGGGATTAATCTGATCACCAAAACAAGCGTGTATACGACCAGGAAATGTCTCTTGTGGGAATTGAATTGTTTCACAGGTTGTAAATACCGAGCTAGCGCTATTTCGTTCGTCAAATAGGAAGAAGGAGTTTGTAAGCTCTGAGGGCAGCGCCTTTCACCTTTTGCCTATTTGCAACGGTGTATCGCAGTGATCCGTACGTGGCCTCCTACTATTTCTCATGTACTAGGTATGTTCAAAAAGTACCGAACCTTAAATGTTCCCGCGTAAACCAGTGAAGCGCGGGATACTACCTTTAGTGGAGATGTGGAGGAGTCATTCATGCGTACCTCGGAATTTTTTTCAGCCCGCAGATAGCTTCAGTTGCTGGCAGTCGGCCTACGTGTGAAGACGTGTAGAGAGCAGTCGTCGGATTTCAGTTTTCGTGAAATGACAGAAAAACTTGAGCAGCGTTATTGCATCAAATTTTGCTACTATCTTGGCGATATCCAAGCGGAAATCATTCGCAAGATTCAACAAGCTTTCGAGGACGATGCCATGAGCACCTCATGGATAAAGGAGTGGCGAAACCGCTTCAAAGATGGCCGCACATCAGTGGGCAGCGAACCACGTTCAGGCAGACCGCAGCAATATCAAGGTCATGTTGACCCTATTCTTTGATTCCACCTCAAGGCCAATCCATCACAAAGAGGTACTACCAGGAGGTCCTTCGCCGCCTTCGTGATGCTGTGCGACGCAAACGACCGGATCTGTGGGCAGCAAAATCTTGGCATCCCCATCACGACAACGCACCCGCTCATTCTTCGCATTTAATTCAGACTTTATTATCCAAACACTTGGCTATTTCCTAAGCTGAAAATGCCACTGAAAGGGACCCGATTTGAGTTAAGAGAAGACATCATACGGAATGCTACTGACAGGCTAAACACAATTCCAAAAACTGCGTTCCAGGAGTGTTTCCAAAAATGGCAGAAGCGCTGGGAGAAGTGTGTGCATCACCAAGGATACTACTTTGAAGGAGATTACAGTTTCGGACCTCCAAATCAATAAATATATGTATGCCGGGGTTAAATACTTTTTGAACACACCTCGTAATATATAAATGACCTGTCCACGAGTATTGATAACCGATACTGCTTCCTATTTGCGGACGATACCACCCTGCTGTGTAGACCTGACCAAAACACGGGTGTGGATAGTCTTGAACAAGCCAAAAGATTTAGTTTAGTTTTTAGCCAACAAGTTATCGTTAAATGAAAACAATACATAATTACACTTTCCTCTGAAGGGTGGGTTTTTAGATCTGTACCAGTGAAACTTTAGGAATAGTACTCCATACCAGACATCCCATATTGATTATATTCTAGACTGCCTACACAATTATTTGTTCTTATGCCTGCTTTTTGGGTGGTGTACTTCAGTATGTTCCATAGTGACATTACATATGGCACAATACCCTGGGGAAACTCAGTAGCATCTAACATGTTTTTTTTTTTATAAAAAAACGGCTTTGAGGATAATAACAGTCCAGTTATGGTTCAGCAGGTAGTAATCACTTCAAAAATTCAAAAAATATCACCACTTCAGTCAATTTATATTTTTGAAGTCCTATTTTATGTGCACAGAAATCTAAACAAATATCAAACCTCTGCAGAAATGCACACTCATGTACTACATAATGTTCATTACCTAAGGGATCCATACTCGCGACTGAATATGACCTAACGTAAAATTATATAATTCGTCAATGCCGATAAAGAACATAATTTTGAAAATGTGACTAATTGCTAATTCTCAAAGTTTGCTAAAAAAATTGCTTCATCAATCTTTCTATTCAGTTGATACATGTATGCTGTCTCTCGCATAGATAATAAATTAGTTTGTAATTGTAATAATGTGGTCAATAAATGGTATGTTATGTATGGCATGTGGCATGGTCTTATTAAAACCACACGTTATCCACATCAACATTATCCATTTTAGATAGAAAGAAAGTCACAAACATCACTGTATTGAATGATGAATTCCAATGCTGCATCAACCATATTCAGGCGCATTTATGCAAAATGACATGGAAGATTTCGAAAAAATAGTACGTGTGTGTCAACAGAGCCATAAATACGTACTTTATGATTCAATGAATGTTTTCAAGACCTGCGTGAATTTTAGGGCAATATCTAACAATCTTTGTGTTATTTCTTTTTTGATTACTTTTTCTGACACTACCGATATTCGCATGCTGCAATAAAAGGTTAGACATGCTTCACTAACAAGGCACAATCAGAAAAAAACACACCGAAGGCACAGATCAGTAAGTATTTCTTTGTAGTTCTATAATCTTTTTTTATTCTACCATTTTTCTTATTTCTTTATGTAGGTACCCTGTTTTCTGTTTGCACGGTAGCTTTGTTAAGTTTATATTTTATAATAGACGCCAACAAATGAAGGGCAAATGTTTGAATCCTGCTTTTGATACTTTACGCGTAGTTTCTAGAAGGCTACAAAAATATATAGGTCATTATGAAAAATGCACTATTTATATATTTTAATACAATTTAAATTGGGATAGAGATGGAAATCACAAATATTGATATAATGGACAATTTTCTATTATTATATTATATTATTATTAACTTTAATTGTTTCCACTATAGTATGATATCCATCTCTACCTATTCCGTACCTTATCTAAATACAAAGGTACTAAGCCTTATTAATTCATTATGTGCAGAGAGACGAAACGAGTAGCCAGTCAATGAAATCCAACTACGTAGACCCAGCCCCGCAAGACGAATTCCACAATATCAAGACCACCTTGGCGGAAACTATGTATCAAAACCTTCGGTGTAGAGAGAGCCTTAATTCTAGTGGGACCGTGTCGCGTAAAACTAGCACGGCTTCAGAGTACACTCCTGAACACACTTATATAATGAACAACAAGCCTTTGGCAGAACAGACGAGTGTCTCGTATGCTGCTGAGAAGTGTTTGATTGCATCTATGGAAACACCTAGCGCGGTAAGGCTTAATTCCGCTATAAAATTGTGTATTTATCATGCCTAGTAACGTTTGCGGGTTAAGAGATCTAGTGATGCGTCTTCATTTGAGAAAAAAAGATATATTGTGATATAATATAACTTTGTTGAAAAATGCGATTTCAAAACAAGTAAACTTCATAATCAAACTTTCTTATTTTTCAGGTTGATTTAAAAGAAGAATGTCCCAATGAAGATCACATAGATCATACTGACGTGTTAAAGAATGAGTTAACCAACAGTTTGATGCAGAAGGAAAACGCCAAGCTGGTTCCTGGACAAAAAGTCAATTTAAAGATGTTCGTCATGGCTGTGGATAAAGAGAATGGTCAAACGGTATGTGGAGTTAATTTCAAAGCCTGCAAATGAAATTATCAAGTCTTAGAAATATTTGTTTTATTAGCATCATTGATTAACATATTCCGCTAGAAGATACAAAACCCAATTAAAAGCCGTGCCCCCAATGTTTTTATGTTAGTATATATATGAATTCACTTCCAACCCCGATATTCTCTTAGTCATACTTCACACACCATAGATTGTCCGGTGCATTTGCCGCTTAAACTTGGAACGATAGAAAAATGTTTTCAACAAGCGTCCCTGCCTCTGCTGACTAACGGCCATGGCAGGCGTGCCGGTGTTCGTATGTGTCCTGCATGGCTGGCGCTCTGCCGCGTGTGTCGCATCATGCTTTCAGATATTGGGGAGACACGACGCGACGGTACTGCGGGTAAGGCAGGAAAATGATGTTACGGACTAATTGTACAGATCTCTTTGACGAACTTGATCAATTCAATTCCTCTCTAATAGATGTTCGTAACTAACTTTTCTCGTAGATGGTCTGACTTAAAGATGCTGCTTTCGTCCGTCCAACCAAAGAAAGCCAACCACAGACAGCTGTTTCGTGCTTTTTTTGGAAACTCATCAGCATGGTCTAGGCTTGTTCTCTAGGACAATAAACGAAAGCAACTATCCTCCATCCACGATATAAGGTCTTATGGGACTGTCTTATTTCGATAGGGTCTAACTTGTGTTGAACATAATCCTGTATGAACCGATAATGCGTTAACGCCATTTTAATTACTTCTGATGGAATTACTTGGCTGTGACGATGTGAAGATTAAGGGGTTGGGGATTAGGGTTGATCATCTTGAAGAATACGTTAATCAATGGTATCATGTAAACGTCTGCACTACTTGATGGTCCAGCTACCTTTACCCTTTATTCTAAATGTTGTTTACAATTGGTTATTATGTCAGACTGAACCTGGCAAGCCTGAAGATGAAGTCCAGAAACAAGCCGATAAACCCGAGGAAAAAGTCGACAAGCTCCATGACCCAAGCTTGAAAGTACCGCAACGGAAGATTTCGAGGTTCTTAGTAAGCCCAGTACTATCTGGCCAGTTAGATTTACCCAAAGATAAGGAGATCTCCAAAGAAACTACCGATGTTACACCTTTAGTGGAGAAACCCCCTGAATCCGTATCTGCCGAGCCTCCCAAACCTGTTCTTCCACCTGCGACTTCGACAGAGCCTATAAGAAAGAACTCTGCTCCGCTCGAGACGACCAGGACCTCCGCGGAGATGGAAAAGGTGATAGAACCGAAGATGAGTGTCTGCTCGTTGAAAGAAGAATCTACGATCAAGGAGGAGCCCGTGTGCGGACCGGAACCGATCAACACCATTGAGCAGCTGAAGATCAGTTTGGACAATTTGAAGCACAGCAGTCATCCGAAGAAAGATTCTGGGGAGAGTGATGCGAAGAAGGTTGCTTCAGCTATAGAGGTACATACTCTTTAAAAATTAAGTGGATACATTGCGGAATTGAAGTAGGGTTTGGTCAGCATAGCAAAGGTTCAAGTTACATAAATTGTATTTACAATATGCGAAAATTTGATTTTAAATTAATATTCATTAAATTCGCTTGGTTCGGTAACCTTACATTACGATATTCATTCGCTTACCCATTTGCAGATAATCATTACGAAATGGATATTGGTAAGTTCTGTAAGCGATTGGAGGAAAAGTTAAGCATTTTATTTTCGACAGTATCTTCATCTACCATCTGCATAGAAACAAGTATCGCACACCCGTCTTTTCAATAAAACAAAGTTATAGAAGGAGACATATTTTAAGCATAATTGGTTTAATTCCTCATGCGAAGTCCTGTTCATTTTATTTTTTCGAGCATGCTCATACACTTGAGGTATCTACTAAGGTAGATTCTACATATTTCAAAACTCAAACACAACACACTTCATATTGAAACGACAGTATGTTTTAGTTTAGATCGACCATTAACAGAGTGTCAAATGCCCTATAATTTCCTTTGACTCAAACGACCTCTAGAGCTCCATTTTTCATGCACGGTTTTTAGTAATTTGCCTAAAGTCAATGTTTGCAATTTGAAGGTACATCAAAACAGTTATTTTCTTGTTTAACATGTTTTGCAGTCATGATCACTATTTAGTATATTCCAAGGCAAGGTTTCGGCCTCCTTGATCATAGATGAGCGATCTTGGTCATTACCCATCTAACGCTCATTGGGGACAATGACAGTAATAATTTGTATTGCTTAATAGTATTTTTTACATGTTCAGACCGCAAAATGTAACAATAACTCAGGGAGTGTTGATTTTATCACCATCAGTGGAAATCAAAGATATCGCTAAAATAAATTAAAACACTAAATCGCATCAAAATTGAAATAAACAATTCTAATCAAAATGAAAAGAAAATATTAAATTAAATGTTCGAACAGACCTTCTTCTTGGATTTGACAGTAACCTAACCTAGAGTAGAAGCCTCTGCGAACATTTTCTGGTGTAACACATGGGCAATCAAGCAGATTGCACGACTTTCTGCGTAACCGTCTCTAGGCAATGTGGTGATGACCTTCGCTCTTCAGCCGACTTATATCTCTTTCTAACATGTGTGTTGATACACATTTCCCGCGCTTCTCTCCGGTACAGATTGAACTCGAGCCGTCAGACAAATTTGTTTTCCTATATATAGGATCCTACAATTTTTTTTTGTTAGCCCTGGTTTTTTTATGTTTCACTTAGGTAGGATTATAAATACTATACCAAGATATACCATATTCAAATCCTGTTTATATGTAATATCCGTCTTTGACAGTTCATTATGGTTAAGATAATTTATGTCACTGCATTGTATTATAACATGTCGCCGTTTCAAATGTTGGTGATAGAAATCAACACTTCGCGACGTCTAATATTATATGCATATTTTTTATCATTTTTCGGACTGTGACGCATCTTTCACAATAAGAATTTACTGTGATCCGTCTGTTTTGACCATGGAATATGATATTTATTGACCGTGTAGCCCGTAATTATTGATTTATAAGGTTACGTTGAAATCCAGTGGCCTGGAGTGGAGTGTATCATTATTCAGACATGAATGAATGAATCTTGAAATTAGAGGCATTCCGGCCACCATAAGGAGCCAGTGCATAGGCCGCTTAAGCGGGCCCGTATGCACCTCTACAATCCTTAGATCACAAGCCTCGCCCTTTTAGCGAACTTGATAATCGCCTTGAGTCCAAGCTCCTTGACGTCCTGAGGGTCCAAGGTAATGGACCCGTGTATAGTCTGCCTATAGTAGCTCAGAGCTTCACAGCGACACCAAACGTGCGCCGAGGTCTCTTCCTTAACGTGTTATGGCCAGACAACAGTCCCACCAGCAACCTTAGGTTGGCTCTATCCAGAGATAGGCAGAAGCGTCCATCCTTTGCATTGGCCCGTCAATGAGTTCCCGTGCCTGGCGGAGATGTCTGGAGATACTTCTCCATTTCTGAGAGTGTTGTCTTGCAACCCACGTCTCCATTTTCCTCCTAGCTTTATGCGCGGTCACTCCTAGAGCTGGCTCAGGACCAACGAGCTTGCTGGCTGATCCTGTCTTCGCCAGAGTGTCCGCCGTCTCATTACCCCTTGTCCCAGCGTGGCCCGGTACCCATATTAACGATACCGGATGCCTCGCTGCGAGGCAATCCAGAGCCTCCCTGCATTGCAATACAAGATTCGAAGTAATGTTACAGGCACTTAATGCTTTCATTGCAGCCTGGCTGTCGGATAAGATTGTTATTCTTCTCCTAGGCCCACCCTCCTCCAGAATGTGACACAAGTCAGAATCGCAAAGATTTCCGCCGGGAAAATAGTGGTGTATCCACCGAGAGGCAGAGATAGTCTAGTTCTAGGCCCAGAGACCCTAGCACCTGGGCCCTCTTCGGTGACCGAGCCGTCCGTGTACCAGACCTGCTCGCTCACTCCGGAGAGTCCCCGACTACCGGCGTCCCACTCCTCCCTCGTTGGATACTCCACAATAAACTTGCGGTTGAAGCGATATTTAGGGGTAATACGATCACCCCTGCTTAGATGGACGGGGTCCTCCCCCTCCCTTTGCAATTCGACTAAGATGGCAGTATGCCCCTTGACAGGTTTCAAGAAAGCCCAGCTTCCCTGACTCCACAGTCGATGAGCGACTACTCTCGCTTCATCGCGGATCACTAGATCCAACGGTGGGAGATCCAACAGAGCTTCCATTGCACTCAATGGCGTTGTTCGCACTGCGCTTGTAATACTAATACAGGCCAAACGCTGAATTTTATTGGGTTTGACCTTTAGTTGTCTCAGTTCTAATGCAAGGCCACCAGACCAGGGAGCCGTACAAGAGACATGGACGTACTATCGTCGTGTAGACCCAGTATACCACTTTGGGTTTAAGCCCCCACCTTACACCGACAACACGTCTACAAGCCCACATCGAATTGCGAGCCTTGCTAACCTTGTATTCAACATGCTCTCTCCAGTTCCGTTTGCAATCCAGGATAATTCCCAGATATTTCACTGACTGGGACAAAACTAATCTAGTCCCAAAGAAAGTCGGCTTGACCAGCCCGTCAAGCCTTCTTCTCCTAGTTAATAGGATCAGCTCGGTCTTTTCAGCATTAACAGAAAGATCGACTTCCCTACACCACGATTCCACAGAGCATAATTTCCGAGACTGTTCTACAAAAACGCCTCCTAACTACTATGCTTACTTCATCAGCATAGGCTTGCACGCAGACACCCATACTGCTGAGCCTAACGAGGAGTTCGTTCACCACGATACACCACAGTAGGGGTGACAGAACTCCGCTCTGAGGGCAGCATCTAGCTACACTCACGCTGCAGCTTACGTTATTCAGCATAACTGTTGTTACCCGATCCTCCAGAGTAGATAGGAGGATTTGCATGAATGACACACCTTTCCAGCGGGCCATCCCTTAAGTAGCTATCAACTATCCTTTCCAGTGCTCAAGCACAAAATATGAAAGAGTAATCGGTCGAAAATCCTTCGGGCCAGTATATCTAGCTCTGCTCGGTTTAGGAATGAATACCACTTTAGTCTGCCGCCAGCTTCTTGGTGTGAAGCCCGTGGCCACACATGCTCGAAACACATTCAGCAGGTAAGGAACAACCGAACTCCGTCCCTGCTGTAACATGGCCGGAAATACGCCGTCCAGACCTGGACTTTTGTATGGAGCAAACGAATCTACTGCCCATACCGTCCTTTCGAAGGTGACAATCTCCCTAGCCGTGCGTCAATCCTCCCCTGAGGGCCAGCGCAACTGCATGCACTCTGTAATTGATCGCGCTACTGTGGAACCGGGAAAGTACGTATCCATCAGAAGCCTGAGAGTACCTTCCTCAGAAGTAGTATTCCCCCCGGAATCTTGCTTTAATGTCTGCATAGGACCCTGTGTATTCTCGCAGTAGCAGGAATGTCGTTTATGGACAGACAGAAGTACCTCCAGGATTCTCTGGAGACCTTTCTAATCTCCTTTTTGTACTCCTGCATTGCCTTTTTGTAGTGTTCCCATAGAGGAGAACTTCTCCTGTGCTTAACTCTGCTAAGAAGTTTGCGCACCGCTCGTTTTCTATCCTCTAATTCTTTGGTCCAGAAGGTTGCCTTGCCCTTACCTTGGACTTTGCGTAACGGGCAGTTTTCCTCATATGCAGCCGTCAAGTTCCTGCTCAGAGACTCGACAGCTGCTTCTATGTCAGAGCCCCTGCAAAGTCTGTATGGGACCGCTCCAAGCTTACTGTCAATGTCTGCCCTAAAGGACCCCCTTCTCCTGAGTAAGGGCCCTCGAACCCGCTATGCAGTGTTGTAAGTTAATTTGAATGAAATTAAGACTTACCATGGGTGTTGAGAGGCCCCTCCTACACCTTCCCGAATGACGATATGTGTCCCTTATTCGGGCCTACCGCCGTCGCCGTCGCAGTCTTCACTGTCACAGCCGCCTTCATCTCCGCTTCCACGGAGGAGTTCTTGGACTCGGTTCAGGATTCCGTCCTCGTCCCAGTCGCTATCATTACCCTCTGGGGCCAGATCCATCGCAGGGCCCGCCGCGATGCTTACTGCGGATATCCCGCTTGGACCCGACGCCTCCACGTCCGTAACCACCGGTGGTTCCAGCGAGAGCTGACCCGGCCGACCCATCCCCTGTGAAGGAGCCTGGTCTACCGCCACAGCTCCCGTCGGTCTGGGCTGGTCCGACTCCTGGTTTGGAGCCAGGCCAGTTCCAGCAGGTGTCGCCCCAATGCTTTTCTTCTTGCTCAGGAGTGTAAGCAACCCCGAACTTCCACCGCAATCTGTTGCCGTTACCGTCAATGACCTTCCAGCTTATGGAATCAACTGAGAGGACAAGTCGGACACCTTTGTGTTCTTCCTTCCTCTCAAGTAGCCTCCACGCGCTGGGTAAAGTCCCAGGATTGTGCCTCCTTAGTCTCCTCATGATGACCTCGATTCTCAGGTTGGGACCCGCGAACGAGGCCATCACGCGATGGTATATGGGAAGGTCTAAAAAGCTCATAGTAATGAGCCTTGCGCCTTCCCACGTCCGCAGATCCCGCACGTGGGCCTCCAACCATGCCCTAGAGGATTCGTCCTCGCAGACAAAGATGGCTGCCCCTCGAGATAGGTAGCAGTCATTGTACCTGGGAAGGGCCGCCTCATCTGGGAGCCCATCTATCAGCACACTGACCGCCTCCTGGACCTGCTGCACCTGTACTTCAGTAAATTGAGTCCCAGGATAACCGTCGGACACTACAGCCACCCTGAGACCCGCTTGGGACTCACGCGCATAGCTAATTTGCGCATGCGTCGCAGTACGAGGCTTCTTCCGCGAGGATGCGCCCTCCGGTACCCCACCGGCAGACCTCTGCCGCTTCCCGTCGCCAGGTCGCTTTAGGGCCTCCGCTGATACACCGGATTGCGCACCGTCTAGACCAGATGGCGGTTGGGTCCGTCCAGCCGGAGCCCCAGAAGTGGTGTCCCGACCTTCCGAGCCCTCCGTCATCTGCGCCTTTCTCCGCTTCCGAGCCCTTTTCCTTTCGGAACCTGGCCGAGACTTCCTCTTAATTTTCCCTTTCCGCTATCTCTCTCGCTAAGTTTCTGACAGATTCCTCTGTCAGAGTACGATCAGGGTCCCCTGGTGAGGGGCCGCCTGGATGTTAAGGGTCCCCTGGTGAGGGTCCACCCGGATGTTCGGGGTTCCCCGTAGGGGGGACCTCGGGGTTTTTATTGTTTTCTTCGTGTTCCATGTTGTTCCCACGAGTATAGGGGAAATCGTGGTCGACGTCCGCGGTGCCCCTACACGGACGCAAGGCTGGATACTCTGGGAGGTCGCCCGGTGTCCCAGAGGCTCCGTTTAAGACGGTGCATCCCCACCGCCACGCACCCCTCGGCACGGAATCGCTTAACACCTTGGGTTGGGTAAAGTGGCCTACTGACGAAATCGCGAATACTGATGGAATGCACCACATTAAATACAAATCGTGTGACATTCGCCTTACAAGATACGTTCTACTTCCGAATTTAAAACTCACCTAATTTTGCTTATTTAAAAACTTCGTGCAGGTGTCAAAAAGCTCCACAACATCAGTACAAGCTCCTCCTCAACAAGTTCCAGCTCCCCAACAGCAACAATCTCAGCAGCACATTCCTCCTATCATTCAACAACAGCCAAATCAAGCGCCAAGTCAACAACCGTCTGCCCAACAAACTACGCCTGTAATGCAATCGCAAGCGCAGCCAGTGTTGGCGACCTCGCAACCGCCTCCTATCATGCAGCCTACTCAACAACCGCTTTTGGTCCAACAGGTAATATGAACTCAAATTAGATTATGCGTGTTCGAAAATTACGTATGATTTTGTCTACAATTGCTGCAGTATACATTTCCCTATAATATAGTAGTAGTTTTATCAAGACTGCCAGTAGACTATAAATTTGATAGCGTCGCACAATTCCTCCAACCTAAGGAGCTGTCCTCACCAAAATTAACTCGTTGGCAATTGGACTTTAATACTATTTCTACTTTGGTTACGTTGATTTTACGTTCCCACTGAATCAATGCTAAGCAACAGGCAATCTCGTTTTGGGGTTGGTGGATAATGTCACTAACTTAACAAGAAGGCAGAACAGACTATTTTCGCTCTTACAAACCGTGATCGAAAGAAAAATCATATCTTTTCATTTACAAAAATGTTCTCAATACATAAATAACGATGCAATGAACGATCTAAGAAAGATTGATGATCTTTCGTAGATTATTAAATTGCCTGTCGTGCTGCTTCTATCGACTGTAACTCTTCTGGAAGGTTTTCATCACTGCTTCGTCAACAGAATCACTTCAAAGAACTCAAAAGTGCGATGGAGAAGTATTTTTGTCCGATTAACAATAATTTTTTGAACATATTACTGGAATGCTGGCTGAAGTGTCACAGATGTGTCAATTCTAGTTACTGGCAAACGCACCGCTGCGTGTCAGACTGAGAGCAACAACAGGAGTTGGTTTGTGATGTATATTTCACAAAGTTTCTTTTTTGTATAATAGCCATCTCAGTCGGTGATCCCACAACCTGTGCCACAACCTCAGCCGCCGATGTCACAGTCGCAAACTGCGATGCCGCCAGCGCCAGCTCAAACGTCGGTACCGCAGCAAGCTTATGTTCCCATCTCTATATCGCAGCAATTTGTGCCTACTGCTATGCCTCAAGTAAGTGACATTTTAGGTATTTTAAGATAGACCAGTAATTGTCTCACCAATGTATATGTCAACCTTCCATGTCACATCAATGTCAGTTATTAATCTATTAGCGAAATGTCCTGATAAATGCGACTATTGACAAAAGTCCCATGGATTCTGTCACATGGCGCAAAATATGAACACATTTTTGGGATTAGCTGAGTATTTTTTTTAGTTTAAAGCAAGTGCATTATTTTGTAGGCGAGTGCGTCTGTTCAACAGATCCCTGGAACTGTGCCTCCTCCTGCAATGACGCTTGCCAATAGTTTGCCACAGCAGATGGATATTCCTATGTCGGTAAGTATAGTTAGTTGTAGATAAAACAAATTATTCTTTGCTTTGACTTACGCAGCTCGAAATATACACTTTAACTATAATTTTTAGTATCATTAGCTTTCTAATGCTTACATGTAAACGACGTGTATGTATGTACGAAATTCCGTCTTGTATAAATATGGAAAATCTCGAACAATGTTCTCATTTTTGAGATTTGTTTAATGAAAATACGGTATATACGAGGTGACCCTGTAGCTAATACATATTTTCTTACTCTTGATTTATCATTTATGAATTGTTTTATTAGTCATAAGATATAAAAATGTCATCACTGTTCATTAAACCTTCCCTTCAGTATCATGCTCTTAAAATATCATCAACTAGAGATGGGCGTCAACATCATCCACTAATTATAACTTACCATTTCAGCTTCTCTCATTCAGTGTGTGGCTTTCTGTGTAAACCGGACTCACATCACTGATATATTTTTGTTTTTCCATCTTGTAGTGTCAACAACATAATACGGATCTGCCTATGATGGGGGATGTAAAACGTCCTGACACTTTAACAGTGCATTCACACGACATCATTTCACATGCTACAGAAGAAAATTATATCGATACCATCAAAACTGTCAGTCCACAACATGCTGTCTGTCACACCACGGAAAACCGTTGTCTGGGAATGTTGACTGTGAACCCGCAGTATGTTGTGTGTCATAATGTGTCAGATGAGCCACATCAGAGTCAGTCGGTGGGCCCTGAAACAGTGGAATGTAAACTACAGTTGGGTAGCCCTGAAGGGGAAATATGTCCAGAGACAAAGTTTATCGTTTGTGGTTTGTGTAATACTAAATATGATACGCGCTGTGTTATTTTGAAAGATAGTTTGAGCAGTGAGCTTGAAAAGACCGAAAATTTTTGCTGGTTCTGTAATTTTTGCTTGGACAAAGTTGAAAAGCAGATAAATGAGGGAAGAAACATGAATGTTATAGTGAAAGAAAATGAATACCTTAAACGAGAAAACGAACTGTTGAGAAAGGTGGTCAGTGATCAAACATACACCATTGAACTACAGAAGTTTGTTATAAACCAACTCAAGTCAAAAACTGGTTGTGAAGAAAAGCAAATAGGTTCTAGCTTAGAAAAACAGTAGATACATTACTTATGTCTTATAGATATAGTATGGAATCAGTATTATTGTAAAACTTACGATACAACAATTGCGATCGAACGAACGTTCGAATAGTAGGAATATACTTGAGATAACAATTATGAATATGAAGTTGGATAACATACGGTAAGTTAGAATGGAACCTTAGGTAGGCACGCCCATCTCTATGTAAATCAATTAAATCCAATATTTGAAAAAAAAACCGTGAATAGCAATTTGGGCATAGGGTATGATTTGATGCTGCAGAAGGTTGTCCGTGCCACAGGACCATGGGTATATTTTTGAACATTATTTCATTTTTTGCTAACCCTAATAAGAGAAATACATATTGTTGGCAGCGACAAATTAAAATGGAGTCAAGTAGATTGACTGCTTCCGAAACATTGATATAAATCTACTTGAAATTATAGGTACCCTAGAATTCTAAGCATAGACTCTCTGTCATAGGAATTAATTAATATAAATAATTTCAAAATTCAAAAAGGCTTTTCGCTCTTGGGTATGATGATAATCCGAGCTATAGGGGCTAAGGATTACCGAACAGACGGTAGACAAACAAGTGGAAATGTGTGATATCATTTTTCGAGATATAAATAATAATAATAATAAATTGTTTTTATTGCTCATGTAAGTACAGATAAAAAGACAGCATGATTCCGATGCAAGCGGCAAGGTTCGCTTGATTGATAATCATTAGTTGTTAATCCTCGTTCTTTCACCTAACCAGAACATGTAACATCTAAACATCATAATGTCTAGATTTTGAAATTAATTTATTACCAATTGGCATGGGAAGTAAGACAACGCCAAAATTACCGTATGTCCTATTAATCAAGTGTGATGACGCATTGGTTTTTCAGAGGCAAACTTTTACATCAGATACCTCATTTTTACCAGACTGCCTCAGAAGTAGGGTAATGGCTTGACATTTTTGACATTTGAATTTTGACATATGAGGTGTACTTGGATTCGTCTTAGCGAGTGACACTGGCTATATTAAAATTATTTAACTCAAAATGGCGAATTGCAAGATAGAAATTTCGTTTTAACAGCGACAGCTTGAAGGACTTGTCAACGTTTCTCTAAATTTGTTTTGACCACCAAAGTGGCACTGGGTATACCAAAATTTCTTAAAATCGAAATGGCAAATATTAAACTTCAACCATGAAAAATTAATTATTTTCAGTTACTTTAGTTCGACTTTTTGTATTTTTACTTCCCATGGCTAGTGGCAGGGAAGTATTGTAACCAAGAAGATTTTAGAAAATGGGATATTGTGTTTTTTGGATGTTACAAACTGATCATAGTGCAGCGTGTGAAGTACAGTCAACTTACTTGACGCCATTTTTTAAATTGCACTTGTTCGCTCTTTATTTCCTTAGTCGAAATTATAAAGCTGTTTTCGAAAAACTAGCATAGCTTTGGAAAGACTTGACAAGTCCAACATTGAATATTTATTACAAACTACGTAATTCCTTCAAATTTTTTTCATAAAACTACAGATACCACCGCCTTGTGCTATGTCTCAACCCGCTCCCCATGTTTTACCCAACTCGTCTGTTCCCCCCGCTGGAGTAACAGTTAGTGATAGTTCATTGTTGGCCTCCGTCGTACCTCCTGTAACCACCTTGCCTACGCCAATGGGTGGAGGTTACCAACCGCCCATTGCTCAACAGATGCCGCCCGTTGGCCAACCACAAGACGTACCGCTGCCCAATGTTATGTACCAGCAACAGGTAGAGTATTAATGCAGCATTTTTTTATGTCATCTCTGTTTAATGTAATTTCTGAAACTTATCCTGTGGCTGTCTCACCAACTCATCACGATTAAAAATGAAAATAATATTATTTTATGTCCGTTGTTTTATTCAACGGCCAGTATAACAAGGAGATATGTGTTTCAACTGTTGAGTCCAATCACTAGCTATTTTAAGCTCAGAAATATTCATATTATGAAATCATCCAAATTTCTTATACTGTTTAACTGTTCTATATGAGCCAATTTATTCAATTTCTGAACGTTTATAGTGGACCACGGACCCGATACCTGGGATTTTGAAGACTGGATATATAGTAAATAATTTTTTATCCATGGTATTGAAAATATCAATAATTACTTGCAAAATTCTTTATAATGTGAGTTTTTATTGTTGGCTTCGTCGAGAACTCTATTACGCATGCCATCTAAAAAAGGTAATTACAAATATTGTAGCTAACAGTATGCTCCTTACTTCGAAATATTTTAGTGTCTACAGAGTGATTCATAACTGGGTGGTGACCTAAACATCCATTTTCAAATGTAAAGGTCTATATTTTATTGCAGATTTGCATAGGTCCTTTCAAACGAAACAATTTGAATTAACATACTACAGAGTTTTATTTTCAAATTGTTGAGATATTGGATAATATATTGAAACAAACACCCTAGTTTTTCAATTGGCAACTCCACAACTGTTATAGCTAGAGTACTAAATTTGTCCTCGGAAAAAAATTATGATCCCATATTTTGTTCCTATCTAGTGACTTTTACAGTTGTTTGGACGGTTTATACAGACTGGCCAAGAACGTAAAATGAATGATTTCTCTAGATGTATATTATCACATTCTTTGATTTTCCTTTCTACAGCATTTTTTGATATAAGATTTATGGAGGTTTGTACAACTGCTTTTTGAGTTCCAGCTGATCATTTTGTAAATCAAATATCAAGGTAATTGAGAAATGTTACAATACTTTTCAAAATAAAAGAATAGCATTTAGTTGGTAACTAGAAATCTTTATAAATGGTTTATTTTCATTATAAATTAAATCTATCCAGCCTCATGTGTTTGTTGTAACTCAAGAAACGTTATATAGAAAAAAGCTTGTGAAAAGGGGAATCAAAAGATGTAAAAGTATATATTTGAAAATGTTGAGCAGTAGTTCATTTTACCTTATTGACCACCCTGTATAATTTATCCAAGAAACTGAAAAAGTAAGTAGATAGGGACAAAATACGGTATCATAACATTTTTCTGGCGAAAAATTCAGCACTCCAGCTATAACATTTGCTCGGGTGAAAGTAGTGTTTTTTCTAGATTCTCCAATATCTCAAGAATTATACATAGTATGTTGGAAAAAGCCTATCCACATCTGCAATAAAATGTTGAGCTTTCAATTTAAAAAATGTGTTTTTGGGTCACCACATAGTTATGAATCACCCTGTAGAATCAGAAGCGTACTATTAGCTACAATTCTTGTATTTAACTTTTTCAGATATCATACGGATCTATCGACCAAGCTCACACTAAATATTCACCCTATATGTAAATCTCCCATGAACTTTTTTAAAACCTACATGTTTGTAGTTTTTAAATACTCATTGTGACAAAATATTGTTTCAGATATATGCTGGACATCCTCCAATTTCAAGTTCCGTTTCTGTACAGAATCTCTCAGTTTCCGCTAGTCAAGGATTACCCGGTTTCCAGCATTCTGTGTCAATAGATGATACGTTGCAAAACTACGCTGTTAAGAAGGTTCCTGATAATCTCAAACAAATTTTAGAAAGGTACAGTTATTGAATGTACTATGATGATTTCGCCAAACTAAATTTCTCTTTTCTCTTTGAAAATACAGTAGTTCAGCTAAAGGCAGTCAAGCATCAACCCCTCAGAGTGATATGAAGTACGATGCTCATCTCCAAAGCTTACAACACAAGCTTTCTGCAATTCCGTTAGTTAGGACTCAACAAAACAATACGGTGAGTAGATACTTAAGTATATGTTGTTTGAAATTTGATGACAGTGTAGATGATTGGGATTGTTTCTCCGACTTCCATTGTCTATAAAGTTTTTTGATTCTCGTCGTTTCGATTGATGTGATCTCCAATCATCAGGCGAACTTGCGAGCATGCTCCTTGCTTGCACTTGTTTGATGTTTCTTACAATCGGTTGCCATAGTGGTTGAATTTCCACACTTGGACTAGCGTAAACATTTTCATTTATTATTATGATAGTCGTTTCCTTTTAATTTTCTCCGATGCCAGTGTTTCTTTGTGTAAGGTCTCAACGTTGTTTGCTATTCAAGATTTATTTGTTGTTCGATGTTGGATTTATGCTCTTTTATTCTTATTAAGAGTGGTCTTTTTGTTTCTCCTATGTATATTTCTCCGCATTCACATTGCACCTGGTATATTCACAATCCTACAAAATCTTATAGACATATAGACAATGGGACTCCGAGAAACAACACTTCACTTAAGTATTTGTCTGAAACTTATTAACATCGTTTTCATTTTCCATTAATAATTCGTCATAAGTGAAATTCTTGGACAAGATCGTAACTGAGGGATATTTAACAAACTCGAACTATTGTTGAGTGGGATATGTAAGAAATTACAGAAAACTTGATGTTTATCTATTGATTTTTCCAACACAATCTACACAGAAATATTTCTTAACAATTCTTTTGCAATTTTATGGGTATGTCTGGGTGTACTGTTATATTTTTCAGTGTAATTTTTTTTGTTAAATCGATTGCACGTTTGCATTTTTCCAGGCACCTCCAAGTCCGCATCTCATTGTCAACTCGCTTGAATTTCCTGCCGTGAAAGATGTTAATAACATTGCCTCGTCTGTTAAAAAACTAAAAGTATGTGCTTAACAACGACTATTTTTAAATGAGTTGAGCTGTACTGTTGACCACTTTGAGACTACATATATTTTGCTCATATGGTTTAAGTTGTTTAGGGAAGATTTAATACTGTTCAAAAGTGATGCAGTGAAAAGCAGCTCATTTGAAATAGAGTATAGAGCATGTTTTTCCTTAGTATGCATGAATTTGCATGAAATAAAAGTAGTTATAGAAACGTAGATAAAAAAATCCATCCTCCGGTTTTCATTATTCATGAAGCATATTTATAGTATTAGGTTGAGACATCCTGTGTAGGGGATATGAACAAGATGAGATAGCTAAGCGCTTGCTTCAGACGTCCGCCTAGCTGACATAATGGTTGCCACTTACATACGGATTTCGATGGGACCAGAAACTGGCAGGCCAATGTTTCAGTACTAACCATCACCACTCATGTGCGTTCTTCCATTTGTATGTGGCACACAGGCAGTTGCGTAGATAGATACGATATCTGCGACTCGAACGTGAAGTGTGAGGTGATTTTAATATTCAGACACCCCGATATACATCTGGCTTGTATCACCGCCTTCTTTAATAGTTGCCGGATTGATCCAGGCCTGCCTTTGGTGAGGACGTACTACGGATCCAGTTGGGCCTAAGCGATGTGATCCTTCGAAATAGGTCAGCACAAAGTGTCATCTATTACCAGAATCGACCACTGTGAGAGTGGAATAGCAATCTCTCCGTTGGAACTGTATCTCAGTTCGTATTTGACAGCTAACCGTCAGATCCTTCTGACTTCGGCCTACTATCCTAAGCGTGGTGAACTTCATACATCCTGAACTGACCGGTACGACCGCTCCTTTGTCCTAGAGTGTCGAGATTGTGGAACAATCTGCCTGAGGAGGTTTTTCCCAGTTCTACAAACCTTTGGCAGTTCAAAAATCGGATTAACCAGATGTCTCTAAGCTCCTTATACTAGCCGCGGTGTCCCGGTATTTAGGCTTAAAACTCACCAGCATGGTCTAGGGTTGGCCTCAGTTGGGACAACAAATGAAAGTTGAACAATTATCCTCAATCCGAAGTATAAGGTTTATAGTTATAATGCAGCACAAAGCACGAAATAGAGAGGGTGGAAGTCTGTCTTCGGACATATGGCAGCTATATTACTAGTTCGATGAGATTGTGTTTACTTTTTCTTAAAAACACTATGAAGGAATATGTTAGATAAAAAATAACTAACCATTTAAAACGGTTATTCAACCGCTGTATTTGAATATTCAGTATATTATGCATGATGCCAATTATTTCTTAGTTTGCCTGATATATTGTTTTGTTTACATTCACTCTACACACGGAAAACACTGAAAAGACCTCATGACCTTACATTTCAACAAAATTGATAAGCGATTGTACTATGGGCAGTGTTAAAGAAAATTAATGAACACCCAGGAAACAAAATCACATGATTGATGATGATTATTATCAAGAAAAAACAAGAATATTTGGAATGTTGTTTGATTAAATTTACCTTAACGATTTTGCCGAAAAATACCTTTGCGCATGCGGTTCGAGGTTCCACACGAGACTGTTGCATGAATTGGATTCAACAGCCGAAATTCGACCTGTTGAAGATGTTTATGTGTCGTTCCGCGTGCCATTCGCGATAGGAGATAGAGTTCCGAGTCTCGAGACTAATACAGCACTCATACAGAAAATCTATTAGAGTCTCTCAAAATATTCTAATTCGAATTGAAAAAATATGTGAAGCAATAAAAGGGAATGTGCCTTGTGTATTTGCTTCTATTTATTTTTAGAGTTTGGATTTGGGTTCAGAGTAGACGTGGTTTTCACGAGGAATGACACATTTACCTTTTAGTCCGCCTACCAGTGTAGGCATATGTCTGACCCTGAAAGTGGTATCGAAGTGTTTAAATATTACACGATCTCGGAAGTCAGTTATGAAAAATCACGAGGCCATCAGGAAATCGTACCAACTCTAAGTTGGCACCATCTTGTCAGAAGGATATCTTATGGTTATATAGAATTCCGACCATATTTGTGGTACAGCTTGACGTGGACATTTACCGTTCCACCATGGTAATTTTCATGAGGGTGAATTTTCGTCCTTCGTTTACACAATTCTGATGCGTTTCTCCGACTCGAAGCGAACCACGATGAAATTCACGAATGACTAAATATTACATGTGCAATATAAAATGTCCAGATCAAGTCGTTGGAACCAATTTTCGACGCACTTATTCCACTCGTTTACTGGCAGATCCAAAACGGCATTTTTGAATACGTCAACTGCTTCTTCTTTGACCATTGAGTCTGTTTTGAATTTTCGGGAAAGTAAAGAAATCGTTAGGATTTAGATCGGGACTATATGGAGGATGGTCCAATAATTCCACGTTTTCTTCCGTTAAATACTGCCTTGTTTTTTTTTGCTGCACACGAGCTTGCATTGTCTTGGTGGAGGATGATTCTTCTTTCGGGGTTGATTTTTCGAAGCTCGGTGATGAATTTTGGCAAACAAATGGTGGTATACCAATCCACAGTAACAGTTCTTTGCTCATTAAGAGGAATTGTTGCAATATGACCCGCTTTTGACACAAATGTCGCGACCATCTTTTTCGACACACTTCGAGAACGGATGACTTTTGTTGGCGGTGAAGCGTTTTTTGACACCAATTACCCTTTCGCGAAACTAATTTTCTTACTCCTAATTCTTCATGTAAAATTTTTTGAATTGAGGTCTTCGAGATCTTCATGGACGCCTCAATTTCGCGATATGTCACATGTCTATCTTCCATGATGAGTTTGCGCACAGCATCGACGTTTTCCTGGGTGACTGCCGTTTTTGGTGCACCCACCCTGGGATCGTCGCTAAGACTCACCCGTCCACGTCTGAATTCTCCATACCAACGGGAAATTGTCGACTGATGTGGCGCTTCGTTGCCAAAAACAGAGTGACTCAGCAAGGCATTCTTGTGGCGATAATTGTCTCTGAAAGTTGTAATAAATTATGGCGCGAAAATGTTTTCGGTTGAGTTCCATTTTTCTAATGACTTGGTGACACTTAAAAATTCACTGTAGTGAGAACACTGCACGTATTGTTGTGAAACTTTGAATTTAAGTTTACTAAAGAGTGAGGTTAAGATTCAGTACTGACGTTCGATCCGCGCGGCCTACTATGTTTCTATATGCAAAACTTGAAAGACATCCCTCGTATAAATCTTGAAATACCTATTAGAACACCATTTGCAAATCCACTTCAAAATTAGAACCTGTGGCTGACCGGTTTTTGCATAATCCCTTCAATTAAAGCCACATAATTTCCCCCCAGCTTCAGCTGGATACGACGGCAGCCAATGCTTCCTGCCATCACCCGGGTGGCGTGACCAGCGGTCCCACCACCTCAGAAATCCTCTCTCCAGTGGCTGAGCCCGAACAGCAACAGCAGCAGGCCTGCTTCTCCACTACGGCTCCGGCCACAGTGACCACTTCTGGTGGGCCCATACATCTGGCCGAGTTGAACGATAAGCTCAGGAGGATCAATTCGAGGTGTGACAGTGCTGAGAAGACAGACGGGGAGGTGCAGACTATTCAAGAGGGAGCTGCTCAAGGGTGTGGGCAGGTTAGGATTGCATTTTTTATTGTGTTAAAAGTATCTAGCATAGTTATGTTGCGAATAGAAACTACAAACGTCAAACAGCTGGCATAGAAATTAACAGCCATAGAATCACCATATTTTAGGGAGTTTCTCAAAGGGTATATATATATATATATATATATATATATATATATATATATATATTGATTGATCTTTTTTTTTATTGCATGTGCCAAAAGAGGGAAGGGCTGTTTCGGCTTCAGTAGTTCATTTATTGGATATTTATTCAGAATGGAACATCGCCCAGATTACACACGTTTTATTATATTTTCTTATAGAAAAATCTAAAAATGCATACTACAGTCTTAGCTACAAGGTAGTAAAGTTTGTTTAGTGCTTCTTCAAATTTTGACGCCAATACATTTGTTTCATGATTACAATTACAAAACATGTATATAATTGATTATGTTATTTAACAAAAATAGTTTCTTTTTCACTTTTTCAAATATCTCGTATTAATTACATTTCCTAAGCGTAAAAGCAGTAAATCATTTTATCAAAGTGAAAAAGAAAAAGTTTTCAAACTAAACTGCTTTTATCTCTGTATGATACAAGTACTGCCTTTTTCCCCTTTACAGCCTATTATTATGTTTGTCTAATATATTGTTAATAAGTATTTATCGATATAATCACTTTTTTCGGATAGAATAATTTTGAAGAATATTCTTTAACTTAGCATATCTGTTTTTAGTTCATTTATATGAATAATTTATAAATATTTAAAGGTAATTATATAATTATTAAATTATTACGTGTTGACAAGCTATACTGTTTATGTGAATTTCAAACAAATAAATTATATTAAAATAAAAGAAAATTCTGCATTACTGCGTTTTTCCTTTGAAAGAATAATATAAATAGATTGTGAAAGCTAATTAAAAAGGCAATAAATTTATTTTTGCAGAGTATAAAAGTAAATCATGTGATACTGCTTTTTGATTTACGACAACTAAAGGCGGAATGGCAAGAATTATCACCCGAAATTATATTTAAATGACTCATGACTCTCTATGAAGCTATATAACTTTGAAATATTCATTCACTTTTGTTGTGTCGTAATAATAATTTATTTCGAAAAACCCAGAATTTTGAACTCAATTTTCCCAGACTTCGATTTTTACACTTTACTGCCTTTTACCTAAGTACGGCAGTATAGGAATCTATAGGATCTTGTTGGTTTCTCTTTGTTTCCACCGAATGGAACTTTTGTACATTGAGATAATTTGGGGAATTAATGCGAATATGATTGTCAGAAAATCGGAAGTCTGATTTGAGGCAAAAATTAGCAGGTTGGGCTAGATTCGATAAGTGCGAATGAATACCAAAAAATCATGAAGTATCGTGAGGTCGAGTTTGTGGTAGAACATTAGCTGTTTAGGACCATCCATGAATCGTCGCATCAAATGATATCAAATTCTGAATGAAAGACTGATATAGACAAACTAAAAATTGTGTCATCTCTACATTTTCTTTTACGCAGGCCCTGCCCCAAGACTACTCTCAACAACCGCCTTCAAGTGCAGTTTCTAGGGAAAGGCGGGTGTCTAGGTTTAAGGTGAGCGTTGTGACTGAGCCGGATAAAAGCAAATTGATTATACCACCCGAAGTACAAGATCGAAGGGACAGTACTGTGTCTGTATCATCGGAAAACGAAACGAGACGAGTGGCAGATTATGCAACTGTCATCAACACCACCTTCGATTCACTCAAGACTACTTTAGTGAAGTCTTTGCCTTCGGGCGCAGGTGAGTTGTTAGATAGTCGTACAGTCAGATAAGGCTAGTTTACACAATTCAGTGCATGTGCCCAAAGTTCGTTCATATGCAGTGATATTTCTTACTTCCGTTAGTAGCCCAGACCTCATTACATTTTATCTACCCCAGTAAACCTATGACTCAAATGCATTTTACATAAAATGTTCTTAACAATGAAAGGCGAATAGGGTTGCCTGCGGTAAATGCGTTTAACTTCAGTTATAAATTAGGATTTTTGACGTGTCATTTTGACTTTACAAACCCCTGTTGACAGTGGTAAATGCTAGCATCAAGTTGGTCATGAGGGTCAGACATCTTGGGCGCTGTTCTCATCAAAACCAACCCGATAAAGTAACATACTATTTAATTATTATAAGGAGGCGAAATATGAATGAACTATCCTTGTTCTTGAAATATCTGATTGAAAGAAAAATTGCATAACCAACTTATTTCATGAATAAAATGTAGTAAAATTTCGAAACTGAGATACCTTTTCTGGTTGTTATATGACATGTACATCACGAAAAAACATTTCACTCATTTCTGTCGGTCTGTCCGCTAATCTTATAAGTCACACATATTTCCCTACATCTGCCATGGAAAATGGTGCATTTGCTTTATATAGTTTGATATGCAGAGGTCAAAGATTCATGGCATCTAGCTAACCTACCTAATCACGATTCGATTTCGCCTTTTGAAACGGCTTGCCTCGTCCCTTTTCTTTGAAACCTGACATCGTTCAAGTCGTATGCAACTGCCAGTTGCTCTAAGCGAGAACAGTCCTCTAGGGGTCAAACGAATTGACCGTGTGTTCGTGTAAACTGGTTTGGAATCATGTGCTGAAGAAAGTTCTTGAAGATTTATTTAGCATTAGTGCTACAATATCAATTTTGTATAATGATTCGGTTACATATTTTTCTTCAATCCATTTTCTGTAATTTTACATTCTTGTCTATTAAAATTACGTCACTATGTATTTTGATTATTCATAAACTGATTTTTTTAATTTCCCTTAAACATTTTTAAATTCGTACTCTGTTTAATATCATTATTCAATTTATTAAATTCAAATACTCTCTTTTGAAATATAGAACTACTTATGTTACTATTACAATTTTGCATATGAAAATCTATACTGCCTCTAGTTTCGTAGTTATGATAATGACTAATTTTGTGAAGTTTTCTAAATGTGGTGGTAATAAATGATTTTTTAATTTGAAAATGAGAACTAAATAATATATGAAATTTTTCCCATCCAACCACTGCAGTTCTTCTAACATATACTTAATCCTGGCATATTTGTTTTTATTTAAAATGATTCTCATAGATTTATTTTCTAGAATTTGTAATTTTGAAAATGTTTTCATTTGCTGTAGACAAGATGGTTCAACAATATAAAAAATGGGAAAGAATTATAGTGTTATACACAATTTTTTTGGGATACATACTAAGATTATGGGGAACTCTATAGAAGTAATTTATCTTTTTCGATATTTTTGAGATAATGTATTCATAATGTTCGTGAAACAGTAGCTTACTATCCACATATATACCAAGATATTTCGACTCGACTACTTCAATGTTTTCATCATTAACCATGAGTCTAATTGTATTGTCACCTAAATGTTTCCCTATTGACATACATTTTGTTTTATTAGTGTGTAATTTGAGTTTATTGACATTTAACCAATTCATAATTTTTTCAATATCACTACTTAACAGTTCCAAAGCAGTGTCAAAATGCGTATGTGCTATATATAAAGGGTGGTCCATTTAAATTTTTTTTTTAAAATGCTATAAAAAAAACTACTAAATATTTTTCCAAATTTTTTTTTTATTTGAAAGTACAATCCTTCCGATTAAGTATGGAATACAACTTCATTTAAATGACTGCCATGGCTGGCTTTGCAGTAGCCCATACGGTCAGTCCAATTTTTGACCACATTTTCAATCGTATGTGGCTGTATTTCAGCAATGGCAGCGCGTATGTTCTCTTTTATTTCGCCAATTGTTGCTGGTTTGTTGGCATAACATTGGTCTTTAATGGCACCCCATAAATAATAATCTAATGGGGTCAAATCACAGCTCCGAGGCGGCCAAACAACATCAGAATTTCGGCTGATAATGCGATCACCGAAAACACTTCGCAGAAGAGCAATCGTAGCGTTTGCTGTGTGACACGGAGCACCGTCTTGTTGAAACCAGATGTTACCGACATCAATATCTTGAATTTGTGGAAAGAAAAATTCATTTATCATGGTACGGTAACGCTCACCATTCACAGTAACTGCTGCTCCGGCTTCATTTTCAAAGAAAAATGGGCCAATGATGCCACCAGCCCAAAATCCGCACCAAACAGTCACTCGTTCTGGATGCATTGGCTTTTCTTCGTTTGCGTGTGGGTTCTCTGAACCCCAAATGCGGCAGTTTTGCTTATTAACATAGCCGCCAAGATAAAAATGCGCTTCATCTGAAAAGATGATTTTTCGACCAAAATCAACATCTTCATCAAGTTGATTGCAGGCCCATGAAGCGAAGCGAAAACGCATTGGATGGTCAGTTGGCTTCAATTGCTGAACCAATTGAACTTTGTACGCCTTCATACCAAGGTCTTTATGCAAAATTCGACCTAATGATGTGCGTGAAATGTTCAATTGTTGAGAACGTTGGCGCGTTGATGTGCTTGGAGACTCTGCCACACTCTCAGCTACAGCATCGATATTCTCGGGTGTACGCACCGTTTTCGGTCTTTCACGTGTTGGTTTGTCAATAAGAAGACCAGTTTCACGAACTTTTTGCACAAAATACCTCACATACGGTGCTGACGGTGCTTCATTTCTTCCCATTTTTGCACGTAATTTTCGGACACAATCTGCAACATTACCACCACTTTCGAAATATTGTTTTAATATTTACCAGCGTTGTTCAAGCGAATACACAACCATTTTCGTTAATCGGAATGATATGACTGATGTTCTGTCAAATCAGATGCGAAATAAGTCTTGACATATCCCAAAAAAACCAGTAACTCAAAAAAAAACGATAGATGGACCACCCGGTATATAAGTGTATCGTCCGCAAATATTATAATTTTCCAGTGTTCTAAAATGTCAGAGATATCATTTATATAAATAATAAATAGTAAAGGTCCTAATTTGCTCCACTTTGGCATCCCTACTGCTATATTTTGAACACGACATAATATTTCCAACTTTAGTTTTTTGACTTCTATTTACTAAATAATTTTGTGAAATGTGTAATACTGATCCTTCAAAGCCATAGTGACGCAATTTCATTAAAAATTTTTCCCTATCTATAGTCTCAAATGCCCTTTTGAAGTCTAAAAATACTGTTACAATATATTCTTTTTCATCTATACTTCTCCTGTTTTCCACCACCATTTGGATTGCTGTTTCTGTGGAACATTTTTTTCTAAATCCAGCTTGATTTTTTGTCAAAATTTTGGTTTCTTCAATGCATTTTCTATGATTTGTTCGTATATTATTCCTTCGTACAGCTTCTCGACATCGGGCAAGACATTAATCGGTCGCATATTTGTAAACTAAACAATGATTCACCAATAATGATAATAATTTCTCTCCAATTATACTGAATTTAGAATATTTTTTGATAGATTCTCACTTGGATTTTTATTAGATTTCAGTTTTGAGATAGCTTTTCTTAGATTGTTGATGTTAATTGTCCTAAATTGCTTCATTGATGAATTCTGACATATTTGTAATGGACAGAGTTTGGATCACCGTCTTCAATCGTCTTCACTATTTGATCTACACTTTCTATAAAATAAGTGTTCATTCTTTCTGCTATAATTAATTTGTCTATCACTACCCCATGAGATATGGATCTAAATGTGCTCAAATTATTATTTCTTAACTAAATGTTTGCGTTCTCATTTTAGTTGAGGAGGTTCCTTTAGTTCAGGAAGAAGAAGTTTCCAATATAAAGGTAAGCTTAATATGTAATTTAGCTTTTGTTTTCTTTTGAGACTAATATTTAGCGTTTGTTTTTAATTATTTCATTCGTTTATTAATACGTCCATCGTTGTGACTGAAACTTTCATTTTTAGTTATCCATCTAGAAGACAGCCTGAATCCATTGTTTTATTTTGCATAGGGTTTGTCATTTACAGCGAGCTGTCATTTGTCACTAATACCTTTTATTTTTTTTTGTAGTAACGCTAACATGAAACCAAATCAACAGCAGTAGTTTAGATCGATTCAGTAGACATTAGTTGGGTTTTATTTTTTCCTGTATGTCTTTTGGCGCCGTAGATCGAGTGTTAGAGGTTTCGATGAAGGAAATCTGGAAATGATTTGATCCGTATATCAAAATATTATATTCGATTGTTGACCAACTTATTCTGTAAGAAGATATCCAACCATATGCTGTGTTTGGATGTTCCTCCTAGTTATTCCTAGGATTTTGTATTGTCAGAATTTCTCAACAACGGAAAAGAAAAATCCATAACCTGCGGCATCAGTTCTAGAGGTATATTTATATATGTAAGCTTATATGATTCGCGGCGCTGCGGCATGTAAGCTGATTTTTGCACAGGATGGGCGTTTAATTGGATTGGGTAACTTCTGTTGAAATATGTTGATCAATGATTCAATCAAAATATATGGGATGTCAATATTGTTGGAATGTAATTTTTGTCATTTCGGATTGTAAATCTTTACTAGAGTTCCGGAAACGTTTTTGACGTTTCTAAGTCTTGATCTGCTGGACGCTTGTATTGGTTTTTTATTTTTATATTGTAGCCGCATGAAGTTGGTAACAACAACGACATTGGCACCGCGCACCTACGCACTAAACCGTCTTACACCAGACAACATCCCGACGTCTACTTTCATTCGATGCGGTCGCTGAAAAAATCGATATCGTACGTTGATCTTAAAAAACAAATCGAACATTTGTTACCGATTAAAGAGAATATGGAGCTTGCTCCGAACCCGAGGAGAAAAAACAGCGGTCGACGAGTATCAAAATCGTTCAGACAGTTTCCACAAATCGTCGTGCATCCTCCTGATAACTATCAGCTGACGAATAGTATGCCGGATATTCATTCATTTTTAGTGAAAAAATGTAAGGAAAAACATAGCGGGAGTTTGTTTGATCAAAATGCTTCGTGTCCAGATTTGACAGACGATTCGTATTTTAACAACATTGAGACAGCTAGTGTAAGCAGTATAGAGGTGGAAGAAGATTGCGAATGTTCAGAAAGTGCTTCGGTCTGCAGTGATTCAGTCTTCTATCGCCATGAGACGCGACCGACAAGAGAATCACCATCTCGAGAAGCTGTCAAACTGAAGTATTCAAGTAGTATACCACGTAGGAAAAAGAAGGATGATTCTCCGAGTGATTTATTACGCCGCAACTGGAAAGTCAAGCACTCCACCTCGATGCACAACTTACCTAGAACTAAACCACTGGAACCTGCATTCGATAACTACTACACTGTTCACGGCGAACGTCACTTTTCTCATCACTGCCCACCTTGGAGCACTGGCAACCCCCGGTACGCGTTCCCCGATTTCAATCCATTTTTTACGCCCCCGCGATTCAGCTATTTCGGTGCCTTGGAGGCGGCAGCAGGTCTTTTCCACCCTTCTGTGACCTTGCCCGCACCCGAGGTTATTTACAAATGTTGTTGTGGCGGTGCTACATGTAAGACGGTGGTGCCGATATACGAGTATTTGGAAACGTATTTCGTCAAGCGGGTAAGAGAACCTTGATATGATGTACAGGTCAGAGGGGCTTGGACTATAGAGACGGTTGAGGTAGAGCTCCGGTTTGCAGAAAATGTTAAGCCAACACACAATATAAATTGAGATAAATCAACGAGCCAACAGCGGGAATTGCATTGAAATTATTTATTTCTCCCACATTCTCACTTTCAGTAGCAGCAATTGTGAAGATAGATTGTTAGATTGTGATTTTTGCAAAATTTGTTACTACGTTCTAGTATTGACGTATTCCACCTGAAAATGGTCAACCATATACCGTATTCCGATGTTCAGAAAAGAATCTGAAATATACTAGCGCCATCTAAGATACCTAATTAAACCGTGGCCATTTATGAGATAGCAGTAGAACCAGACACTAACTCTTTTCAAAATAGATTTCTAAATTAATTTTTGTGTTCTGCTGTCTTATAGATGGACCTAGTACCTTTATGATCATTTTTTGATGTACTTGCTGTGTGGCAGATGCTTGCGACACTGTTCCAGATATTGCACCCGTTCTGGTAACATCTGTTGAAGGTATCAGCGGTTGTGTAGTGGTAGACTAGTCAGTCGCCGTGAGCTGCGCGGGTTCGAATCCTGTCCCAAGAGAATTTTTCTCTTGGCTATGGATGCTGTGATTGTCCTTAGGAGCTAGATGGCCTCAGACTGTCGAACGTGGAGGTACCACCCGGCGGATCTCTTAGGCAGGTCTAGAATGTGTGCATGTTACACGTCATGGAGAGCATATACAGTAATAATATTCGTACATCGTAATCAATAATTAAATAACACTCAATTTGTACACACTGTCGGTTGTTGCCCAGACAAGCAGCTAAATGTAATCTTATACTTGGTCAATATTCCCTCCGTCACATGTTGTTACAAATATACCATCCTGAGTGCCTGCAACCCACAAGGAAAATATCAACAAAACGGCAGATGCGTTATTCCTCCTTAAGAAGAATTCACGGCATTCGTGCTACATGAACAGCGTAGTGGATTTTGTAGTCGCAACTGGGATTTTTTACATAATAATCATATCGGAGTGAATTTTAGCAGCTAAATGTCTTGAAATATGCGATATCAGGTATGATGTGAAAAATTATCAACTGTAAAGTGGAGCTCTATTGCAACCTATTCGTAGTTCGAGGTCAAGGTGATTATTTGGTGGTTTGTTCTCTCTTTTCGTCTGTCTTTCGTTTTCGCTGCGTTTGATGTTAGAACAAGCTTTTTGTTTGGGAATCCAGGTGTTACTTCTGATAACGATAGCGTTACCTAGTGTTGCAGACATCACATACTTGATTATGATAAGAGGGATAATGTTAGAAGTCATTCAATTTGTTTGCAACTGGTATTATGTTCCACAAGATCATTAAAACATCATGACAAGACCGTTTAAAACATCATCATTCTTGAAATCACACTTCAGTTATGTGTTAGACTCTTGGCTTCTTAAAATCTCTATATGCCTTCTTGGATACCATAAAATATGTCTTCGTACCTACTGACACTGACCATACTTGGAATAGGGATAGTACGACCATAATACATAAACTCCATTCTTCACTCTGATCTATTTTAAAGTTGATCATTACGTCATAATGTATGTTTTTGGGTATCTTCATCTCGGTCATTATAAATGAAATAAATATGGAGAGTTAGGTTAGATATGTCCGACATTTTATGCGTTTAAATAATGTGTTACTTTTATTTTAAATGAGGGTGCAATAGATTCTTAACAGTAAGTTAGTTAACAACTGGATGCCCACAATTATAGCATAGTATTTGTTCCACTAACTTAACTGTTAACAAATAATATTTCTTCTGCCTGCATTTGTATTGTGAACATTAGAGTAGGTACTAATACTAATTAATAATTATAACACCAATTTCGTGATCCCAATATTATAAAAATATCATTCTTGTTACTGCAATATGACATGTGCCTAGGATCTAGGCAATTATTTTCTTAAACTTGAATGTATAAAATAGTGCAGATTTTATCACAAGACTGCATTTTGACCTGTATTTGTGAATTTGTAAAACGATAGATGACCAATGCAAGGATTGACGGATTTAGTAAATTTTAGTATGAATAAACCTCATATGAATTCACATGAGAATATTTTTTTTACGTTGAATATTTTACCCTCAAAATATTTTTTGCTCAACGGTAATTATACGTTTTGGAAACGAACCAATTTTTATTTTTTGTATTATAGGAGGAAACTTTCGAGGAAATGCTAAATAGGCAAAAGGCTGAGCTCAACGCTTTAATGGAAGCACATAGAAAACAGCAGTTAGAATATATGGGTAAATATAAACAAACATTCAGTCGTTATTAGTATTGATAATTATTTTTAATTATTGCAGAATTTCATCGAAAACAAACAGAAAGGTAACTATAAGTAACTTGGAATGTAGAACCTCCTTTTCTGTCGAAGCATTCCACAAAATTTTATATAGCTAATACTTTTTGCATCCTCTTTCTTTAGTGCTTGTTTAATTTTATCTATCAGTTTTCAAATTTGTTGCGAATGACAAAATCAATATACAGTGTATTACCAGTATTCCAACCTCATAGGGAGCGTTAAAGGCCTTGCTCACCGGCAGGGGTATTACGTAACTTGAAAAGTGACGGCTTCTTTGACATTATATACATTTTTTATGACATTATGGAGGTTCTCCTAAAATACGTTAACTTGGAACTAGCTGTCGTTCACTTCATGCTCACTTGTAGCAAGCCCGGAATGAACTATTTGCACACTAGCCTACTTAGTCAATAAGTTGACATTTTATCGGTCTGACATTATACGTAATCTCAAACATACATATATGCTTTTTACATAATAACCCTGCGGAACGCCAGGGCGACGTTTCCAGCATCCGTAGCCACACTAACCTATTAAAATACATGACAGCTCCCTGACGTGGCGACTAGGGTCTATGGGTGTCAAAATCGATATTTCAGTATGTTAGTTTGGCTACTCTTAATAGCAACAATACTCGACGTGTGGGCCGCAACGAGCTGGTCCCATGTTGCTTGACTCGTGAATGGTCACATACTGAATATCTTACATTTGTTCTGAACTTTAAACGTTTTTTTTATTTCCAGGAAATAACTTTAATTTTTAAGCGGATTGATTATTAAGTGAGAACGAAAGGCTGTATATTGATTATTGTTTATATTGTATTATAATTAAAAAAAAAACTAGTTATACTTATATTTGCTGATAATTTATTTTTAATATCCCCTGTTACGTCTAGTTTTTTGTTTTATTTATTTTAGCAAATGATCAGTAAAGTCTTGTGATAGATATATTTTTGGTGTTTTATTGAAAATAAATGAATGGTTCCTTAAGATTGTATTTTATTCAAAACCAGAATGAAAGGGCGAACTTTTGTTACCGGGGTTTCATAACGCGAGAAGGTACTAAGTACAATATTCATAAGTAAAAGTATTAACACGTTGACTGCCATGTGAGACCAATGTGTCACCATAGTAAAATGAAAATTCTGGTCGCATGATTCCTACGTGGACTCGCACTGGCAGAGAACCCATATTGCTGCGTGAAGCTGCCTTTGAATTACATTGTATCGATGAATAGGCGGCCCAATGAACCCGTAGAAACTGTTGGCCTTTACTTGTGTGATACCACTGTGGTCTCGCATGAGAAAATATTGTAGTAAAAGTCGAAGTTATAGTTTTCATTGGTTTTTACTTCTAAATAATTATTTCAATTATAACAAATCTTTTAAAAAGAAAAAAGATAAAAAAACGAGAACCTAAACATGTGCACTGAAAATATTAATTAATTCTGGTACAAATGTGAACCTGAAAGAAACAATCTAAGCAGTAGTGCTTTTAGCAACCTATGCATTTTAATGTCGTTTGTAGAGTTTTACGCATAGCAACGTTTCCTTATGACCTATGAGATCTTCAATTTGTTGTATACTGGCACTACTGGCGGCATCGGACTTCTGCACAACAGCTCCAGAAGTTGACGGTTGGCTTCCATCAACAAAGTCCTGTACACTAGTTGTCGAAGTAGAGGTTGGTTTTTATCAAAATCAAATGTCGTTTTTACTGATTTTTCACTTTTTCGTCTTTTCTTTCCTGAATCTGAATCAGAGTCAGTCGTATTGTCAGAAGGCTGATATTCATCTGATGATGTGTCTCCAAACAAGTTTTCATCGTCTATTGCGTCTTTAGGTAAAAGTTCTTGCCAAAGTTTTTGGAGGCGGAGTTGTTCTGCCTCGTATGATATTGTTATAATACTACTTGTCTCGATTATAATCGGTATTATAAACTATTGATCAAACTAATAAAAAGAAAACTCAACTGATATACGCAACAAACTCTTTAGACTGCCATGCATTCAGGCAGAATCTGGTGATGCATTGGTCTCACGCGGCCAACCGGCATAATCTAGTCATGATCAGCCGCGTGATGCAGTGGCGTAGCGAGAGGGGGGGTCCGGGGGGGTCCGGACCCCCCCCCCGAAATATCAACACATTCAAAAGTTTCGACTGTCTAGCTCTCACGGCAGCCGCGCCCGCGGTCAAACACTAGTGGAAGCGCTACTGAGCGACTGCCGCGCCGGCGCTGTTCCGCTGTTCCGCTGTCCGCCTTTACGGTACAGTTGAAGCTTAGCATGTGGGCGGATAAGGTAGACAGTGACGTGATGAGCCGACGAGTGTTGCTCTTTTGATGTTTGGTTCACGCTAATGACTCAAGTTTATATTGTAATCTTCACTACAGCTTCTTTTAAAAATGAGTAAGAGAACCATAGATCAGTTTTTTAAACCAAAAACCTTAAAAACGGACCCGGAATCAAGTGACAAAGTGTTAGTTCCGCTGTTGCCACGAAAAATAGAAGGAACCACTATTGGCTCGATAGAAGAAGAAAGCATTACGTTGACTCCAGATCCATGTTGTTCATCGTCTTGTGACCAATCCAGAAATAGTAGGCCTACAGATTCCCAAGTAAGCATTGGCCTAACCTCTGTAGATATTGACATAGTTTCCGACCATTTATTCCACTCCACAACCAGATTTGGTAAAACTACGGATTTGAAAAGTAAAGTGCTGAATGACTTATGTTATCCGGATGAGAATTTTAGCTTTCCAGTAACCGTGATCAACAATAAAAAATTAAAGTTTCAGAGGACCTGGCTAAAAAGGTTTAATTGGCTGGCTTATTCTAAGGCTAAGGATGGAACTTACTGCAAGTTTTGTGTGTTATTTGCCAATGAGTTCACTGGTAAAGGCCAACACCAAAAATTGGGAGCCTTAGTAACCATGCCTTTTAGAAAGTGGAAAGACGCAATAGATAAATTCACCTCTCACAGCAACTCTGAGTACCACAAATTTTCTTGTCTAGCTGCAGAAAACTTTATGAAGGTCGACTCTGGCCGAATGGAAGATATCACAGTGATGTTGGATTCGCAGAAGAGAAAAGAAAGAGAACAAAACAGAGCTTCACTCAAGCCTATAATTGACACAATTATATTATGTGGAGAAAATGAAATACCTCTTCGGGGACATCGGGACAGTGGGCCACTGACGCCCGAAAACCCTTTAGAAAAGGAGGGCAAATTTCGAGCCTTACTCAGGTACCGGGCAGTCACCGATGAAAGTTTTAAAAAACACATTTTTAACTCTGCACGAAATGCAACCTATATAAGCCCTGAAATCCAGAATGAGATTATTGTCATTTGTCGAAAACTTATACAGAAAAAAGTGGTTCAGTCTGTAAACAGTGCAGAGTGTTTTTCCATTTTAGGAGATGAAACGCTTGATGTGTCTGGGAAAGAGCAGTTTTCACTTTGCATTCGGTACATTTTGAATGAAAACAAACCGATCCTTAAAGAAGATTTCATTGCATTCACCCACATAACAGATTTGTCTGCTGAAAGCATTTATGAAACTATTTTAACAATTTCTGCAAGTGTAGGTCTCAACATGGATAAAGTCATTGGTCAAGGGTACGATGGTTGTTCAACGTTTAGTGGACATTTGTCTGGCGTACATCAAAGATTTCGGGAATCACACCCCAAAGCTATTTATGTGCACTGTGTTGCACATCGTCTAAATTTGGTGTTGAGTGACTCCTTAGACATGCCTTACATAAGGAATTGTTTGGGAACTATAAATGAAGTGGCCAATATGATGAGAAATAATACTCAAAGCGGTGATATTCTAAAGAGGTATATTGAGAATCTTGTGCCAGAAACTCAAAAAAGCCGCCTCCTTCGCCTGTGTGATACAAGATTCATCGAAAGACAAGATTCTGTCCATACATTTGTCGAAGTATTTCCAGCCATAGTTGCTACTTTGGAAGAGTTATCTACGTCCAATAGAGCAATATCGTCTTCAGCTGCCAATCTTCTAGCCTCTATCGAAAAAGGAAGTTTTCTCGTTGCAATGGTGGTGTGTGAATTCATATTCAGCATCACCCTTCCTCTTTCAAAATATCTCCAGAAACCTGAGAGTGACCTGTCATCTGCCCTAAAATTTGCTGATGACACGGTTGAACGTCTGAAGGATTTGCGTAAACCATCCGAAAATGGAGACAGCAGTGATATCAGGCAATTCCATCGGTTATTTGAAAAGGCTGAAAAAATGTCTCAAGATAATTTTAGAACAGCAATTGTTGTGCCCCGGCTAGTGGGGAAGCAAACTAAAAGAGACAACCCCCCTTACTCTACTCCTGAAGAATATTATCGTCGATCAATATTCATACCATGTGTAGATTCATTGATTTCTAATTTGGTTGAGCGGTTTGGGAAAAACAGATATTTTGGAAGCTCTAGATTGTTTACTCCCAAAGAATGTAAAAGAAACAAACATTCACAAACTGAAAACACTGAAGCTGTTCTACGATAGTCAGTGGTCTGATTGTGAGGTCGAGGCAGAGTATATGCTGTGGAATACAAAATGGAAAAATATACAAGAATCTGAAATTCCTAAGAAAATCATGTCGGTTCTAGATGCCTGCGATAAAAGCTTCTACCCTGCTATCAAATATTTGCTCCAGGTAACTATTTATTATTATACAACTAAGTAGGCATGTATAAGTTTATTTTAGTAATTTTTTACATTATTGAAAAATATTCAAATCAAGACGATTTATAACGACAAATAGTGAAATGAAATATTGATCGAAAATAAAACGGGAAAACATTTAATAATCCCCAACTGATTTCTAGCCAAAACTAAGAGAGATCAAATAGAACTTACAACAAATAACTTTTCTATTGTAGGTGCTTGCTACATTACCAGTTTCAACAGCAGAAGTAGAGAGATCATTTTCATCTCTCAAAAGAATTAAGAGCTATCTGAGGAATTCCATGAATGACCAACGATTAAATGGGCTTGCTCTTCTGTCAATTCACTATCCAGCTCCAATCAACAGTGACGAAGTTATCGATGAAATGGCCAGATATGGAAATAGGAGATTAGTGCTGTAACTTAGGGCATCATTTTGTTAATTTATTCATTCGACTAATCTTAGAATGTTATAAAGACATTCTAACTAAAATGCTCTACATCTGTTGTTTTTCCAGCATTACTTATGGTTTTTAAAAAGTTTAAAGCTCCGGATAAGTTACAGCACTATTTTTATGTTTATTTAGTTAAAACAGAATTACTACTTTTGTTCATCATAAAATAAATAAAAATATTAAGAAAACCTGAATTTCTAAGAAGTTTTTTCGATTATGCAGTGTTAAAATGGATTTAAGCCATCTATTCCTTACCGTTTTTAAAAAAAAATCCCGGACACCCCCCCCGAACGAAGTTTCTGGCTACGCCACTGGCGTGATGCCAATGTTTCACCACAAAAAAATAGTTGTAAAAACAGCGTTTTTTATTTTTGTTTGGGTTTTATTTCTTTCCTGCTTGCATTTCAGATTATTATGAGAGGAATCATGGAAAAATTGTCTTACGGTCAGTAGGGCATTTTTTTTTAGTCCATGGTGGCAGTCATCGTGTTAAGGTTGATTCTCACTATACATTCCGTAAAGTTACGTAAATTATTGAAATTAAATATTCGCCTTCGCTTAAAGCAGGTGTGTATGCACATTATCCGTATGCACATTAACCGTAAGGTATACTGTGTATACAATCACATTGTACGGAACTGATATGGAATGGAAACGGAATGTATAGTGAGAATCAACCTTTACTAGGAATGTGAAGCAGTCATTCAAAATATGTTTAGTTCGCTATTGTTTAATAGAGGGCGCCACATACGCGTCTCGATAATATGCCCTCACGCGGGAACTACCCGGTAGACCGGTACCCGCGCATGAGTGGATCCCATTCGCGGCTTCACCTCGCGTTCGCGCGTTGCTCCCGTTTTTGTCCTCATTCGCTGCTGTTTCAGTTGCCTCTTGCCTCATAGCGAGAGCCGGGAATGCTTGTGTTTTTTCCACTTCTTACCACTTGCTCTAGTTTTATTTATAATGCGTAATTATAAATTGCCAAAGTGCAAAGTAGCTCTGCAGCAGCAGTAGCAATTTCACCATCCATACTCAAGAGCGCGAACTATACTCATACTATGAAGCAGGAAGCAGGTGCAAACATCTGTGAGTGTGGAACTGTTGGAACAAATTTCGGGATTCGCACCGCGCCGTGATCCGCGCGCGAGTCTGGAGAGGGTAATATGTCCCACATTTTTCATAGGGTATCCAGAACAATCTGCAAAACTCCAGTAAATCTCGATTTGTGCGAGGAGGAATCTGTTGAAAATTTAGTTTACCAGGATCATGAGATTTTTGTCCTCATGGCTACTTAGTAAGTTTTTTGATCTTGAAGGTGTGACGTTGTAGAACCTCCCTAACACCGGTCATATTCATTACGTATGCAATCAGTAATACAGTTGTTACCGTGTAGTGGCATCTGACATTTTTACCCTTCAATTTGAAATATACTTGTAAGCATCTTGCAGATTTCTTAGGTTTTTTCAATCTTGTTAGAATATTGGCCCGTTTTAAATATCGCGCTAGGTTACGACACCTGCTGAACATTTGCCAAAGCTTTCATGTCAGTTTCGTTTGCTTATAGCTTTCTACCTCATACAGTATTTAGTTTCTCGTCAATAGATGGTGTACCCCAATGCAGGGGCGATATCTATGAACGAGAGACTGAAACTATAGAAATACGCACTTAGAGATTCCTATAATGGTTATGCATCTATTTAAACTAGCAATCAACAGATGGCAATCAACAAAGTAAAGACGCCACCTGATGCCAACATAATGAAATAGCAATAACCTTAATTTCAAAAACTTCAAAACAAATTTGATAAAAACCGTTATAAGATCTGAATACATATCTTCATGAAATGTGAAAATTGAATTGAAGTTTGCCGATAATTGTCAGTACAGCATCACGGTTGCACTGTTTTATGTGCGAGTGCAATGTCTACTCGTGAAGCTTGCACTGTGTCTGATCAAAAACAGACAGCTGGTATGTATAATTATACAATACGAAATTATATCAAATGAAGAGAGCTACAGTTAGAAAGTACTTTCAAAATATTCAAAAAAGTTAGAGTCAATATTGTGAATTCTGCACTATCAGATTAGATTCCTAACTTTCCAACAATAATTACTGACCATTGCATTTCTGTAGGAAGCGCTGACAACATATCCCTTGTTCTGCAAAGCGATGAGGAACAGTTAAAAATATCTGGCTTATCAAAGAGAGAAATCGCTAAGGTTAGAAAAAATGCATTTCTACATTCCTTCAGTCCAAAATTTAGAACAGGTGAATGAAATTCAAATATTTGTATATAAAAATACACCTAACCCAAAGTTCAATTTAGCTAATACATTACCACCTTGGGAAAGACTTGGTGCAGGCTGCCAATGTATAGACAGTATACTGAATGGTGGATTTCCTATAAATGGAATATCTGAAGTTTTTGGATATAGTGGTACAGGAAAAACTCAGCTTGGCATGCAACTAGCTCTAAATGTTCAATTACCATGTGCTATTGGCGGGAAAAATAAAGGTATAATTAGGAATTTTTTCTATCTTGACATCAATCATTGATGTGAAACGTTTAATTTTACCCTTCATTCATTCATATGAAGCATAAAATTTCCTAAAGACTCCTAATATTTTAGGTGCTGTATACATATGCACAGAAGATGTTTTCCCATCAAAAAGATATCACCAGTTGGCAAAGTCTTTCAGAACCTCACACAACTGCTCTGATATTGACTTTGAAGGTCAGACATACCTTTATCACTGTGCAGATTTTGAACTTTTGAAAAAGACACTGAGTGTTCAGCTCCCCAGATTACTAAAAATGAAAGAAATTGGTTTGGTGGTCTTGGATTCAATTGCTGGACCATTTCGTAGTGACTACGTGGAAGCTAACTATCATAACAGAGGACAGCATATCAATGAAATAGCTAAAGCATTACATCACATAGCTGAAAGCTATTCCATTGCAGTGGTATGCATGAACCAGGTATTTGAACAAAATTGATAAACCAAGGACATACCCAGATACCCAGCTCAATACAGAAGCGGGGGCTCCAGCAAAAAAAATTTGGTGGATGTTCCACAAATTATATCTACATGTTTAATATCTTTATATTCCTACTTGCTATATATATATATATATATATATATATATGAGAAGTAGTCATTGCCAAAGCCAACGACTAGTTGGGTACAAAATACAATTACTTGTTAATTGGGAAATTGGTAAAACTTTTAGGCTAAAGTTGACTCTTTTGACGATAAAATCAAGCTTTCGGCATTCTCTATGGAGCCATCATCAGGATTTCGTCGGTGAGGTTGCAGCCACAAGGTGTTTCAGAAAGAACGTAGAGAAGATCGAACTTGTGTTCAGTATAAAAACAAAAGGACGGGGACATTGGGCTTGTTAAAAAACGACAGATACCTTCGTTAAAAGTTAAGAAAAATAAAAATTATATCAATAAACCCGAACAAGCTAAAAATACTGCACATGGGGAGACATTTTGTTGACATTAGGTTTTGCCAATTTCCCAATTAACAAGTAATTGTATATATATATACGAGCAGTAGTCATTGCCAGTGCCAACGACCAGTTGGGCACAAAATACAATTAATTGTTAATTGGGAAATTGGCAAATTTTTAGGCTTAAGTTGACTCTTTTGATGATAAAATCAAGTTTTCGGCATTCTCTATGGAGCCTTCATCAGGATTTCGTCGTTGAGGTTGCAGTCACAAGGTGTTTCAAAATGAACGTAGAGAAGAATGATGAAATCCTGATGAAGGCGCTATAGAGAATGCCAAAAGCTTGATTTTATCGTCAAAAGAGTCAACTTGAGCCTAAAAATTTGCCAATTTCCCAATTAACAATTAATTGTATTTTCTGCCCTATATATATATATATATATACAGGTTGGCCCATCCATGTGTGGACGGAATATTGCTCATAAACAAATACATTTTGGGAAAATCTATTTATGGAATGTTAAACATGATATTTGAGGGCACATTTCTAAAATATTGGCCATTATACAGGATGTCCCAATTTCGAACTACTTATAAAAGTTGTGATTTTTTAAATGGAATGCCTGAAATTGTATTGCATATTTGGATAAACCAATTCAAAACAAGAAAATTGATATACTATTAGGTTTTGGTAATTAGCTACTGAGATATAAGGTGTTTTGTCTAGAAAAACCCCCCACTTCGGCAACCTCTCAGTCCGCCATTTTCAAATTTGGAGTGCTGTAATTTTGTATCAAAAAAAACTTGCACACCTCAGCTTTTATCTTATTTGTTACTTTTTCCAATTTTAATTTTTGCTCATACAGCGCGGTCAAAAACGCAAATTGTGGTTTTTCTCAAACATTTCAAATGCATCGCCCTGTATATTTGTAACAAGTTTGTATAAAATTTTTTATGAGCTTTTTTTGATATTAGACACATAAGGGTTTCAATTCGCCCTGTATAAGGGATAATTGACAATACGTCATATTTTTGCTCGTGAAAGTTTTCGAGTTTTTCAATAGGAAACCCGATTTAAAAACATGGAGATAGACTCTGGAGGTCAAAGTAATGATCCCCCAGGGTCCCCGATGATGAATGGACCCAGCCAGAAGGAGAGAACAGAAATTACCAAGAAATCAAAGGAATTGACACCAGCTGTAGCAGACGAAAAGGACGGAACCATCCAGCGCCAGACCCTGATCATCGAAAGCCAGGCCCAGCAAATAAATTAGCTGACTGAGACAGTTTGGGTCCAAAACAGTAAAATAGACTGCCTGACCAGCCAGGTAACACAGTTAATCAATAATGCAAATTTTTAATTCTAAATCTGACAAGGCTGTCAATTTAAAAAGACCTCTTGAAAATTTAACTGACATGACATCGACCGACGATGAAATACAGAATGACGGATTCATTCAGGCCAAGTCTAGGAAAAGACGCATCGACAAAACGAACAAAACCGACAAGACGGATGACTTCCCACCTCTTCCAAAAGCAAAATCGACTGACAGTGCATTATCTCAACAATCTCACGTTGCTGGTGAGTTGACCAGCTCAGCACCCCGCCAGGGGCGAATCACGCCCATTGTTTTGCGTGATGCGACCAAGTGGCGACATCTAAACTACACCTTTATAAGCTTAGGCATTAAGATAGAACGCGCAGTCGCCGTTGATGCGGGAATCAGGATTTTGCCGAAAACTGAGGATGACTACCGAAGAATCGTTCGCCTGTTCAGGGAGGAGGACGTGCCCCATCATACGTTCCCTCTTCCTTCAGAACGAAATATTCACGCGTTAGTCAGAGGCATACCCGCAATGTTTTCGGAACAGGAGATCAAAGGGGAATTAGAACAGAGGGGATATACTCGTTTCCACATTATCCGACTCCAACGCAGTGGCGGCGCACCCATGCCTTTGGTGGTCGTGATACTGCCCAAGATTGAAAAGTCCCAGCAGCTGTTCAATGAACATGAGCTGCAATCAGAGTTGAAGTTCAAAAGAACTCTAGACCTATTGGGCAGTGTCACCGCTGCCAAAGGTATGGTCATGCGAAGTCTTACTGCACAGCACCTCCCAAATGTTTAAAATGTGCTTCCGACCACATGACACATTTATGCCCCCTCACAGGACAAGAGGAGCGAAAGTGTGCGAACTGTGGAGGGGCGCATCCCGCTAATAGTCCCACTTGCAGATTCCCCCCAGACGAAATCTGGAAGTCATAGCGCAAAGACGCAGCAACTCATACGCGGAAGCAGCCGTCTCAACATCTTCGGTTGCCCCTCTGTTCAACCCACTATGAACGCGCAGAATGTGGACCTAGCAACTGCGCTTAGGTCCCTTCAACAAATAAGTCCCCTGATTAGCGCCACTCAGGCATTGCAGGCGATCTTTCCGCAGCCATTGAATGGCTAACTACAATAGACAACCTGCATTTGTCATCTGTCAGGTATCTTGGAATCATCATTGACAAGCGGTTGACCTGGCAGAAACATACTGATATTTTGAAAACAAAATTCCAAATTACCTTTTGGCAGCTTTATCCTCTGTTGTGCAGAAATTCAAAATTAAGTTTGATCAACAAAATTCGGTTGTATAAAATGGTCAAAGACCCAAAATCACCTACGCATGCGCGGCTTGGTGTTTTCTTGCCAAGACCCCCATGCAGAGACTACAAGTCCTGCAAAACAGAACCCTACGCACAATTATTAACGCCCCTTGGTACGAGTCAAATGAGACTATTCACAGAGATCTTGATATCCTTTATTTAAGGGATTACGTAAAACAACAGGCGCAGCGGCGTTATAATCAAGCGGAATCCCACAGCAACCCTCTGTTGCGTGATTCAGTAGACTACACAGTCGAGCAAGTTCGCAAACATTCCAGGCCGCGTCTCGCACTGTGATCAAAATTAAATTGTAACTTCAGGCGAGCCGAAATTATTTCAGTATACAAAACCGATCAAAATCATTTTTTGGAGTTGCAAAATAATTCGAGTAATCAAAGCAATAATGCTTAAGCTATTTCAAATGATTTACTTCTTTTCTTTGCTCTATTTCTTCCTTCCTTTCTTTCCCTTTTCTCCTTAAACATGTTTGGTATCTGGGTAGCCAGACCTGACAGACTAACAGACCGAGACTTTTAACTAAAAGCAAAGGTCCACCGCTCTGACGAATAATGAAGAATAGTAAATAAGGGTTTTTACGGCAATTTGTGGGTTATTAGCACGTCTTTTATGGAACAGCTTAATTCCCTAAAATATCGCATCATCCTTGGAAACAAATAAATTGTTGATTGGTTACAAACTGTCAAAATCAGTTTTGTGAGCATTATAATAAAAACGTGTTTGAAAATGAATTTTTCTAAAGAAGAAATGGTGAATATGGTGTTCGTTTTTAGCGAAGCTCAAAGAAATAGTTTCCTAGCATCTCACATTTATAAGCAACGGTACCCTAATATGTGACATCCAAGGCCGGAAACATTTTCCACACTACAAGAACCTTTTTAATCAAGTGGAGCAGTGCAATATAGTAAAAAACTTATAAGTAATCCAAGTGTCACCAATGAGGGCGAATCAGTTGGAGGTTCTATTAAAGTTGCAGGAAAATCCCCATTTAAGTGCATGGCAAATTGGAGCAGCAACTGATATATGCAGAACTTCTATCCAAAGGATTATTCACAAGCATAGGTACCATCCATATCACCTATGCATGCATCAAGGCTTCGTCCTCAGGATTTCGCAGCTTGAATGGCGTTTAGTAGAATAATGCTAAATAAAGTGAGTGAACGCACTACTTTCCTGGATAAGGTTCTTTTTAGCGATTAGGCAACTTTTAACAGCATAGGTGTTGTCAACAGGCATAACATGCACTATTATGCGACGGAAAACCCTTACTGGGTTAGGCAAATATGTTTCCAAAATAAATGGAGCTTGAATGTTTGGGGAGAAGTTGTTGGCAGACAAGTTATCGGGCCTTTCTTTTTCGACAACAGATTAACAGGTACATAATACTTGAATTGTTTCATCGAGCATTTGCCTTTGCTTTTGGAGGATGTCAACCTGCAAACTCGGATGCATATTATGTACTTCCAACATGACGGCGCATTATCATAATCGTGTGCGAAACTATTTTGACACATGGAGTAACAATCATTGGATCGGTCGTGATGGGCCTATATCTTGGCCTCCTAGATAACTAGATATGACACCGATGGACTTATTTCTATGGGGCTACGTTAAGCAAGAGGTTTATAGATATCCACCATCTACCCCGGAAAATATGAAGGAAGGGATTAAGGATTCTTTTCTGAACATAAGGGAACACATGCTGAGGGATGTGTAACGCTCATTTATCCAAAGACTACGGCTGGGTATTCAACATGGTGGAGATATTTTCTAGCAGTTTTTGTAGATTAGGTCTTGAGTAGTGATAGTTGTTTGTTTATGTTGTTGTTATGGTTGTTTTTCTCTATTACACTTGAAGCTGATTTATACTGCTCTGATTGTTTTTACGTCAAATCTGTACTTAGTGGCATTATGGAACTAGCCCACTGTTTATCTTTTGTTTCCATGGGTGATGTGATTTATTTCCTTAATTTTTGTGAAAAATTGAATCCAAACTTGTGCAAATATACAGGGTGATGCATTTGGAATTTTTGAGAAAAAGTACAATTCGAGTTTTTGACCATCTTGTATGAGCAAACACGAAAATTCTAAAAAGTAACAAATAAGATAAAAGCCGAGGTGTGTAAGTTTTTTTTGACATAAAATTCAACAAATTTCAAAATGGATTGAGGGTTTGCCGAAGTGGACGGTTTTTACTGGACAAAACACCTTACATCTCAGTAGCTAATTACCAAAACCCCATAGTATGTTATATCAATCTTCTTCTCTTGAATTGGTTTATCCAAATGTGCAATAAAATTTGAGGCATTCCATTTAAAAAATCACAAGTTTGATATGTATAACATGCAATTAATAGGTTTTCCCAAAATGTATTTGTTTATGAGTAATATTCCGTTGGGCCACCCTGTATATAGTATTCCACGACGATTTGATAATTCACATGGATATAGAAAACTACTAGGATTGCTTTTTTGAAACATTCAAGCAAAATATTGTGCGAGATGCTATTTTAAGTAATAATTTAGTCATTTGCTATACTTGGGATAGTATATGACATATAGCCAAAAATAGTTTATAGAATATATAGAAGGATATGTACCTAGTTTGTTCTAGAATGATTTGAAAAAGAACAATTTGTCACATTTTCACTAGTGTGATCCCGGAAACGGTAAGAGATATGGGACAGTTGAACGGTGGCAAAGTTACGTATTTATATCTTTTAGAAATGGCATTTGGAAAGTTTTGACGCTTTTATTATCTCCGGAGATACGAAAAGGGAACAAATTTTCCCAAAATCGTTTCTAATTTTTTCTGAATTTATTTGAGATAGGATTTCAAAATAAACTGCACATTGACACTGCCACTTTTTGATATCTGCAAGGTGGGATAAATAAAACAATATTTTTCGTCTTTTAACCCCCGTCTCAACTTTGATTTCTCTTTTGTATACCATTTTTGCAAAACAGCTTTTAACTCGGATTCCAAATATTATAGCATGGCATACATTTTTATAAAAACATGTTTCCTCAGTAAGCCTTAAAATTATCTTAGTCATTTACTTCATGGAATATCAAAGTTGATAACATGTTATGCATTGATATAAAACTTCAAGTGCCTAACTTATATAGTTGGTTTAAGCTTATTGAATGAGGAATAACACAATGTAACTCATTTATATTATTTAAGGGTAATAAAGAAGACATCGAAAACAGTATGATTTTTAAAAACTGAGAGCTGAAACGTCAGATCGATATTCTAATTATACCACCATGTAAAAGAGAAAAAGTAGTAATATTATTGTGGTTAGGACTCAAGCCAGGGAAAGATAAAAACGACTTAAATACTTTGAATTTTAAAACTGTCCAAGTTCCATTTTTTCATTTACCTAAACAACTTGCCCCCATAAAGTACTTTGCCTCATTTAGGCGAATGTCACAATATCAGTATTTAATGTGATCTGTCAATATCTTTATCATGAGATCTGCAGTTGACCTTGCAGCTTGGTCGTCAGTAATTATTGATTGTTATGCAGAAATCCAATGATGGTAGGGACCACAGTAAATATTGAATCTAACATTGATTTCAACTAATCCTAGTAATTTATCATCTGATAGATATTGATTCAGTTTGTGGAGAAACCTGAATGATGAATAATTTAACTTTTGTAAAAAATGTTTTCACAATTTAATTTTTGCCAAGCTAGGAAAAGGGGTGGGGGGCAGCTGCCTCTTGCTCCCCTGGGTACGTGCCTGGATTAACACATGTTCTACCTAAAGAGAAATGGCGTCATCTATGAGAATTTGTCACAGCTATGTTTTTCCTCTACGCAATAATCAGAAATCTACTTTGAAAAGGTTAGTATCTTATAGATGTCGCTGTAGCCAACTATATGCTACATCTATGAGATACTAACCTTTTCAAAGTAGATTTCTGATAATTGTTGTGAGGAGAAACATAGCTGTGCCAATCAAAAACCAAAAATACACAATTATTTCAGGTAACTCAAAATCAGAAAGAAGACACTATAGAACCATGTTTGGGATTGGCCTGGGGTAACAATGTGACATGTAGATTCTACATATCAAGATTAGGCAGTGACTCCACAAGAGTATTCGAAACGATTTTTGCTCCTGATCTACCAAACAGAAAATGTTATTTTACAATTAGTAGCCAAGGAATAACTGCAGATTTAACATTTTGATATGCTAAACTTTTTATAATTTAAGAATAGTGATGTATTTAAGGCTCAAAATATTCTAACTGGTAGAGATATTTAATACCTAATAATTACACTTGCATATTTATCTTTATTTGGGATAATTAATATAGATAAATATGTAAAAATCAAAAGAATCTGCGGTGCTAAAATAATATAGTTTCACATTATCCAACTCTCAGACAAGCAATCATAAAGCTACCACATTGCATTTCTACATTGCATGTCAAACAACAAAATTTAAAAATTCATATTTTTTCAGGTACTTATTCTACGATCTACAACCTTCTGTAAAAAATTGCAATATAAAATCAACTATGACATAAAAAAACAGATACCAAATATAGAATTGAATCATCGTGAAATAAATGAGTAATTTCCTAATCATTATTATTATGAAATGACCAATATTTAGATCCTACTCTAATGGGGGGTAATCTGGAAGACTAGAAGTAGATGACGCTAGTTAGATTGGATGTCACGTCATGTCTTAGGTTATAAACACATTAACTTTCTATCAAACCTGTGTTTTACCATAGGTGTTTCACAGTTTCATCTCCAAGTACACCAGCGCCGCCTAGCGGGAGCGAACTCTAACATCGATGCCATTTAAGGCCGTATCGTCAGTCGTTCCTACAATTGTAGAACGCCTTTATGGCCTCCTCGATTTCCATAGTCTTTTCTCTCCTTCAAGAAGGCTGGGGTATTTCTAGATTGCTGTTCCTTGTCAGGGTCAGCACTCTCCTATTGTGAGGTGTTTTCTTTTCGAATTGTAGAAAATGTCAGGATGATAAAACAGATGATATAAATCAAAATCATGAACAATTTGATGCAAATAAATTTTTGTAACATAACCTCAACATAGAGCGCTGACACGGAATAGTAAAATTTTATGAAATTCAAGGAGGCCATAAAGCCGTCATACAATTATTTATTGTAGGAACGATTGACGATACGACCCTTAAAGGAGAAATGGAAATAAGCATTTAAGATGCTTCAGAGATTTGTCGTAAGCACGAGGGCGTTCCCAAAAGAAAGGTATGTTTTTTCTAAGCACGGAAACTATATGCAATAACTGATGCATCATTATATTGATTGAAGATTGGTATATTTTTCTACATAACTGCCATTCCATTCGATGTATTTTTGTAGACTTTCGGACAGTTTTTGGATGCTAGGTCATACCTGCTCGCTGCTCGCCTCATCCTCTACGTTGTCGTCGGAAGTTTTTCAGCTTGGGGGCAGATCAAGTTAAATGCTGTGATATACTGAAAAGAAACTCTGTAAGGGTGTAAGCATTCTTCACGACAAAGTGTACGCCGAGCGCCGCTCTTCTGCAACAGTCTAAAAGTGGGACCTGGTGTCGAGTTGGTATGACCTGGTAGCGTAAATCCATTGTCCCGTACAACACAACCATAGACGCGAGTTGTATCAGTTAGGAGAATAGAGCAAGTAATTAGTCATTGCGCGGAGACATCTCCCTGTGTGGTACTAGGCGCACGGCAACGTCTAAATTACGCCATAATTAGTTGATGAATGAGCTTGAAGAATGAAAAGTATGGTTAATGTGTGGAATTGAATTTTTAGATGTTTATTTTGTTTACTTAGTCAGCTGTGTATTCATTACATATTTAAACGGCAGAGTATATTCGTACATGCAAAACCACCTATATATTTGTGTTGTCTAGTTAACCTTATTATTTTACTACTGTGTTTTCGTGAGTTCTTTGGTAACTAAATCGTAACAAAATTTATATTTCACCTGTTATGTTTTCGTTATTTTATTTCCATTTAGAGTTCACCAAATGGCTGAAAAAATACAACGGATATTCTAAAGAAATTATGCATAGACTTGCATATAAAAATGATAAAAGTTGTAACTAATGAGCAATTTACAGTCGCTTTGCAATGTAAACTAGTAGATGGAGAAAGATGGAGCAGTCTGACATTGGGTATCAAAATTTTCTGATCTGACTCATAGCAACTGGATTACTAAAAGACGTTTTGCAAATCCTACACGATACTTATTTCGAAAAATATATTCATGCCAGCATGCAGAGGTAATTAAGGTAGTTATGCGGTGAAGGGTAGATTCTAGAAACAGGAACAAGAAATGTGGTGCAACTATTGACCTTAAATTTAAAAAAATAAATCGGGACAATTAGAAACGATCCTTTATTAAAAGAGAGAAAAATGTAATTAAAAACATTAATTTCTACCATTCTCACAAAGTTCACGTTGCAGAAGCTTATAGCTATTTAAGAATGAATAATAGTACCAGAGAGACATTTATATCATATTTTAAATCTGGAATGACGCCGTCTGCATCTAAGGCTTATCATGAGATAAAAATACTTGAAAACGAGGAAGGCGACATTTCTTCCATGTTAGCTAATACGCGAATAAATCCAACGCAAAGACAAGTAAACTATCTTTACGATAAATGGCGTACATCTGAATATGGTAGTCGTGAAGAGACTAGTGTTATACAGGTACTGCATTCAAAAATTTCAGAATTTGAGAAAGCTGGTAGTAAAGTAGTTTTACAAGAAAATCCTCTTTTAATAGTTATTGTTACCCCAATTATGCAACGAAATTTTAGATAAAATTAGAATAGTAAAATGAAGCTTGGAAATTTTAATTTAAACTAGGATTAGATACCCTATTTCTGTGGCCGAAGAATTTTCGAATGAAATTGTTTTTATAGATTCCAGCGGGTCATGTGACCAAACAAATACATGAGTTACATTTATGTTTACAGCCAGTAAAATTGGGGCATTACCTGTTGCCTGTATACTACACACCGCTCAAACAGAATCAAACTACAAATTGGCGTTTTCTGCAGCTAAAAAAACACTGGAATTAAGCGGGAAGGCGTTTTGTCCCCAAGTTATCATGACAGACGATAGCGCAGCAGAGCGAAATGCATTAAAAGCTACATTTCCAACTTCTAATCTATTACTTTGTACAGCCCAATGGATATGGCTATGGCAAATCATAATGTTCCCAAAGAAAACAGGCGCATTATTATGCAGATGTTCAGAGATGTATTGTATTCTAATACACCGGAAGAAGCTGAAGAAAATTTCTGTGCTTCAATATCAAGTGAGAAAATAGCTAATAATAATTTGGTAAAAGAACACTTTACAAAGTTATGGAAAAGAATATTAGAATGGTGTATTACCTACAGAAGCAAATTACTTACCAGAGGAAATAAATATGAACAATTATACTGAAGCGTCTATTCGTATCTTCAAGGACGTCATTTTAGAACGTTGCAAGGCTTTCAATAGTTGTGCACTGGTCGATTTTATTGGTACCACATTTGAAAAATACTATAAACAAAGATTACCTGAATTTGCAAACTCACAGCGAACCAAACATCAAATAGATTACAAAAATTTTTGTGTGAAAGCAAAACACATTTTAAAAATTGAAGAAAACTTATACCATGTAGCATCGGCGACAGACAAGTTATTACATTATACTGTTGTATTGCATTTTGTGACTGCCCTCAGGGCAAAAGTGGAGCATTCTGTAAGCATCTTTGTGTTTTAGAACAGCATTGTGGATTTCTTATAAAAAATTCTCCAGCCTTATTTTATGAAGACAGAGTGAAGTTAGCTAAAATAGCTGTAGGGACTGACGCTCCTATAGATTTTTTCAAAAATATGGAAGATGATCATCCCTTGAGAACCCCTGATAAATCATCTGAAGAAACTGCCACGACATCACGTATCCAAGAAAGTGTCACAATTCCTATTCACAATTTGGTGGATGATCCCTCTTACCATCAAAAAGTTGTCGAGGAACTTCGTGAAGAATTCAACAGAATAGTTATATTTTTGAAGAAAATTCTTCACCAGAGGCCACTGCTGTTTTAATAAAATTAAACTTATTATTAAAAAATGTTCATACCCCAACTCAGGCATTAAATGCTGCAGTAAATGCATTTATTCGGTTCAGAAAGATTCGAGTTCAACCAACACCTATAGCCAGACGTAAGAACCGAGGTTCACCAAAGACTAGTAATAGAATTCAAGCAGGTCGACCCACAAATATGGAGAAGAAATCGAAAAAAGCCCGACAAACTAAAAGAACTCATAATTTATCCAAAATATTAAGGAAAATAAACCAAACGCGAAAATACATTAATTTGTTGCATCAGTTCTCAATTTTTCTGTACCTATATCTGATTATATATTTTAAACAAGGTGTTATACTTAACCCCTTACTGCATAGTGGGTCATATCTGTCACAGTTATATTTTTTTCAATTTATCCATTACAAAACGCATCATGCTCAACTACTTATGCATAACTGTCCATCTATGGCATAAGTCCATCATACCTGGCAATGTAACGCCATCTCAACGCGGCATTGTGAAGTTTTATGAAAATTTGCAAATGGTGGTCAAGAAACAGCTGATGCTAAAGGTTGTGAATTTTGATCTGCAAAGTTGGAGATTTCTACTGGACATTTTGGATTATTGAAAATAGCACCATCTAGGATACAACCTATATAAAGCATTCCTGTGAGTAGATCAAGTATTTCTTTATATTTTACTGATTTTTGACCAAAAATGTATTTGTGCCATATATGGAACAGTATGCACTTTTGTGCAAAACTGTTTTGGACATATATGGCACAACATGCATTCTGAACCTTATTATTTTAAGTTCTATTTATTTCAAGGTAATGGAGCCACACAATTTTTATGGTTCGAAAAATCTTGTATCAGATATACCAGTGGATAGTGATGATGAACAGTTATCAGACGATGATAATCCAACCATTATATTGGCCCCGGATTCTGACTATGAATGTGATGGTGTAAATAATAATGCACCAGATATTATTATCCCAGAAACCGATTTAGAAAACAGTTCAGATAGCGAGGACGATGATGTTTCCCTAGATGAATTGCGACGCAGGCTAAAGAAGAATAAAAAACATACTCATCCTACCTGGACTCAAGGAAATTTAGTATCATCAGACGATTATCTGAAATTTTTAGGTACTACAGACTTGCCTCCTGAAATGAAGGGAGTAGACTCCCCTTACACATTTTTCAAGTTCTTTCTAAGAGATGAATTGACCAAAGATATAGTGTACCAAAGTATTTTATATTCAGTGCAAAAAAGACCACAAAAACCTTTAGATCTTTCTGAAAAGGAGCTAGAACAGTTCATTGGGACATGTATTTATATGTCAATAGTGCAGCTACCAAATGCTTGAAGCTATTGGAACTTGAACCTAAGTCACCGATTGATATCAGATGTTATGTCATGCAACAGATGGGAGGAAATAAAAAGATTTTTACATTTCTCAAATAATAATGACGCTATTGCTGTCGGCAACCCAAGACGTGATAAACTTTTCAAAATTCGGCCGTTACTCAGTAAACTAAGGGATCAGTTACTCAAAGTTCCAAAAGAAGAATATCTTGCCATAGATGAGCAGATTATTCCTACAAAATCACGTTCGACGCTGAAACAATATAATCCACAGAAACCCCATAAATGGGGATATAAAGCGTTTGTACCGAGTGGTGTTAGCGGATTTTCATATGACTATGAAATATTTGCTGGAAGTCAAACTAATACTGTACCGGATGGCTTTCCTGATTTGGGAGTAAGTTCGAATGTAGTACCCCGGCTAACACAAACAGTGCCAAGACACATAAATCTCAAAATATTTTTTGATAATTGGTTCAATAGCATCCCATTACAAATTTATCTGACAAAGCAGGGTATGTTACCACTAGGAACAGTAAGAATAAACACAGTGCCAAATTCTAATATGCCAAAAGAGAGTGAACTAAAAAAAGAGGGTCGTGGAGCTATGTTAGAGAAAATCGCTACAGTTGATGGCACCAAACTATCTGTTGTTACATGGTATGACAACAAGTTGGTAAGCACTTTATCGACATATGCTGGAAGTACGCCAACAGCCGAGGTCAAGCGATTTTCAAAAATGGATAAAACACATATAATGATACCATGTCCAAAATCTATAACAATATACAAGTATATGGGAGGTGTGGACCTGCTGGACTCCATGCTGGGATACTATAGAATCAAAATCAGATGCGCATATTTTTTCATATTATTGATTTGATGACTGTCAATGCATGGATACTCTGGAGAAAAAGTGGCAAGGAGTTCAGTGATTTAGCTTTAGTACATTTCAAAATGGCAGTAGCAGAATGCTTGTGTAACGTCAATAAATCCAGATTTACTAGAAAAAGAGGCCGTCCAAGTGAAGCTACGGCAAATTCACAAAATAGGGCAAAAAAGGGTCCAGCGACTGATGTTCCAATGCAAGATGTTCGAGCAGATGGATATGGTCATCTTCCAAAATGGTGTATGGAGAGACAACGATGCAAATATACTTGCGGTGCAAAAAGTTATATAAAATGCGAAAAATGTAATGTTTATCTGTGCTTAAACAAAGACAGAAATTGTTTTTACAGGTTTCATATAGAATAATTTTATTTATAAATAAATATGCCCTTACAATTATCTTTTTATTATTGATACATGTTGCTTTGTTGCATATTGTGCCATATATGGCACACCAAAAAAATAATCGATTTTCGGAAAAACTGACCCAGAAATAATTTTTTTGATATTTTTTACGTAATTCTGAGATAATTTTCTTATTTATATTATTTTTCTATAAAAAAAATCATGCAATAAGGGGTTAATGTTATAGAATAACTTATTTTAAAATTATAAATAAATTATTAACACGTTCGCTGCCAGACATATTTTTTAACATGTGTCCAATACGCCAAACATATATTCTACATTCAGCACTAGTGGGCCACCATATAAAAAACACGTTATTCCCATCGGGGCAGCGCGGCCCAGTGAGGTAAGTTAACACATCCGATGCCCGGAACGCGCGTAGCGCGTTTACTTGCTTCACCTCCAGGTGCCCACACCGCGCTGGGCGCGTTCCGTTAAGCCTTGTCCAGGAAGGGCGAATTCGCCGCGAAACGTTTAGCGCGAAATCATTCGCGCGTTAGTGAGATACTTGATATCAATACGTCGCGTCCACAAGCATCGCGCGAATTCAAAATACGCGCGTAAATCGCGTGCACTACGCCAGACTCTCGACTCGCGCGTATTGCGCGCGAGTCGAGATACTAGGGAACGCCTTGTTGCGTCCAGTTAACGCACGAACTCTAGAGCGAGTGCACGTATCGAGGGAAATGGAGCGCCAAAATTTTGACACGGAATTGTTTATAGACGAAATAGAAAAAAGACCGGCGATATGGGATTTGGAATCACCTGATTATGCAAACAGGATTTTAAAACGTAGGTCTTGGGAAGAACTGGTGTCAGTATTTTCTGATAAAGATGACTCCGAGGAAAAAAAGAAAGATTTAGGTACGTAATTATTATTAATTTATTGATTAGTAACAAAAAAAGAAAATTAGATCATTTTTTCTTGCCACGGCAGTCGACCTTCCTTCATGAAATAATCGGCGAATATATCCCTCGTGTTTCGAGACCTTACACCAGGTCGAATTGTAGTCGTACTCAGACCATCTAGAGCTGTTTCAAACAATGTGTCTTCGTATCTGTATCCATCTCTTAACCTGACGTAATTGTGAAGAACACAACAAGCTTTAATTATGTTTTCCCCAAATTCAATATGTACATTGAGTGGTTTGTGAAATATTCTCCATTTGTTTACCAGGATTCCAAAACAACACTCAATATAACGTCTTGCTCTAGAGAGGCGGTAATTAAATATTCGTTTTTCTTTGGTTAAATTCTTGCCGCAATATGGTCGCATAATATGTTCTGATAAGCTAAATGCCTCATCTCCAACTATAACATGAGGTAAACGTGTTGTACGAATTTCTGAGACTGGTTTTGGTCCCGGAATGTTCAAAGATTGTTCCGTGAGTTTTTTGAAGAATGTGGAGTTTTTAAAAATCGTTGAATCATTGCTCTTCCCACATGCTCCAACATCTATAGAGATAAAACAATAATTTGCATCACATACGGCAAGCAGCACAGTCGAAAAAAAATGTTTATAATTGTAGAACATAGAGCCGGAATCTAAAGGTTTTATAATTCTAATATGTTTCCCATCAACTGCTCCAATGCAATTAGGAAAATGTGTATATTTTTCGAATCCTCTTGCAATTTCCATCCACTCTTCTGTCGAAGGTTCTTTCATTACTATATCTTTTAACTTATTCCAAATAACATACACAGTTTTTTGAACGATGTCAATTACAGTTGATTTTCCTAATCTATAGGCATAATGTAAGTCAGCAAAATAACAGCCAGTTGCTAAGTACCTGAAACAAAATTGAAAATTATTGTAAAATTGTTAATTTCAGGTAATACTCTTCAAAAAAAGTGGAAAGGCATTCGCGACAGAATTTGTTCGTGAAATGAAAAAAACAAAGAATGCACCATCAGGCTCTGGAGCTTCGAAGATTCAATATATATATTTTCAACGTCTTATGTTTCTCGAAAGGTCAGTACGTAATAAAAAAACAGAAAGCAATATTCAAGACACCTCAGAAAACTCAGAGACAGGTAACGAAGAGTCTACAGCAGATGCAAGGGAAGACATAATGAGGCCGCCGAATCAAAATATTAAAAGAAAGAAAATGACTGCCGCTGATGCTGAAGTCCTGAACATAATTAACAAAAATAGAAGCTCTAGGAATCAACAACAGCCACTGCTTTCCAGCGTAATGGAAGGTGACGATGACAAACTGTTCTGCTTATCTTTACACAAAGAATTACTTAAGGTACCTGAGGCCAATCGTATAGCAGTAAAAATTGAATCAATGAAAATTTTGCAAGCGGCTCAACAATCTTCGCAATCAACTGTGTATTCAAACAATTTGTATTCGTACTTTTCTAACAGTTCGGCTTCATCTTCAACTTCAATTCCGGTTCGATACCATGCACAACCTACAAGACCAAATGAATTTACTTTTCAAGAATACGACCCAGAAACGCCACCCGTAACAACTTGGCAAGGCCGCAATTCTAATTCAGTGCCAGGATCTTCACAGGCAGCATTATACGTAAATTCCCCATCAACATCATCAAGAGATTCTCAGGATAGTGAATGTCTTAACCTCTTCCAAAACCATGACATTGTTTAATTATTATATTTAATCTCATACTACATTTAGTTCGTTTTTATTAGTAAGAATATTTTTTTATTTTAAAAGACTGTGTTAGTAATATAAGAGATTATGAATAAAACACTACTTACCTTAAAGTTATCACGAGTTTCTGTTCTGGTGAAACAACATCCTCGCGCGGAACATAATTTGCACGTGGCAATAAATCTTCTCCAATTAATAAGAGTAAATCATCAAACGATTTCACGGACATACGAAAGTAGTTAAAAAATTTCTTCTCATGTTGTCTTAATTTTGGATACAAAGTTTCAAACATACTATGGGTCATTCTATCATGAAGAATTGGATGTACTAAATACATTCTATTTTCCCTCCGTTTCTGTCTCTTCCAGCGACGGTAAGCTAACCACAACGAGACCGCTTCGTTCAACTCCATGTTTCGTACTGAATTCCTCCCTGAATGCTTGCGCGTTGGTACGCTATGTGTGGACGCAACGGTAGCGCGAAACACGCGCGAGAGAATCGCGGCGAATTCGCCCTTCCTGGACAAGGCCTTACCGCTAAGATTCAACGATCACTTGAGTGGGGGGACCAGGCTGTAAACGTCTGAATATGGCGAGGGCACGCTCAGTACTGATTTTGTTTCCATACAAAGTGGTTGGTTTAGAGACACCACGTGTTTTTTTTTTATTTCACCTATTTTGTAGAAATAATTGTGTTGTCGAATTTCAAGAGGTGAGTCGTATAATATAATTACTTAAAATGATAATTAGACGTTCGTGATGATAAATATATATTCTAAAATATTGATATAGAGAGCCGATCATGCACCGTCCGACTAGGTCACCGCGCCAGGCGCGTTGCTGGGCACGGTGCATACATTTACATTAAGATATGGTTGTATTACAGATTGTCATAGATCAAATGCCTGTACCAACACAAGACACTGAACCATGTATGAAGAAACAGAGGACAAACAAAACATACAAGCAGCAGATTCTAACAGATGATGAACTTCGTACAATTGTGGAAGAATCAGATATAGAAGAAGATCCATTCCTGAACGACAGTGACGACGATCCTGAATATAATGCTAGCAGCACCAGCGATTCAGATGAGGAGATTGATCAACAGTCTCGGCCGGGTACTCCAGTTATGCCAGGTCCGCCAGTTGCGCCGAGTACCCCTGTTGCTACTACCTCGCAGTGGTCTTACCAAGAAGTACATAGTCCAAAAATCCCATTTACAGGAGGTTCAGATATTCTTGTTAATTCAAAAGGAATAGAGCCAATTGATTATTTTAACCTGATTGCCACAGAAGAGTTTTTTGATTTTCTTTCTGCCAAAGCTAACGCGCATGCTGTGGAGCTACTTGCCAAAAGCGAGGGAGATCAATCGAGGATTAGTCGTTGGATGGACGTAACGCGAGACGAATTAAAAACGTTACTTGGACTATTATTTCATATGGGAACCATTCGAGTGAACAGAATTAACGACTACTGGAAAAAAGACTATCTGTTTAACATGCAAGCCTTTTCAACATTTATGAGTCGTAATCGATTTTTATTAATACTGAGGTCGCTGCATTTTGAGAACCTCGATATCCAGATACCTCGCACACAAATGGGAAAAATTCTTCCATTTGTCAACTTTTTCAACCACAGAATGCAGATTATTTATTATCCCAACAGGGAATTATCGATTGATGAGTCTATGGTGTTATGGCGTGGGAGGTTAAAATTTCGCCAGTATATCAAAGGAAAACGGCACAAGTTCGGCATAAAGTTGTATGTCTTGTGTGAACCAAATGGATTAACCTTGAAATTAATCGTTTATTCAGGAGCTGCTGATCCTCAATTATCTGGTTCTCTTCAGCCAGAAAAAGTTGTCCTATCGCTTCTACAAGAATACCTAGGAGTTGGTCATTCAGTGTTCATGGACAACTTTTATAACAGCGTTAAATTGACCAAGGATTTATTAGATAAAAAAACATACGTCACAGGAACTCTGAGATCAAATAGAAGGGGGAACCCTCCAGAAGTTTTAGCCAAGAAATTAAAGAAGGGCGAGCTGATTATTCAATTCAATACCGAGGGAATTTTAGCTATTTCAAATGAATTTAGTGGACAACTAGAGGAAGTAACTACTCAACGTGGTCAAGTGGTGATGAAGCCGATGATGATAAATGCATACAATAAGTTTATGGCAGGGATTGATCATTGCGATCAAATGTTAGCATACTATTAATGCGAACATAAGACTCTTATCTGGTACAAGAAACTGGCCGTCCACATATTTCAAATCATGTTGCTGAATTCATTTTATTTGTATAAGAAAGGCACTGGAAGTCGCAAAAGCTTGTATGACTTCAGATTAGATGTTATTAGAAAATTGATTGGACCACAACCACCAGATCCCGTACCTATGCTTAATCTTCAGCACCTTCCAGAATATTGTCCAAAAGGAGAAAATGGAAAGGCTAAAAGGAGGAGGTGCAATGTTTGTTGGTCTTATGGTCAGAGAAAGGATTCGGTCTATTATTGTCCTCAGTGTCCTGGCGGCCCTGGATTCTGTCTTACACCATGTTTTAGGGTTTATCACGCAAAAAAATAACCATTTTATTTATTTCCCGTTACATATTTTAAAAATAAACAAATAAAATGTAACCAATTTTGTTTCATTTACCTATAGAGATGAGATGAACGCGCCTAGCGCGGTTATGGGCACCAACTGTAGTTTGACTCGTGACCTGTGCCCACAACGCGCCCGCTGCGTTTTTGTTTTTTCCAAAAAGAAAAAAGTAAAATGGCATCATCGGATCCATTTAAAACCCCAATTTGACATAATTTATCTTATTATATAAAAAAACTTGAGTGGCACCTGACGCAACATGTATTTGGGTATGGGCAGTGAATGTGTTAATACTGTCATGCGCTGTTGGTCCGTTGACGCGTAACATAACCTATATTCTAATATGTCAACAATCAGTTTGAGAAGTTAATTTATCCTGCTCTTGAGAAGAATAATAGCCGTAAGTAGTTTATATTAGTTCAGTAGATAGATATTGTTTTAATTCTATGTATTTATAGATGTCTAAACGTACGAGACCTTTGTCTCAAAGTGAACTACTCAAAATAGCCGACAATTTTGGGAAATTCTCCGACGACGATGATTCGGATCCATTTGAAGCTTCTGAGAGTGATTATGTTTGTAGTTCAGAGTCAGACTCGAGCTCAACATCGGATTCAGAATCTATAAGAAACATACAAACGTATGTATCGAGGAAAAAAGTAAAATTAAATCCATACCCAAGCACTGTCCAACCGAATATTGATCCTTAAGCGGACTTAGGTGAAGAACCTTGCGAAGTATCAGAAGCAAACGTAGACCCAGCATATAATTTAGATCCAGAAGAGAACACAGATCTGGATTTAAATGACAGAAATCCACAACGGAACTTAAACATGCCTTCTTTATCGAATTGGGGCCCATTAGCAGGTAACTATAAAAAAATACCAGATTTTACGATCGAGTCAGGAGTAAAATCGGAAGTAGCTGCATTACTGGCACATGGTAAACCGGGAGATTTCTGTGACGCCGTCGTCGACAACAGAGTTATCAGCATGATTTGTGATCAAACAAATCTGTACGCAACACAGACTCTTATGCGTACAGATGCAAAACCAAGCTCTCGCTTGCACGAGTGGATTCCGACAACAAATACTGAAATCAGAAAATTTTTGGGATTAGTTGCATGGATGGGTTTGGTACAAATGCTAAAAATTGCCGACTACTGGAGCAATGATACAATTTTCACTAATCAATATGCAAGGAAAGTCATGTCAAGGAATCGATTTGAGATTTTGTTGAGAATGATTCATTTTACTGATAATTCATTGGCAGACCAATCTGATAAATTGTACAAACTAAAGCCCCTAATAGAAATTTTAGTGGCTAATTTCAAGTCGCTATACGTTCCAAATAAACACATCTGCGTCGATGAGACACTTGCCATTTAGGGGAAGATTGGGCTTTAGACAATACATAAAATCAAAACGACATAAATATGGCGTGAAGTTGTTTAAAGTGTGTTCTGATCTTGGATATACATATAACTTGAAAATATATGCAGGAATAGAGAATAATCAGAAGGTCACTCCAGAACGTATCCTACGTTATCTTCTTGACGACTTGCTACATCAAGGAAGGACACTTACAACTGGCAGTTGGTATACAAGTTTGGAATTGGCAGAGAAAATGCTCGATTCCAATAGTAGGAACAATTAGAAAAACACGAGAAGGTTTGCCCAAAGAAGTGATAAATGCATAGTTAAAAAAAGGAGAAATAATTTCTCTTGGAAACCAGGCTGGCATAACCATCAGCAACTGGAGAGATAAAAGGAATATTTATATCCTATCCACTAAACATGGAAATGACATGCAAGAAGTGTCATGTAATCGGCAAACTAAGATGAAACCAAAAGTAGTATTAGACTATAATAAAGGCAAAGCAGCAGTTGATTTATCCGACCAACTGGGGGCATACTCAAATCCTCTAAGAAAAAGCGTGAAGTGGTACAGGAAAGTGGCTTTCAAACTTTTCTTAACGACATCTATGGTAAATTCTTATATTTTATATAAGCTTGTAACTGGAGAAAATATGTCAGTGAGAGATTTTAAAAAGCACATTATAAAGCATCTAGTGACAAACAATGCAGAGAGTCATTCAGAAAAACAAATACCTACACCCATTGTTCATCGCGTCATTGAAGTGAAAACAGATGGAAGCAAACATCAACGAAGAAAGATGTACAAAAACTGTTACAAGACGAACAGTGAAAAACATGGGCGCCAATATGCCATGAACAAAACTAAAAAGGTAGATACGTTCTGTAAAAGATGTGCGAACGAACCATTTTTGTGCATACCTTGTTTTAATATACTTCATAATCACTAAATAAGATACCATGTTTATTTTATTTTTTTTTGTATAACGATTAATGTTATTTTATTCATGTAAATATATTTGTTGGTCAAATAAAGTTTATTTTAAAGCCAGAACCCTCCTTGTATCATGCTTGTATAGGTACCGCGTTCCAATAGGGACCACGTTTCTCATTATGGAAAAATCTAAGAAATTATATGTGCGGCCTATAGCTTCTAGGCCATGTTGGTCCATTTCTACAGTCGTACATAGTTAAATATGCGCCAACGGCCCAGCAGCTATTAGAAAATGCGTTGACCCCATGGGACCCACATAGCCTGGTAAGGCAAAATATATGTTGGACCCATCGGGCCAATGTGGCCTGCTGAGGCAACATGAGTGTTGGTCCTATAGGACCAACGTGGCAGTGAACGTGTTAATAACAAAGTTATAAGGGTTTTTGTAACACTTTTTTTCTTTTTTTTACTTATTTAATCAACGAATATCGACTTCAAAATAGTCATAAATACTGACCAAACCTTTCGATAATTTTTTTTCCCCATTAGTTAAAAACATAATATCAAAATAAACATTTTTCTTTTAATTTCCCAAAAACTAGAGAAAATGGGTCGTTAGCAAATGCTTTTGTTTAAGCTTCTCTTTACCACCCAACATCGTAAAAGTGTGCCCAGAAAATAGCCGTTAGAGATTTGCAGTAATGCGTACTCCACTATTGGTTGAAATGCACTGTGGTTTGTCAGAAATACGCCAAGCGTCCATTGTCGATGCGAGTACAACCATGTCATAAAGCAAGTATGGTTGTACTGTGAGGGAGAATGGATTTACGCGACCTGGTACACAAAAACTGCCAGAACGTGTACAAAAAAAAGTTGACCGAAATCGAAATTATGTAGACCAATATTTAAGCTTTAAAATATTGGAAGCTTTTGTAATTAAGAAAATAGATGATACTTTTTGGATTACCGTCGTTTCGGTCTGACATTTTGCAATCTTCTCCCTCATTCTCCCCATGTGAGAGAAAATCAAGATGTTGAAAGACCGGCTGACATTAATAGATCCCAGCTAAAATGTTGTCTATTATAGAGCAAAATGGTATGCAATTTGCATGTGTGTGTAAGTGTTCATACTAACTAAATCAGTGTGTGGCCTCTTGAGTGCCCAAAGCGAAAATGGAAGATTCACACATATGTCTTCGGAGGCTCACATCTGACTATGGCTTGTAGGATCATGGATCAACTACGGAAACAAACTAGTGTTAGTTGAGAAACAAGAAAGAAATTGCCTCAATAGACTTCATTCGAATCTCTTCATTCTCATCGTTCAACAGTCGCATCAGTCTGTCACACACGGTATCCAGTGAGACGCGGTGTCTATTTTCATCTGTCAGGTGCGAATATAGCAAACCTGCTATCAGTGCCGCGTTTCCTTTGATTTCCGGCCAATGGCTCTTCAGGTACGATAGGCAGGTCATTATCAGAAGCGGGAATAAGTCTTGCAGTTCTTCAGTCTGCAAAGAGAAATTATTCGATTCATAGAAATAGAATTGCTATTTTATAAAACATTGTCAGATTTGGTTTACCAGGTTACAAAGTCGGGGAGAATGAAGCAAGCAATCACTTACCATGATTTTTACTAAGTCTCGAATGAAGTCTGTAAAGTGCAAGTTAGCTTCGTCAATCAAATGTTCCTGGATCATAGAGTTCACTTTTGGACTCTCTAGATATGGTCCTATCTTCCTTAATGTATACTTGCAGGCCTGGAATAAAAAAAACAGCAGGAGCATGTTTCAAAAGGCATTTTCGTATTTCAAAAATATCACTGTTACCTTGGTGACGTACATATCTGGATCACACAGATGCAGCAAAAGCGTTATAAGGTTGCCTTGTACTTGTTCCCTGAAAGCTTCAAGATGCGCTTCAGAGTTCAGGGATGACGTCAGATCACCGAGAAGATGGAACGAGGCCCTGCGAAGATTCAGGTCGTCTTGGTCTAAGAGGGGCTTTATCCTGACCGCAGCAGTTACTTGGAATGTACTGAACTTGCAACCTTCCATTGCTTTTAGCAGTTTTGAGAAGCTAATCATGCCTTCCAGAATCACTGCACTTTCATTTCTGAAAGAAATTCGGTTTGTTTTAATTGTTTCTGTAAGGAACGAACATTTTGTCTGACTAATGACTAAAACCAACAATCCTAATCAAACGGCTTTAATGATGTCTTGGCTACCACGACTACGAAAACTAATTTAACTAAACTGTATGAGGCTCTGAGACATTTCTGAGTTCTTAGATTGATTAACGTATTTTACCAGAAGAGAGCCAACCCTATACTCTGTATTCCGGCGCCCAAATAGGGACCTTGAACACCCTAGGGCTATCTATGAGACAGATGTAGAACATAAAAATGAATTGAAAAACCTACTTCAAAAAGAGTTTGTGTTTGATTCTGCCACTGTCTCATAGATAGCGCTATTATCTTTTTAACGCCTCCGTCATGCTTATTTTAGTTGAGTATGTTCAGGTGGAACACGTTAAACAACGCCAGAAGACAAACTAGCGTCTTCTATGAAACATTAGCCGAAAAAAACTCACAAAACTTTTTTCGAAGTAGATTTCCACATTCCGCTATTGCCTCTTGGATGACTCTAGAGCCTTTCAGATCCCCTGTTGGGTGCCGGACTACAGTATATAATTGACTATATTTAGGTAGAATAATAGCTGTTTGGATATGTAATGGAATATTTTGAAAATAAAAAATCACACTTACCCAATATTGTTATAATCTAAGCTATTCATCAACACACTGAGTATAGGATTACAGTGCCGTGATACCAACTCGTAACTAAGATTCTCAGCAGCAAAACCAAGTCCCTGTAATGCCATCTTTCTCACTAGACAACTGGGGTCGCTCTGCACATCTAAGATCATCTCCAGCAGGTTCTCTGTCAGCACATTTTGTTCATTCGCACCTTGTCGTAGCAAGAAGGTGAAGAATGCGACTGTCACGACTCTTTGAGGCTCTAAATCGGCTCTTATATAGGGCCCCAAGCAAGCAACCAGCCAGGATAAGGATTGAGGAGTTTCAATGCAGATGTTTTCCACCATTGCATTCACCACTTCCAGGAATAAGTTGACGTCTTCCAATTTTTCTGCTTCGGAGATGAAAAGAAGGGTGGTTGATGTTTTCTCGTAGTCGCAGCATTGGAGAAAGTATCTAAGAGAGTAAAGTGAAAACGATTTTTCAATTTAAAATCCAAATGTTATCAGAGAAAAATTTTGCACCAACAGCAAAATTGATCCTACTAGGTCTGTAAATTAAGTGATGAGACTGATTTTAAAAAATTTTTGTATACCAATATAATTACAAATTTATGTTGTCACCCTCAAAATCATTTCCTTCTGAAGCTACACAGCCAGGTTCTTCCACTCCCCACAGCAGTGCTGGAACTCCGGCAGTGGAATAGCCTTCAACTGGTCAGTTACAGCCATTTAAATGTTTTTGACTATCCCAAAACGAGTTCCCTTGATGTGATGTGAACTACAGGAAGTGAAAAAAGTCAGGTGAATAATGAGGCTGAGGAGCCACAGGGATGTTTTTACTGACGAAAAATTCGTCTATTGACATTGCTGTGTGACAAGAAGCATTATTGTGATGCAACACCCAGTTACTCTTGATCTGATTAATGGTGGTGTGAGTCAAATCTGACTCTTCCCCGATCATTCTGACAGTCAACCGACGATCTGAACGCACAAGATCCCGGATTCTGTCGATGTTTCGGTCAGTTCTTGAAGATGGAGGCCTACCGTTTCGTGGTTCATTTTCAATCGACTCTCTCTTCTTAGAATGCCTTAAACCACCGAAAAACCTGGGCTCTTGACAAAACACTGTCTCTGTAGGCCTGTTTAGCAAGAGTTTCTGTTGCACTGTGCCCAAGTCTGAAGCAAAACCGAATAGCACACCGTTGCTTGAAATTGATGTCACTCATTTTAGAACACAATAGAAAAAACTGTCACAAATAAAAATCGCTACGGACAACCAAATTACTCGAGCGAGTTCAAACTTGTACTGAAGGCGGATCACATGTTCCCCTGCCTCCCGTCCAAGCCTGGCGCCTCCAGTGTTCCCAGATCGAACGCTACGTTTCCAGTCTCATAACTTAATTTACAGACCTCGTAGATCCTGTTTTAAGTGAAAGTAAAACTAGTATAAACCATATTATTTACAAATCCCGCCCACTCTATTAAAATCAGAATGACTTTCTTGTTTGAGGTCCTACGATTTCAGAATCTCTATGAATCAATGAGGGTTCTATCGATATTTGCAGAGAAACAGCAGAGCTATTTCTGCACAGTTACAATCTGCACTAGAATATCTTATTGTAGTTTACCTGAAAGTTTCCAAAGCAACTTTTGTAGGACTCAACTTATACGCATCCCTTAAAAAGTATGTGTACTTTTCCTTCTTATCACTCTTTGGTGCACTAGGTGGTGAAACTCCCATGTAAGAAGCCAATGTGATCAACAGAAGCGCAAATATCTCAGAAAACTGATGTAGACATACTTCCTTCAAACTTGAGTTTTTGAACAATTCATGCAAAGCACATACTGCTTGAAGTGCTGGAAGTGAAGCAATTCTGACTTCGGTTCCACTTCCACTTTGTTCTTCATATAGTGGGGTTGACTTTATGATTCTTTTTAGTTGGTCTAATAAGTCTTGGACTAACGTTGAATCTGTTGATAGTATTGCCCAGCATTCGGAACTCAAACTGAAACATTCCATATAGTAACGAGACTGTTTGTTAATGCGTATTTGTCCAAAGATACAGCCAACCCAAATTCAACTTACTTGTCAAAAGGTAAAGTTTGGTTCAACAAAATTCCACACACTGTTTTTGAATGATGAGTTGCCAAATTATGGATACTCCTCAGAGCTGAAGACTTCGTTCTTTGACATTTGATTTTATATAACTGTTTCAAGATTTTGTCTAAGACGTTCGGAACATGACTCTGTAATTCACCACCTAGAAGCAAAATATTGCAATATTTGATTGGTGCTGCCCGCCGATCGAGGGTGTGTCGAGGAGGTCGAGTCACAAAGTTATGGACCAATAATTATTTAATAGAAATTGATGACATACAGCAACATACATGAAAAAGCTGAATTTCATTTCTCACCTTTACTTTTCAGTGTGTTGTACAAAACAACACTACTTCCATTTGAGCTAGATGATTCGCAATCCATGAGAGCTTCTACAAGTCCATCTACAAAATGCACAAGTTGAAATTGTGGCAAGTTGATGCACATTACGTGTGCCAGATCAGAGGTTAAGTTGTATAGCAGGTTTGGGTCATCTGTATCAATTTGTTGCTGAATATGCTGCAGAGAATTACTTAGAACTTTGTCATGATCTTTCATATGTCCTTCATATCTGGCTGCTATACATAAGATGAGGCATATGCACTCTACTGCTACCTAAAATACAAATGCTAATGCAGTTGGTCGTACAATGAGGAAAGTGCTATTTGAAAAATGGCGTCAAGGAGATTGATCTTCCACTTCCCACGCAATGCTGTGATAACTTCTTAAATGACAACGTTAGTCCCTCTGAGAAAAAAATTGGCTACGAGCATGTGAAAAATTAAATGGATCAAGTCATTTAAACATGCTCAAACAATTAGTCTATAGTCCTGACCAATTTGAGCACGTTACGTTCTGGAAAGGACCCCACGCAAAACATGAAAAATGCGTCCACGTCAATTTGTCTAAATATTGAGCATCATAAGTTTCTGCTTGGCCAGCGTCCAGAAAGACTGACTGACGTTGCGCTGCGAAATTACCCTGTGCCTAACTTTTATATTGAGCTGGTCTTTGGCATTGCGGACCGCTTCGTTATATTTGTTTCTAGACTCAACGTTGGCTTGTCTGTTCTCTACAGTAGGGTTTTGTAAGAAGGTTTTGTATTCCTCCATCCCAACGTGGCTCATTTCGGTTATCGATGAACAGACAGACGACGCATCCGCAGCAGCGAAACAAACATATCTCCAAGGAAAGGTGGAGAAGTCTCTGAGCCCTTCCCAGTCGGCATGTCTGTAATGCCAAATTATGCGGTCTGGGTGAGTTTCTGCTGGCACAGCGGATTCTGACCGAAACCTAACCACGCGGTCTGAGTTAGCTAGTGGAGACAGAACAGCAGTTCTGTACGACTTTGTGACGAAACGCGGGGGAAAAAGTAGGGCTCGACCTGCTGCATCGGTCTTGTTTGAGCCCAACCGAAGCTGATTATAGGCATTGAAATTACAACGGCGAACTACCTCTGAACCGAGATGATTGATGTTCAGGAAGTCGATCTTGACAGCGAAGTATTCAAGTAGGTCATCCCAGTTATGTGTTTTCAAACTTGCATAATGTATACAAACTTATATAATCTATCTTCCTTTTTTGAATTTCGTGGTGAGTTATTTCAGTTACTTGCTTCTTCGACTTGTTTTTACAACAATTTATAATTAGATTTAAATCACGATTAGAAAAAATTGAAAAAAAAAACAATAGACTTAAATCATGATTTAAATCGTCGTAACCTCGATTGTAGTTCTCCGACTAAATACTCAGAAAACTATTATACTGTAGGAAGTATTTCATTTAAAAATCTTTTAGATAAGGTGTTGATCTTGCCTATGACCCTTACAAGGTCAATTCAAAGCATGATTATTTCTATAGATTGACAATAAAATTAATCTGGCACGAGTTGTTTGGGAATTCAACAAAATTCACTCAAGAAAACAGTTCGCTTCACAAAGGCACGAAAAAGTCATGGTTATTTAGTTGTTTTTGATTATGACCTGGAAAGTCTTGTAACCTAAAGCTATGTTCACCTGAATTTATTAACTATTAAGTAATAAGAGTTTTTTGTTTTGGTCTATCGAATGGTTTGGGCCGACTTTTTCACAGAATAACTAACGCTAATCTCGTGGAGAGCATATAAAAAACATGTGCTTAGAGTTTGGGCGCCAGATTTACACCTGTAATAATGGTCATTAATTTATCGATACTTTATTGGGTTTCTAAGACGAGTAAATTCCTTGTGTGGATACTTTCTACTTAATCTAACGCTAGGCCGTCGTTTCCCTTTCGCGCCGTTGCTAAAACCTGGAGCGATAATGCAGCATTAGCACAACTCATAAATAATAATTGGAGGATGGTTATCTATTAATCAGAACTCCAGCTATTTTACAAAGGACTCCTAGATTCGGTACTTGCTGCGCATGAATAGTATAATCGAGAAATCGATTTTAGGTGTATGTGCACATTCATCTTTTTAAGCAAATCGGCAAATTTCATCCCCCTATATTTCTCAGAAACTAATCACAGGATTGCTTTAATCCCTCAAGTTTTGTTCAGAAAGGTGAGAAATATATTATACTGAATTTTTAGACGAATGGACCAATTTTCCACATGTTTTGTAAAGTGTCCTTTCTCACCTGCTCTACCGACATTTGCATCCTTCTGGCAACGTTGCTATGACTAACCTCGCCACTCGCCTGCCACCCATCGCATCGGCCAGTCCTCGAAGCCGATACATCTGCCCTGATTGCGTTGCGTGCTTTAAAATATTTTTATATTAAGTTTTAACAGCGGATGTACAGGGAAGTCTATGATGCATGGAATATGCCTAATGGGAGCATTGAATTACCAGTGCCAACCAACCTAATTGTTTTTTTTTTGCTTAAAATGATATGCCAAAAACCTTAGCAATTTCTATTTCTTTCGTTTTTTGCCTGGAGGTCCGTATTTTCATTGTTTGAAAAGTTCATTCAGCTCGTGGCAAAAAAACAGGTGTTCTGCAAATCCGAACTTACCTATTTTTTATATGCCAGTTCGATCCTGCGCTCCTTCTTGGCAGCAAATTTGTCGATCACTTTCCCGTTGAAATTCTCCATGGTCGAAATGAATTCCTTTTCAATGGACAGTATCGACAACGCTGTAAGGCGATCCTGGGTCATAGTATTTCGAAGAAAGGTCTTGATTCTTTTCAATGCTGAGAAATTTCGCTCAGCCTCTGATGTTGACACAGTATTCTCCGAGGTGTTCGGAAAAAAAAGGAATGCCGCTACCAAATGATCTTTGAATTGAAATCTGTCATTTGCAGAATTCACTATATTGTCGCATACTTCTAATGTGGCAACTCGGTGATCGTGACTGCTATTATTACGTCGTCTCCTTTTGTTGCCTTGGGGTTCAGTGCAAATACTTTGAGCTTCATTTATTATGTCATCAATTTTATTTCTCACATCGACAATACATTTTTCAAAATTATCGATAGCCGTTTTAACTTGCGCTGGCTCGTTTTTTCTCTTCTGCAACTGGTTGAACAAGATGTCGACGTGAGGCATGACATGATGAAAAAATGTCAACCAAAACACGAAAACAGAATCGTTTTCGTTTAGCATACGGCGAATACCGCAAGCTGCCTTGCAAACGGTTTCATTAGTGAAATTTTCTTTTATTTCTTCCATGCATTCAATGCGTGATTCTCTGTTCTCAAACACTACATTTATTGTTCGAATATTAAAATTCCAACGAGTTGTTGCTCCTTGGGGAATTGATTTCCCCACAATTGAGGGGAGTTATTAAAAACTCCCGGAATATCTTTCAAATCCCCAAAAAACACCCGAACTTGAGCATTTCCGGAAGCAGCTTGGGACATAATCAGGATTAACTGATCATGTCCGCTCATTAGCGCGGCTCCATCATAGCTTTGTGGAATCAGTTTGTTAGGAAAATTTCCTATTAATGGATCTACGACGCTCAAAATATGTCTTGTGAGAGTATCAGCGTCACATTTTTCGGGACTCATATAATTCCAAAAACGTTCTACTGGTTCGCCGTATCTGAAAATTGTTACCAGTTGGGTTTTCCCGGAAATGCCCGTTGTTTCATCTGCTATTATCGCCAAATACGAGGCTCTGTTCATCTGTTTTATTATTTATTCATGACAAACTTCAAGAATACAATCCAGTAGATCGTTTTGTATTTCTTTCGAAGTTCCTTTAAATATTGAAGCATTTTTTAAGTGTTCGCTTAAGGTTGTATCAAGCTCAGCAGAAAAATTAATCACTCCACGAAATATTCCCGGGTTTTGGGAGCTCTCGGTTTCGCCGTGGAACCGTAGCACCAATTCAAATGCTCCGCAAAATTTTATACAATCGATTATTTTTGATAGAACGTACCTGTTTTATGTAACGGTATCATCATGCTGTTGTATATTTCTCCAATATGATGAATCTAACTGAGCTCTGATGTTAACAGTCCCCAATAAAGCCAATTCCATCTAATTATGAAGATGTGTTTTAGAGTTTTCATGCTTCTTATTTTTTTCACTCAGGTGTACTAAATCTGTAACACCTACCTCCGTCCAAGCTTTGTCACCGCCGAAAAGTATGCAAGGAAAGCAGAAAAGGGAATTCTTCCTGTTGCACCCACAAATCTAGTAATTTCTGGTGTAAATCTCCCTGCTGAAATGCCGCGTATAGCCCTTGCCCCGACTAACGCCCTGTGTTTCTATAAATATGTCCGGCAGCGGTCGATCCAACACCTTCAGCTCGATTTTTTCTTCAAATGTTTATTTCCAGAATCGTTTCACGCTGATAAGTCTGTAAACCACATCCATTCTCTTGCACTACCCTTCTACACAGCCACAGTCTGTCAGTGAGTTACTAGACACTCAACGTAAGACTCAACATACCCAAATAAAAAATTGTTTGCATTCAAATTTTAAGCCACGTCACGCGACGGATCTGTATAAATTGGAGCACATGCTTATGCTTAAATCGCGCATTTGATTTTGTAGAGAGAGACAAAAGCAAGCGCGTGCGGCTTGTGTCGAAGTAGTGCACAGACTTTTTTCAAGTGGCCCATGAATAATGTTATGCTGCGGTCGCGACGAAAATGACAAGTACACAATTGGTAGTTTATAATGTTTTCTCAGTACAAAACAGACTCGACGCCGTGTCTTGTGGGGGCAGGCCGGTATTGTTTCTATTTGTGTGATAACATGGAAAATAAATAATGATCAAATAAGTACTGCTTTTTTCTGTTAAGTCAAAAGTTTTGGCAGTTCTGCAGCTCAGCAGAACTTAAGGGCAAGCCGCACCTGATTCAAATTCATGTGGTACTTTCCAAGTTATACCAGAGTCAATAATTAGCAGACATAGACAGAAATGAGTGACATGACTTTTCGTGTCATATAACAACTAAAAAACATACGTCGTTTTCTAAATTTTTCGCGATTACAATACGTCCTCGCCAGTTGGCGTGGGAAGTAAAAGAGAACAATAACATTGCTAAACTCACCTTTCTGATTTTTCTATTACAATCTGTACACCTAGGAACCACTTTAGCCAATAGAAATCCAGTTTGTCCAAAAGTGGATGGACAATCATAAGCAAACTTCATGTTATCCAGATACGTTTGTAACACAGTTTTCAAAGTCTCCACAGCAGCTAATCTTTGTTCAGGTTTATTCTTGCCTAACCATGGCTCGAGCAACGTTACCGTTTCATCTAAAGCAGCAGGTGACAAGTTTTGCAGCAAAAGTTCCGCTATGAATTTTTTCAACTCTGCGAGGCATGATACTAGTTGCGGAGTTAACTTAGAATCGCCATAGTAGTTGTCTGAAATCAGGTAGATAAGCATTATACACCGAGAACCAGATGTGTCTGACGGCTTGAGTTCAATGTGTACGAGAGAGAAGTGTGTGCGGACATTTTCTGGTCAACGTACTAGATTGCACGACCTTTTGCGTCACCGTTGCTAGGTAATGTGGTGATGGCTTTCAGCCAGCTTCTATCACTTTCTATCATGTGTTGATACACACTTCTCGCCCTTCTCTCACTTACACAGTGAACTCAAGGCATCAGACAAATTTTGTTTTCCCTGTATTTTAGGCGTTAGATAGGGTTTACACGAAACCTGAATACATTTTGATACATACCTGTTTCTTGACTGATTTTGCAATAGGTTGCCAAAGCGTTGAATTCATATTGGAAAAATAGCTTTTGAAGACTTATTCTAAGTTCTGATTCGATGGGCAATGGCAGTCTTATTAAAGCTGTTACTGTAGACATAATCAGTGGGAATTGTTCGATAGATTCGCTGGTTAGTTGCATTTCAGAACAAACCAACCTAAATGAAACGGTTATAGTTAACGTGTCACTTAGAGTTAGATTTATAGACCTTCGTTGAGGTTTTAGGCTTCCTAGGAAACAATGGATCTCTCCAGTGGCGGCTCGTGGCAAAATAAAACAGGTGTTCTGCAAATCCGAACTTACCTATTTTTTATATGTCATTTCGATCCTGCGCTGCTTCTTGGCAGCAAATTTGTCGACCACCTTCCCGTTGAAATTTTCCATGGTCGAAATAAATTCCTTTTCAATCGACAGCATCGACAACGCTGTAAGGCGATCCTGGGTCATAGTATTTCGAAGAAAGGTCTTGATTCTTTTCAATGCTGAGAAATTTCGCTCAGCCTCTGATGTTGACATAGGAGTTGTAACAATAATTTCTTTTAGTATTTCCTCCAAACTATTTTGTATCAAAAATTTCAAAAGAGACAGAGTTCCATGTAAATCTCGGCAATCATTCCGTGCATAAATAACAGACAACTCTGTCTTTAAACGACTTTTTTCTAATTCGGGATAAGCCAAGCAGGTAGTTTCCAACTTGTCATCAGGAAACTTACCACAGTATTCTCCAAAGTGTTCAGGGAAAAAAGGGATGCGGCTTGCAAATGATCTTTGAATTGAAATCTGCCATTTGCAGAATTCACTATATTGTCGCATACTTCTAATGCGGCAACTCGGTGATCGTGACTGCTATTATTACGTCGTCTCCTTTTGTTGCCTTGGGGTTCAGTGCAAATACTTTGGCTTCATTTATTATGTCATCAATTTTATTTCTCACATACAGTTTTCAAAATTATCGACAGCCGTTTTAACTTGCGCTGGCTCGGTTTTTCTCTTCTGCAACTAGTTGAACAAGATGTCGACGTGAGGCATGACATGATGAAAAAATGTCAACCAAAACACGAAAACAGAATCGTTTAACATACGGCGAATACCGCAAGCTGCTATTCTCAAATACTACATTTATTGTTCGAATATTAAAATTCCAACGAGTTGTTGCTCCTTGTGGAATTTTTTCCCCACAATTCTGTTCAGTTCCTCTACGCGTTGAGGAGAATTATTAAAAAAGCCCGGAATATCTTTCAAATCCCCAAAGAACACCCAAATTTGAGCATTTGCGGAAGCAGCTTGGGACATAATCAGATTTAACTGATGCGCATAGCAATGCACATAGTGAGCAAATGAGTATCTTTGTTTAATTTTTGCCTTTTTTCCGCGTTATGTCCGTTCATTACCGCGGCTCCATCATAGCTTTGTGAAATCAGTTTGTTAGGGAAATTTCCTATTAATGGATCTACGACGCTCAAAATATGTCTTGTGAGAGTATCAAATATTTTTCGGGATTCAAATAATTCCAAAAACGTTCTACTGGTTCGCCGTTAAATACGTATCTGAAAATTGTTACGAGTTGGGTTTTCCCCGAAATGTCCGTTGTTTCATCTGCTATTATCGCCAACTTCGAGGTTCTGTTGATCTGTTTTATTATTTCTTCATGACAAACTTCAAGTATACAATCCAGTAGATTGTTTTGTATTTCTTTCGAAGTTCCTTTAAATATTGAAGCATTTTTATGTGTTCGCTTAAGGTTGTATCAAGCTCAGCAGAAAAATTAATCAGTCCACGAAATATTCCCGGGTTTTGGGAGCTCTCGGTTTCGCCTTGGCCCCGTAGCACCAATTCAAATGCTCCTCAAAATTTTATACAATCGATTATTTTTGATAGAACGAACACCTACCTCCGTCCAAGCTTTGTCACCCCCGAAAAGTATGCAACGAAAGCAGAAAAGGGCATTCTTCCTGTTGCACCCACAAATCCAGTCATTTCTGGTGTAAATCTCCCTGCTGAAATGCCGCGTATAGCCCTTGCCCCGACTAACGCCCTGTGTTTCTATAAATATGTCCGGCAGCGGTCGTCCTGACACCTTCAGCTCAATTTTTTCTTCAAATGTGTATTTCCAGAATCGTTTCACGCTGATAAGTCTGTAAACCACATCCATTGTTTTGCACTACCCTTCTACACAGCCACAGTCAATCAGTGAGTCACTAGTCACTCAACGTAAGACCCAAAATACCTGAATAAAAAAATTTTTGCTTCCAAATTTTAAGCCACGTCACGCGACAAGACCAATATGCCAATACCAAGGACCGAGCACCGACCGACCAATCAGATATCGTACTTCGCATTAGATCTGTAGGGATCTGCATAAATTGCAGCACATGCTTATGCTTAAATCGCGCATTTCATTGTAGAGAGAGACAAAAGAAAGCGCGTGCGGCTTGTGTCGAAGTAGTGCACAGACCCTTTTCAAGTGGCCCATGAATAATGTTACGCTGCGGTCGCGACGAAAATGACAAGTACACAATTGGTCGATTATAATGCTGCAAAACAGACTCGACGCCGTGTCTTGCGGGGGCGGGCCGGTATTGTTTCCATTTGTGTGATAACATGGAAAATAAATAATGATCAAATTACTACTCCTTTTTTCTCTTATGAGAAAAGTTTTGGCAGTTCTGCAGAACTTAAGGGCCAGCCGCCCCTGGATCTCTCCTTGGAAACTGTGAAACAATGACGCTTTCTTGAGGAAAGTTCAATTTTCATTTTACAGTAGGCTGTAAGAGTTGTCATCGATGTCAGAAAGATGTTTCTTTGCTGGCCGTATCTATTTAGCATTTTGATGTTAAAACTGGGACGATTACGTTTATTTGTACCAAATATATCAATAAACAATGCAAATTAACAATGTGTTTGCATCCTCGAATTACACCGCAATCACAAAGAAGTAAAAAACTGAATATAGGCAACCAGTTGCACCGAACTGCTCTGCTGCTGTTTTTTTCTGCAATGATCCCTTTAAATTTGTATAGTATCTCGATCAAATGAATCTTCTCGCTAAACTTCTTTTTTTCATAGTTGCACATTGTAATTATAATAATAGAAAATTTGGTATAAAATATGTTTTTTTGTGAAATACTTACTATAATTTATCCAACGAACCTACGGAGTACTAAATCATTCAGTACCGGATGCTTCGCTGTTCGATTTTCGTCCGCCGGCACGCAAGACGTCACGCGGAGAGTGATCATCATTTGGGTTGATATGGATAATGTGCATATTTTCACCTACAGGCCAAACGGCTGGACGGATTTTCATATATGAAGTGTCGTTGGATTCGTCTTAGCGGTGCGAGTGACACTAGATACATTAAAACTTTATACAAAACAAAATGGTGGATTTTAATAAAAGATTTCAACCTTGTAATTCATATTTCATAGGCTACAGCTCAAACGGCTTGATAGATTTTCACATATGAGGTGTCGTTGGATTCGTCTTAGCGGTGCGAGTGACACAATCTACATTAAAATTTTATACAAAACAAAATGGCGGATTTAAATAAATGATTTTAACCTTGTAATTCCTATCTCACAGGCTATAGCTTAAACGGCTTTCTAGCTCCACAATAGAGCGTGTATCGTCACTTGACTGTAAAAACAAGATTTTTCTACATTACCTATATTTTAGTATGTTCTGTGGAGCAGGATTAACATGCTCATGATGTTATGCTGCACTAAATTTATTCATCCTTATTTCACAGAACATCCTAAGTACTAACTACATGCAAGTGTGAAAATGTATGCAACTCGAAAAGTAGAAAAATATAGTTATCATGTTTTTGCAGTAAGCTGGCGGTAAAACAAAAAATGGAAATGACTTAGTCTAAGCCACAATTTTTCTCCATTTCCTTTCACGATTTTTCTGGTCTTTCAAACTTTTATTCAGTTCTTTGATCCGGAAGAACATCCTTGACCTGAAAAATAAATAAAAAGCTTTTTCAGGGCAGTCGATGTTGCTGCTCTTCAACAGAAGTTTGCCTATAAAATTTTGCTTTTCTGTCACTATTCCGTCCCCATTGAATGTAGTAAATACCTTATTAAGCTTCTCAATTGGATTCATGAAAGCTGTTGAAGGTTTTTATAGTCCACTCTCACTAAGATGGTCTATCCAGGAGTAAGTTTCATTTTTGGAACTTTTCAATCTATCATCCTGCAAGTTATGGCAAACAAAGCCGGTCAAATTTTTCAGCCCATCATACTCGAGCTCATCCATTTCTTCCACTTAAACTTCCTCGTTATAGTCAGCTGATACTTCAGGTGCATGCAGTTTATTCGTTAATGATGCGGTTAGTGGAATTTCCGAGTATCATCTTCCTCTATGCTGCAATACTATGCGCCTTCGTTTCGCCCCAAAATATATGACCTTATTCTATACTTAAACCCTAGGGGATAAGTTGAGCCCTGTGCCTTTATTCGTAAGCACTTTTCCGCTTTTCCCCATCCCCAAAGTAGATGGTCCAGGTGATGATTGGGGGTGAATTTTCCATAGGAATGGCATCATCTTTTAGAGCACGGTAACTTTTAGGGATGTAACCCAAAAAAGTATTTTTTAAATTGACCTTATAGGCACTTTCATAAAAATGCTTCGAGCAAACCCTAGAGCTTTTTACATTGACTTTGTCTTTTCTTTTTGTAAGACGTAGCCATTTTTTGCTAAGGTTTGAGTCTTGAGAAAATCTGTAGAACTCCATGTCTTTGCAAGGGTTCCGTTTAGACTGGTTGTCGGAATTACATCCCACACCAGCACACCGTATTTTTAACAATTTATCAACCACACAGGCTATATAAAGTATGTATAACTGATAGAATAGGTCACAAAACCACCAAAAAAACAGCAACAAATCACGCTATGTAGTATTAACCACGATACACGTGAACTGCAGTAACGTTACGACAATCCTGACGCTGGTAACCACGAGCAGACAACTCTCCGGGTGACGTCACGAAGCTCCGCCCACACGCGCAATATCCTATCTTCAGTGTATGTGTATCGTGTAAATGATCTGGCCGGTACGCGCCTCGTTCCAATTGGTCCGTTTTCGGTAGATAAGCCGCCAAGTTCACAATAGCACTTTAATTCTTTCCGAAGGTTTGTGACGTGCGGTTGAATTTTTTTGTGTGCTTCATTTATTTTTGTGAGACAACTTTTAAAAGGAAATTGCGACATGAGTTCCTTATTACACGAGTGCCAATTACCAAGAAAACGGACAGAAAGAGCTTTGTCGGTTTCTGAAAAAGGAACTATTATAAATATTTATATAGCTTCTCGGGAGCGCTAACCAAATTAAACTCAGACAGAACGTGTAGCCTTTGTTCCAACAGCATCAGGTGAGGATTTAGCTTTGTAGTATAATTTAAAATGTTTCGTAGTTTGATGTATTCTAAATAATAGTAATATCTTACCCACTAATATGATAGCTACTTCTATTGCACACATTTTGATTCTTAAAACTTATTTTTATTATTTATTAATGCATGTATATGTAATATATGCAAAATGTATTAATTTGTTTTCAGGAGCATCAAGTAGCAGTGTATATAAAATTTTGGCAGAGCACAAAAGAAGCAACAGTCTTTCTTCTCCCAAAGGTTACCATAGAGCCAGAGTAGTTTTGGACAATGTTTCACAAGAAACTAAGGCATTAATCCGAAGAAAAATCCCTGAATTTTTCTTCCGCCACCCACATTGGACAAAATTTTGTTATCAATAAACGACGACGACTTGCCAGACTTCAAAAGATCGACGTTAGCTACATTGATGAAGGAACTTAATTTTCGGTAAGTGTTGTACAAAAAACTTATTTTGTTATTTCTTCTTGCAAATACAAAACTAAAAAAAACCGTAAAATGTTCACACACAAAAATAGTTTAGATTTTTTATGTTTTTTATCATTCTTTATCTATGCTTTATTACTAAACTAAATTTGCAATTTTGTTAAGATGAATCGCCCGAAATTCGTTATTCGTATAATATGGTTCATTGAACTAACGAATTTATAGATTTAATGTAATTTTTAGTTTTGTAGGAAGGAAGCGAAATAGCATCTTGAAAGAAAAGGACGAGATAATATGTTGGAGACGTAGATACGCGAAATCTGGAAGTATAAAGAAGAAGGCAGAAAGACCTAGACGAGACTTGGCTCAATGCAGAGCACACTGTTAGCAAAGAATGGGTGAATCAGTTGAGCATCCTCCGCAACCCCTCCTGGAAGGTCTCAACACGGGATTCAAAAATCCTTCAGATAAAGGAAAACGGCTTATTATCTTACACATCGGATCTGATAATGGCTTCGTGGAATACAAACTGTTAGTATTTGAATCAAAACAAGCAGGAGACTACCACGCCGATATGAATGCCAATTTATTTGAAGAATGGTTTGAAAATATAATAATCTAAAAGAGAACGTTGTCATTGTTATGGACAATGCTTCATACCATAGTAGGCGTATTGATAAAGCACCAAACAGTGGAAACAGAAAAAGATATGGTTAAAGCAGAACTTTTAAATCTGGTCAAGGTCAATAAAAGTGCCTGACAAGTATGCCATCGACGAAATGGCTAAATCTACTAATCGGACTATTTTACGCCCGCCTCCTTACCATTGCGAGTTTAACCCAATCGAGTTAATTTGAGCGCAAATTAAAAACGAATTTTCCAGAAAAAACAACTTTCAAGATCGCAGATGCAAAGTAGCTTTTTTACACCGCGGTACAAAATGTAACTCCGTAAAATTGGAAAAAAACAATCGAACATGTTGAGAAGGAGGAAGAAAAAATGTGGACAACTGACCAATGGAAAAGGAAAATGGAAAGAGTGGTTGAACCAGTGATTATTAACTTAGGAAACGATTCAGAATCTTCAGATTACACTGATAGTGATTAGTTAATAAATGTAATTTGTATATTTACTGGGTAATAACAAAGGACCTATATCCCTAAACATACTACTACTTATATAATTACCATGTTTATTTCTATGGCTGGGATAGACTTAAAAGTAGGTTATCCCTGTGTTAATCCTGACCGTTAATTTCCAAGGAGCCCTCTGTCCAAGATTTTGACGTTATCAGCTTTGGTTTGACTTGTGGATTGCCGAAATAAACGGTAAGGATTACATGATTGGGATAATCCACTTTAAAGTCTATCCGGATAGAGCCGTCGAAATAAACGTGGTAATGAATGCAGGTATATTCCTTATTAGGTATTATATTAAAAAGATCCAGAATCCAATCTAAAAAAGAATTTAATTTTTGAGCCATTTTCTTTATTTTTTCCCTTGTATTAAAATTATTTTTGTAATATAAAAAATATGTAACGGCCATCAAACAAAAAACTTGCTGACATCGATGACAGCTTGTTATGACAAGTGTTACAGCCTACTGCGAAATGAAAATTGATATTTTGAACGTTCCTCAAGGAAGCGCCATTGTTTCACTGTTTCCAAGGAGAGATAAATTGTTTCCAACGAAGCCTCATTAATTACAGTAACCTACTTGATCACATTATCTCTATCGTTCATCCTAATATGTAGAGTGTTTCTATTTGGATGCATAGCATCCGCAACAGCAAGTATCGTTTTCAAGCAAACCTTCTTCATCACGAAATCTTTTGCATTTTGTAGCTCCAAATTAACATACTCCAAAATCTCAGATTCAATGACTTTCAATAACTTATCAGAAGGTGCTTCGTTGCATATCTCTGCATAACTGCATATAACCGTGTACCGCAATCTCTCGATACCGAGTTCATGCTTTGCATCTTTAATGAAAAAGTGCAAGAACTTCGATTTCTTATTGGACACTTCTTCTCTTATCATGGCCAGTTTGTTGAGCACTAGTTGCAGATGCGATTGGGAACAAATTCCGACAGCCTCGGCAAAAGTGTGCAGCTCAGAATATTCCGTCAGCTTCACATTGCTTAGGATGTTGTCTAGTGTTTGAAGTACCGTTTCTCTATCTTTTAAATTACATAGTGCTATTGCAAGACATTTTAATAGAAACTGCTTTTCAGTCTGTTTTACTTCCAAGTCACCATTGACACTATTTCTAGAACGGAATTCAAATCAATGCACATGAAAACATTATATCAAGCTTAAAAGCTTACCTATTGTTGTTGTATGTGCTAAGTTGTTTCCTAGCCTCAAAGACTATGATTTCATTAAAAGACTCGCTATTTATAGTTTCCAATAGGATGCTAAGGAAGTCAAATAGGAGATCCTGCCATTCAATGTTATTGAAGTTCTCATAATTCTGATCTAGATATTTTATGAGCTGAGGAATTTTGGTATCCCATACGTTTTTGTACGAATCGATGTTACAAGGTTTTATATTCTTCAAAAAGTTAAGAATGTAACAGCCTCGGAAGTTGGGCAATGGATTCGCAAGCAGAGCAAGACATCTGACAAATGCCACTTCACAACTTTCGATTTTTTCTTTCTTTGAGGCTAGATGCGTCAAGCACCGCAAAATAATCACAACTGCGTCATCAAAAGAAGGCCCTGAAATGTTAAAAAAGCTAAATTATTTAAGTTTTCAAAAATAAAAAGGAACTTCCCTAAGTTAAGAAGTCTTGCAGTTGTCTATACAAAAAGAAACGTCTCTAAGTCAAGAAATCTTGCAGTTCTCTACACAAAAAGATTCCTGATGAATATTTATCATAAAAATATTCTTAATTCACTGTTTGGATACATTTAATTTCCAAGAAGCATACCTAATAAGCTTTTCAGCAGCAAGTCCCATAAAATTCCTTCTAATTCAGGTATAGAAGTAACTAACATATACATAGTATTGTCAGCAGATTTTTGAATATTTTGCAGTTCATGGATATCAATGTCACTATTTTTTGGCACAACCTGTTTACAGCACATCTTTATAATGAACTCCATATATTTCCCAGTTCCCTCTGGATTATAGGCTGTAAAATTACAATGGTAAGCTTCAAACATCTCTGATTTTTAGGAACAAATTCTGGAAATTTAATTACAAAACCGTCCATTACAGAAATATCTAATAATACTCACTTTTATCTAGTAGAACTTTTTTATTACAAAAAGCCACAATGATCTTGATCAAGGCTTTCTTAACCCTGATACTATGGTCACTGAGCATTTCACTGATGAATCTAATGATATCTTTGAATCTCCTCTTAATACACTGTTCTCCAGAATATGATATCAGATGCGTGAAAACCAATAACGCTCTTACTCTATCCTTATCATTGTTATTTCTTAGTTGTGACAACAGATGATCTACAGTACTATCAGTGAAATATAGAGCAAAACATTCATAACATCTGAGTACTTCTGAATGGCTCTTTACTAATGCTGGCTGGGCATAGTCTGGAGACACACATACTAAATCAAATAAAGTATTCAATATGTTTTGTAAAAGTGGTTCCAATAATGTTCCATCTACACTTGCTGATTTCTCTATGACAGCATCCAAACATTTTGTGATATAATAAGCGTTAATATTTTTCTTGTACAGACTCAGCAGTATATGTAGTACTTTTGGCGTCTGTTGGAGAACTTTCTCAGTAGTGAGGATGCTGTATATAGAAGCAATTGCTTCTAAGACACTCTCAACAACTTTCGGATCCCTGGAGAGCAGCCAAGTAGTGAATAACACATCATAAGCCATTCCTATCTCTAAGTTGTAGTTTTCTATGGTGACTGTTGTATCTGGCACTTTTTCATTGTTCGAAACATACTCAACAAGGGCATCACAAAAACTACCAATAGCTGAAATATGGATTAATATTTTAAACTTCAGAATTTAAATTTTATAATAAATGCTTCAAACTATAAAAAGAATATAATAGCACTAAAACCATTTTTTTAATGTTCACCTTTTGTAAAACTGGCTACAAAATATGTGACTCTCGAAAGTAATATGTGTTGAGCAAATTGGTTGTTTTTTGTAATGACTCTCTATGGTCATTACCAGTGGGTAGCTTCATCCATTAATTTTTATGTGTGACTGATTTTGACACTTAGTAGTAAGAATTCCCTTATATGAAATGTTGTGTCTTATGTTTTTTGCAAGGTTTGGTAAATGACAACGTCTGCAACTTCTCTGTAGCCTACTCCAACTGTATGAGGTGAATATGACTAAGAATAATATAAATCTCACCATATGCAAAGGATAGTTTCAAATGATCAGATCTACATCCACCCAAAAGTGGCAATATGACATTAAATATCTCTTTCAGATATGGAACCACTCCTATCGCATTTGTATTTGCCATAGCACCTAATGCACGAGGTACCATAAAATGTGGTACAATTCCTGCAGTTAACTTCTTCAGTAAGCTATCCATCACCTAAGTAAAAAATAAGTTTTACATGCACAGTTTAAATCGCTTGATGTTTCATAATTTTAATTATTTGATTTGCAGTGGTGTTATCATGTGTACTTCACAAAACGGTGGCACATTCTCTATTTCCAATTCTATATGTTTAAAATATTTACTGATATAAGCAATGGAAAATTGGGTTTATGGTAGCATATGAAACCATCAAAGTTTGATCTGGTTTACATTTTAGATTATGCAAGATGGTTTTTGTCCTCTATCATTATTGCATGCTTATTTGGTGATACTGGATATGTTACATGGAAAAGATCATTGGGATCTAGTCTTCCAGTTGAGATAAACCAGAGCTAATAAGTAGGAATGCACTGGGTACCCGGTTTGAATCCGGTATTCGGCTCATTTTACAGAGTACCCGGTTTCGCAGAGTATTAAATTACTTGTCCGGGTAATTACTCATTGCTTTCTTATCCTATCTATTGAAACTCAAAAAAGTGACAAAAAATAAAACAAAGAAAATGCAGCAGAAGTCGGAAACTAATGTAAATAACGGCTTTCCCAGGTTTCTGCAAAGAAAACCTTTTTTTACACTGAAGCAGCTACGCAGGCAGAAGCCTAAATACCAAGGTACCGCGGCCGCTCCGAGGAGCCTAAAGAAATTTTGTTGATCCAATTTTTGAACTGCCTCATGTAAAATATTCCACAATCTCAATACCCTAGGGACCAAGGAGCGGTCGTATCGACTAGTTCTGGATGTAAGAAGTTTTATATGGGTAGAATGGGAGGCTGAAGTCATGAGGGTATGTCTGGCAGGGACATCGCACGGCGGCATTATGGAGGAGGGCTCTGAGGAGTAAAGATAGATCGCCGACGGCCCGCCGGCGCCGGCGCGAAATGGTCCCGAGCCTGTCCGTTAGAGAAGAGTCGTCAATCAGTCGGACAAACCTCCTCTGTAGAGCATCGAGCATGGATAATGCAGTTCGAGTGGCAGCACCCCAAACATGTGAGCAGTACTCGAGGCTAGGTCTTATCTGGGCTTTGTACAGAGTACAGAGTATTCATACGTAAGGATAATTCAGGTTTACATCTTTCCAAATCCTAATTGGTCCAGCCACAATATCAAGCAGATTTAACGTGTTTTCTGTACCTGCTCCTCAAGGAAGTGTAGGCACCTAAGGAAATTAAATTCGGTGTTCAGGATGGCTATGACATGTCAGATTCTATTGGATGATTTTTCAAAATTTGTATTAATCTTCGTGGAGAATACTTCGAAAAACAATAAATTCATTTAAAACTACCTACTGTGTTGTTTTATTTCCATATGCAAAACTTAAAAGACATCCCTCGTATTGTCTCAAAAAATGTAGGTTTCATATGCTGAACAGGAGTGGATCTAGAAAATATTTTAGGGGAGGGTTCATCTGATGAATTTGAAATTTTTTGGGGGTTCAGGATTTATGACCAGGAACATGATTGTCTAGGTTGTATCAGGAATTGAAAATTGAAGAGCACACCCCCCTGGATCTGCCACTCGCTCCCAATGTTTTACATATGTGCTTCTCTTGTAATAGGAAAGATTGTGAAATGTATCAAAATCAAATATTTCAAAACCATAATGCCAAAATAAGGTTTCCATTTTTAGGAAATATTCTAGCTACTGAATTCCCCAGTGAAAAAAATATACCTTTATATATACTATTATACTACAATAGTAGTTGCAAAACTCAGTATTTAAAAAACAAATTTCTGAAAATACTGTAAATATACTAACTTACAGCACATCAAAAACAAAAAATCATCTAAGCTGAGCAACTGTTTTTGTGGTATGTGGTTAACTGGCAGAGTAGCATTGCTCTAAGCTTTGCCCTCTAATAAAGATTATGTACTAATAATAGTGTCTTGGAAAAGCAATTAAATTTTTGGAATGCTGAAGTCTTTCAAATACCTGTACAAGTACTTAGCCAAATACCAAGTATTTGAATTTAGCAGAGTATTCACTACTTGGCTATTTGAAAATAATAAGCTTACCTGCACAGAATGTTGTCTTCCTAAAGCCACCAGTACTTCTGAAGCAGGGATTTGGATCAGAGGTTCACTGTATACATTTTCCGTCATCAGGTTCATACTGATTTCTATTGTGCTTATAATAGTATCTCCATCTATTTTCATAATATGGTCTGAGCATACCCTTTCCATGATTTTCAAAATAGAGGCCAAATGTTCAGGAGGCGGTTTCGGAGTTTTGGAGTAGAACTGACAGCAGGATAGAAGCACCTGATTGGGATGCTTTTCAGCTAGTTTCCTGATAGAGTTCATCAGAGTTTCAAGTACCACAGGGCTCTTATCTCGGACAGATTGCAGTAGCATCCCAATTGCAACTGAAATTTAAAGTTTTTTTCAATCAGTAATAAATTGTTTTGTGTACTTACTTTGCAATTGTGTTTCAGCATTTCCTTTGCCATTTGTAGTCATTTTGTTGATGTACTTTTACTATTTCGCAAGAGTTACTGCAAGTTAACTGTTAACAATAAAGTTAATTGGATTTTTGTTGTTTTTTCTGACACGCATTTATAACCCCAATCTTCCTAGCTGTCAACCGAATTTTGCGCCATCTGTTGACCATTACGATTGAGAATCAGATTTGGTTTCAGTCCATTTAGGATCACAGTTAGGATTTATACGATCAGATCACAAGCCAATCAGGAGAGATGGCTCGGCAAACATGGCGTCAAGTAGACTGACTCTATGATTTGATATGAGCAGGCAAAATATCGCGAAAGATAAGGTAAAGATACACATGCTCATAAAATAGCATGCGTATGAGCATGCTTGAAAATGGCGTGCTTTTCAAACTGATATATTTGCTTGTGTTTAGCTTGCTTGTTAAGAGCATGCTCTTCTCGATCTTGCTCAAAGCAAAGACTCCGGACCCATTATGCTATTTAATAGCAAGCTCTCCGTCAGTGTTCCATTGGAAAAATGGAAAACCAAGTGTCTCTCTCCACAGAAGTGAATAATGTCATCTGTTTGATTTGCAATACAGTCATATTCGTTAACATATCTTCATACGCACTGTTTCTCAAAATATTGTTTTTACTCTGCCGGACTTTGGGTTCCACAGACATTTATAATTTTGATACAGAATGACAAACTTTAACGTCTTGTCGTCATAGCAGCGCGCCATTTTTGAAACACATAGGCACCTGCTGCGAACAACTGTTTGCTCAATAATAGCATGGTTAATAAGGAGGTGGCCTGTTAACACGCGCTACAGGTAGCATTCTCAAAAATTGCAAGACGGTCGATTTTTAAGCATGCTCAGAGAAAGAATGCTTATTTCTAGTAACGTATGTACACACATGCTACTATATGTAGCAACTGCTCATTAATAGCATGCTTTTCTGCTATATTTGAGCATGTATACCTGCACCTTTACAGACAAAATATATCATAAGCGGTTCGTTCTTCTTTTACACCGCAATCATATATGCTGACAACCGCGTCAGGTAGATTAACTCTGTAGTTCGTATTTTGCAATTTTAAATTATAAGTCTTTGAAACCCCTGACTCAGTGCAGTATATAGAACTTGGGTCTTGAGTTCTTGAGAGTGGAGTCTTTTTCTTCAAAAATTGGTAACAATTGGAAATTTGGAGAAATTGTCATTTCTTTTCTTTGATATTAATAGATAATAATTAAAATTTACTGTTATGCATTTTTCGTTAAAAAATAAATTTGACGATTTTCGACCTTCTGGCTAAGGGTATTTAACCACAAGAGAATAAGGTGTTGAAAGCAACGGTAACTAACCAGGAGTGTATAGGTTTTCAAAAGCATGTCCTTTCCCTACGAGTTTGTAGAATATCTTTAACAGATACCTACTCGAGTTAAATAAGTTTTGTATTTTACATCAATCTGAGTGATCACTTATATGTATATTTGGGGACACCCTGTAGAAGATGATATGCCGACAGCTCAGCTGACCTTTGAGATATTGCAGCATCTCGGTAAGGCGGTCCAGCAGCATATCATATATCATGCCCCAACCAACAGCATATATGGTCACGCTGCTCGAATCTAAATACAATTACAGCCAAGAAATATGACAGTTATAAATTAAAATTTGCATCTAATCGGTCGATTTGCAGTAAATAAGTGGTCGTAATTCGAACCGATCAAGGGATATTATCTAAGCTTTCGTAATCGATTTCACCTTCTTATAATGCTCGACATGGAGAGGTAGCCACGTGGATGTTACCTGCAAATTTAGAGTTCATTGCCTTTTAACTCAACGAATCTTAGATATTCCACAAAAAATTCATTCATGTGCTTTTCAAAACTCATTCATCAAAACTGTCGAGCTTTCCAAAATTGCTAATATAACCAAAGTTTCTCAATAATTGGCTCAACAGTTTTACAACTACTGAACTCTCTGACCGGACGACAAATTGATATTAGAGTGGGTGACAACAAATGGGAAGATCAGATTGTAAGAAACAGATTATGGTTTCTATAGACCTAAATCCTGCCTTGGGGATACCAAATAGAACAATAAGAAACCAAGTCAGAAAATACGTAGACCATCAATGCAAGGAATAGGTATGGTAACCTAGTGCCTGTGCCAGATTTTGGTAGTATTTTGAATATTCGGTATATTGAATCCTTTTCAGAATAATATTCAAATACATTTGTGTTGTTGGTATTTGACTGAATGCTTTTTTGGTCGGTATTCGGTATTCCGGATTCTGAATGCCGTTTCTAAATCCCAATATTCGATTACTCAGTTTTCGAATACGGTTTGGCTATTGTTATGAATATTGCGTTACGATTTAAGCAAATTCAGCATGTTAAAACACGTTTGCGGTGTTTGTGGGTGACACAAGCAAAATACTCGTAGCTAAGCAAAGTTTTTTTTTGGGCGGGCGGTGGTGCTTTTGAATTCGTTTTGCCGACAAGTCGCTTAAAGAATGAGATTAGATTACGTATCCACTTGCAGTATCGCCATTATATTTTATGATAAATTTTAATACATGTTATAATTTGAGTACGACACTAGCTAAAGTACATATATACGTATAAAAGGGTAGGTAAGTTTATTCTTTGATTATGTATTGTGTAAGTTTACTGTATTTTCTTATTAACTTTTATTCTATTAATTTTCTATAACAATCTAATAAAAATAAAAAAGTGTTTTTATTATGCAATTAGTTTGTTTAACCTCACTGTGACGTCACTGTATATCAAAATGTTATTTTAAGTTTCATTCAATATACAGGGTGGTCCTTAATGATATGCGGATATTTAAGGATGTCAATCTACATGAAAAATTAATGTCAGTTTGATTTATTAACTATGGTCCAAAAATGTTTCCTTACAAAATCTCGGGGTGTTGAAGTTTTAGGAAAAAAATGGAAATTAATTAATATCTTCAGAACCGCTTCAGATATTTCACTGATATTTAGTACGTAGTGAAAGTTAATAAAGTTGCATATTTTTCAATGCAAAACTAATTTTTAGCTTTAACAGTGGCGTGCGTACGGGTATTGACTTCGACATTTTTTAAGAACAAAATGGTACGCCAATAATTTTTTGCCAAATCAAAATAATTTTTGAATTCCCCGTTCAATTTAAAACAAATAATCTATCTTGAATTGTTTTCCTGCGATGCGCCATTTTTGAGTAATAAAATAAAAACCGTTCTATTGTCCGAGAAAATTAATGTAATAACTGAAGAATGCAATTTAGCAATAAATATCTAGTTGCTCTGGAATATGTCAGTGGCTTTTGACATCTGACAGGTCTCTGTTATAGAAATCTGTGCGCTGTGACATCTTTTTCATTATTTAGTTTTTACAATCTTGTTAATAATGGTGCATTATTCAAATGCCGAAATGGCGGAAATGCATTACGTATATGGCCTTGCCGACGGTAATGGTGAGCAAGCCAGACGGGTTTATCACCAGAGATATCCCGATCGTGCTTTACCAGATAGTCGAACCTTTTCTAATATTCATCGTCGTCTTATTGAAACTGGTTCTGTTGGAAAAGGTACGTCTGAAGGTAGACCTCTAAGTGTGAGAACACCTGAAATTGAGGAAGCAGTGCTTCCCGAAGTCGAAGAACATCCTGAAATGAGTACGAGGAAGATCGCTAGACACTTAAATATTTACCATAAAATTGTTTGGAGAATTTTAGTGGATTTGTTGTTATATCCTTACCGTATTTTAAGAGTACAGGCATTAATTCCCATTGATTTTCCAAGGCGTGTGACCTTTTGTCAGTGGTATCTTCAAAAAATTACACAAAATCCGCAATTTGAATCAATGATTCTATTCACGGAGGAAGCTAATTTTTCTCGAAATGCCGTTCAGAATTTCTTCAATAACCATTTGTGGGCAGAAGAAAATCCCTATGCCGTAACCGAAACCCATTTCCAACACCCATTTTCGGTTAACGTATGGGCAGGAATTATTGACAACCACTTTATTGGCCCATACTTCTTGACGGACAGACTTACCTCAATTTTCTTCAACAGTTGCCTTTGCTGCTTGATGATGTTCCGTTAGTAATAAGAAACAATATGTGGTACACGCAAGATGGTGCACCAGCGCATTTCAGTGTAGCGGTTCGTAATTATTTACAAACTGCTTATCCAAATCGTTGGATTGGCCGCGGTGGGCCCCAAGAATAGCCACCAAGGTCCCCAGACCTCAACAGTTGAGATTTCTTTTTGTAGGGCTATCTTAAGACACTAGTGTACACAAGTCCCATTAACACTGTAGAGGAATTAAGACGAAGAATAGTTTTAGCTTGTGATAGAATAAAAAACACTCCAGGGATATTTCAAGAGAAGGAGGGCGGAAGCATGCATACTAAGTGAAGGGGGCCATTTTCAAAATTTTTTATAATCATTTCGTTGGTTCTAATATTATGTTTATGTTGTCATTTTTTATGTTTTTACTCAAAAATGGCGCATTGTAGGAAAATAATTCAGAAGAGATAATTTATTTTAAATTGAACGGGGAATTCAAAAATAATTTTTATTTGGCAAAAAAAACCATTGGCGTACTATTTTTTTCTTAAAAAATATCGAAGTCAATACCCGTACGCACGCCACTGTTAAAGCTAAAAATCATTTTTGCATTGAAAAATATGCAACTATATTAACTTTCACTACGTACTAGATATCAGTGAAATATATGAAGCGGTTCTGAAAATATTAATTAATTTCCATTTTTTTCCTAAAACTTTAACAGCCCGAGTTTTTGTAAGGAAACATTTTTGGACTACAGTTTATAAAGCATATTAAACATTATTTTTTCATGTAGATTTCACACCCTTAAATATTCGCATATCATTAAGGAACACCCTGTATATATATATCTTGTATTTTTAATTTTTTATATATTTTTATAACTTAAGTAGTTACATACATCGGTATTCGAATTTTTTTTTGTATTCCAATCTTGATTCGTCGAACACAATTTAAAATACAGCATTGAGGATTCGTATTCGAATACCGGATTGAAGTGTTCAACTGTAACCTTTATACAAGCATTGCATGGAATTTCTCCTGAGACCACGGCCGAAATCGACAGCAGAACTCTTTTCACTGAGCAGAAACAAGCTCCGTATAGTTACAGAGCTAACAGAGCACAATCCTGAAAGAACAACTGCGTAAATAGAGATGCATGATCGAGACCTCAATCGCAGAGTTCCCAAAACTGTTTTATTCAAGACTGTATACCATGCAAGGGCGCCCGCAGACGGGTACAAGGAAGGAACGGCTCCCATGAGAATTCGGTTGGCCCCTAAAATTTGCATATTTAGTACGATTGTGCGGAGAATATTAAAAGATTTGGATGATTTCGCCCCCCCCTAATAAAATTTAGCATCCCTGTCTTTTAAATTTTTTTGCGGGGACATTTATTAAGAAATATTCTCTCTAATCGGAAGTAAAAATTCTTGCAGGTGTACCTCTTTAGCGTTTTGCGATGATTTTGTAAATGATGACTTAATTGTTTTTATATCTAGACATATATTTTTCCGAATTTTATGATCCTAAATTGTACCACCAATTTGGCCTAACCTTTAATTTGTGTTACTGCGTCTATGATGGTTCTATGTATATTTCGTCAAGTAGATTGTCTCAGTAGTTATGACGCATTGATTTACAACGGACACGGACTGACAAACCGCCATAAATGAGAAACACGGACATGGGTGATGTAGATATGTACAAGAAACAGAAAACTTGTGAACCGAAGCTCAAATATTATCTCGAGTTTAATACTTCCATCGTTTAAGTTGTTGAATATTTTGAAAATTGATTGAGAAGCGGCGGAAATAAAATCGCTGGAACATAGTGTTATATCGTTTCCGAAAGCCCTGCTCATTTTCAGACATTGTTTGGAGGGGATGAAAATTGTAGGTTGCAAGCTATATGCGGTAAAGGCTTGTAGATTGTTGCATATTTGGTATCAGTGAAAGATGTTCTATTCTTAGACGCTGCTGAATTCGGTGATACTATGTACCTGTTAGACATGATAAGTCACACATATTTTCCCTACATCTGCCATAGTAACCGAAATAAGATAGATTTGCTTTTTATAACTTGATATTCAGATGTCGCCCTTTGAAACGATTTGACTCATCCTTTTTTTTTGAAACCTCCAACGAAGTCGTAGGAAGTACAGACTTAATCTACTGGAAGCCATTTTTTTTCTTGTTTTTAGGAAGCTCTGCCGTCATCGTATCGACTTTTAAAGTTTTTTAGTCCTTGCCACACATTTATGAATTTTCTCACGATTATAGTACACCTTTCTCCTTTTAAGTATTATGTCCGTCGACGTCTTACCTTAAGACGTCAGTGATGACGACTTAACGTTTGTTCGTACAGTGGACGTCTAACTATATAGCGTAGCAGAATGAACGCAATTTGTGTGGCGGGACCTTGGTCACGATCATTGACAGGTTGGTGACAGCTGTACGAACAGGGCTTTATTCGATTAAATGAAGTCAATGGCGTATATACCTAGTTGCTTTGGTAACGTTTCGATTGATGGATGTTTTAGTACCTATATCTTCACGAGTATCCAGGTTTTCTGAGTGTCGGGCTACAACAGCTATTAAAAGAAACGTCATTTTGCCCGTTAAAATACAGGCAACTATTTCGCGCTTGTCGTAGGGAATTTACATAATGATATATTTTCAATTTATGGAGTGAAAATAATGCAACTTTATTGGTTCAAAAATAACCACCTATTACGAAAGCGACGTCTGCCACGACGAAATAATAGTTCACCTAAAAACTGGTCAATTCGTCCAGAACGTGATCAGTCTTTTTACCGTACGGGGGAGGAGAACAGGGCAACCGCCCTCTCCTATACGCTACTGAATGAAGTACAGTGAAAGCTCTCCTTGCGGACAGCTCCTATAAGCGGACATCTCTTTTAACCGGACAAAGTTCCTGGAACCGAATTTCAGCCATCAATTTTCAATGTTAAATGCATTCCGATAAACGGACGCTCTTATAAACGGACGCGGACACTAGATTTTCCTGTATGTGATCAAAAAATCTCCCATAAGCGGACGCGAAACTCTAACACCCGGACGATTTTTTAGTTCCGCTTATTGCAATGCACATATCTACATACATAAAATTCGGTAATTCCCCGATTTATATTAGGTGATTCCCCATTTACGCATTTCGTTAGGTAGCCTGTATGTAATCTTGTGGCTTGTCTTCAGTTCAGGCAAATTCGTAGTTGATTGAGTTACGTATTTTATTATTGTAACTGTAAAATGGCACCAAAAAAAAGGATGCTCTCGTTAAAGAAAAAGATGGAAGTTGTTAACGTATTAGACAGAGAAAGTGTTTCAGTTCGTCATTTGGCAAAGAGGTTTAATATTGGGAATACGCAAGCAGCTGAAATTGCCAAAAATAAGGAAGATATCAGGAGTAAATGGCAATCAGGAACTAATATAAATCAAAAGAAGGATTTTTTAAAAAAGGAAGGTTTTGCTATAGACAAAACATGTTTTGAGTGGTTTGTGAAAGCTAGAAGTCAGAACATTCCAATCTCAGGGCCGTTAGTGAAAATGAAAGCTAAAGAAATCGCCACTACCTTGGGCTATAATAATTTCAGTGCGTCCGACGGGTGGCTGCAAAAGTGGCGCAAGAGACATAGTGTGAGTTTCAAATGCATATCTGGCGAAGCTGCTGCAGTAGATCAAGTTGATGTGTCACAATTTTTGGAGAAACTTCCGTCCATGTTGCTTGGCTACAAACCAGAAGATGTGTACAACGCAGATGAGAGTGGACTTTTTTTTCGCGCATTGCCCGACAAAACTCTGTCCTTTAAAGGAGAAACATGTGTGGGTGGAAAGTTGTCTAAAGATAGACTAACCATTTTATTCTGTGCAAATATGGCCGGTGAAAAATGCGATTTGATTGTGATCGGGAAAGCGGCTCGTCCCCGTGCTTTAAAAAACGTTGCTATTAAGGATCTACCAGCGACTTGGAAATCCAACAAAAAGGCATGGATGACCCGAGAAATCATGTCTGAGTGGTTAGTCGAATACGACCGGAAAATGAGAATCCAAAAAAGGCAAGTTCTTTTATTTTTAGACAATGCATGCTCTCATCCTCGTGATATGAAAATGAAAAATGTGAAAATTATATTTTTACCGCCAAACACAACTTCTGTTTGTCAGCCCATGGATCAAGGTGTCATACAGAACTTTAAATTTTATTATCGGCACTTGATTTTAAAACATATTTTAACAAAAATTGACGATGGTCAAAGCTTATCTGAGCTTACAAAGTCTATCAATGTGTTAGAAGCTTTGTATTTTATAAAAACAGCATGGAATAAAGTAAATTCCTCTAGAATTAAAAACTGTTTTGGCAAAGCTGGATTCAGAAAAAGTGAATGTAGCTCAGAATTTGCTGAGCAAAATTATTGCGATGCTGAAGACGATCTGCCCTTAGCGACACTTGCTCAGTTACTGCGACATGCCAAACATTTAGGAGTAGCAGATCCCCAGAAAGTAGATGATTTCCTGGCCATAGACAATAACATAACAACAGAAGAAAATGCCATTGGCAACTTTTCGAATTTGGATGTAGAAAGCCCAGGCCAACTTGAATATGGTAGTCCAAACGACTCAGAAGAAGTGGAACTGGTGGACTCACTAAGCGGTTCAAAAACGATAAATTCATATGGGGAAGCTCTAAATCATATTTCTATATTGAAAAAATTTGCTAAAGATGATTTCACTGCATTTCAACATTTGACAAATTTAGAAAGTTATTACGAAAATTGTCTCCTTCAGCAAAAGATGGTGAAATTTCGTCAGACAAACATTTTAAATTTTTTTCAACAAGCTAAAGAATAATGTTTTTTTTAAATTCTCGTACCATGTATTGAAGCATTTATGTTTTTGTATGCGTATATGTACATATATTATATAGATATATAGCATAAATACATACTTTAAAAATGTGGCGAGTTTCTGTTTCATTTTTCTCATGATTATAATACCTCATTTCCTCATGATTATATACCCCGTTATTTATACTCTATACTTACATACTCTCTTTTAAACGGACACCTCCCATAAGCGGACAAAAGTTACGGAACCGTGAGTGTCCGCTTATGGGAGCTTTCACTGTACTTACATCAGCTATAAAAGCCATGAAAAATACTCTATCCCAGGTTCCGATTGTCATGGTTACTCATGGAATATAAAGTTTCAAAAACAAGATGGAATCAGTCTGTCCGATGTGTTATGGACTCAAGTAGCGCTCCTCAAAATATTATGTATTCCATGGTATTTTCCTACCCATAAAGTGCTAATTTAGTTTCTGGATTTACGAGTATAACAACCTTCATAACCATGAATAGATATGCCAATGGTATCCTTTGCATATTTTATGTAGCAAATCGTTTGATATAACTACTTAAAAATTATGTAAAATTTGTGAAAGAGCGAAAATTTGCGTCCATAATAAGCAGTTAGCTCCAGATTACGCGCATCAAGGTATTAGTCTTCTACGAGTATACTCGTGTTATAATATCATGTAGATTGAATTTTGCGTGGCCTGTCAATACATTTTTAAACACGATCGATTTTATCTTAGCTCTAATGCTTTGCATCTTACATTTCCGTCAACATTGTCTCACGATTTAGATTAAGCCATCCATATGTTATTTTAGGTACTCATTTTGGCGCAGATTTCATGTTGTATTTTCTCGTAGGAACGAGTCTATTGAGTACTGGAAAAATAAGCTTTGAAGAACTTACATACCTTACTTGACGATTTTGATAACCTTACAGTTCATAACGATCTTCTGAGAGTTACGAATTTTGTTAATTTATCTCTAATAATGCCTTCAAAGTTTAAGATACAATAATATGCAGTCGCATCATCTGTGGTTGTTATCAAAAAGTTGGAGGGCACGTAACGCAACAATTTTAAATGACTCAGCGCTGCAACCCAAATATCGGATTTATTATAGTATGGGTGTTTGAGATTTGCGTATGCATGTACGCCACTGTGTATGAGTATTAGTTCCTATTCCTATTGTCAGTTGTTTTAAGACATCTTGAATTATTGCTCTGTTACTATAATGTAATATCAAGTATAAATAGTCTGTATTCTTCAAATCGATGTAGTATTCATATGCATATCGCAGTTCGGTGCATTTCATCATGATCAGGGTGGTAAGTGCAAAAATGTGAAGCTATTATTATTTTCAAAAGCTCATGTTTTGATGAGGAATAAAATATCCTCGGTATATCGTGGCAACGTTTTTGGTACAAATTCTGGATACTGCGAGAGGTATATGATGCATCGCAAAATTACGAGTTTGAACCAAATAGGGACGTATTCTTGTAGGAATGCTTGTTATTTGTTGAGCCTTATTTAATAACAGATGTTTTAAAAATTATTGTAAGATGTATCTAACTTTTCTGATACTTTATTATTTTTACAACTCATGTCCCACTCGTTCTTCAACCTGTGGGCGCAAGAATCACGTAGTCAGGGCTCGGACATGGTGGAGGCCCCAAATTCCCCAAAATTGCGGAATTTCACTCACCGGGCAAGAAAAGCCGGTAGAGTTGTGTCGAGCGCGGTTAACCCCTTCTAAATGTCTCAAAATCAAATCAGCTTTCCAGAAATTGTCTCATTGAGCAAACTTTTACTTGATGCCTGCTTAATGTGAAGGCAATTTTTTTCTTTTTTCACTTAAAAGAAATTAGAAAGTTAGTAAGCTGGATTTATTTCGAAAAATGCCGTTTTCCTTCTCATCTTCAAGGCTTCCTCATTTACCACTTTTGTCTTTTTGAGAAATAAGAAAATGCGTGTAATCTAGGAGTTATTTGAATGTGATCTCTAGAGACATAACAATTGAGATAAGCAGGTATGCGGAAGTTGTAAAATAAGGAGACCTAAGTTAAAAATGGAAGACGGACTTTTTATATAACTTTTCAAAGGAAATAATAAATTAAGAAATATATTAGAAGTAACAAATATAAGGACCAGTTTAATGAAATAGCACGTGAATGGGTCAACACATTTATCAGAAGATAGATAAAACGCTGACATGTCCTTGACCGATTTTTGGCTTTTTAATAGGGCCCTGAACTTCTGTGCGCTTTGGGTATTCTGCATGGGTTGAGACGGCTCTGGTCACGTCAATTATCTATGCTTTTTAATATTCCGTTATGAAATACTGAATTGTAGTTGGTAAGGTTAAAACTGGGCAGAATATATTGAACTATTAAGCTTTTCCAAACCTCATTTGAAAAGGCATATTTCTAGCCTTTCATAAGACACGTCTTCTGAAGGCTGCACTGGTGGTATGCAATGCAGAATTGGTTTTAATCTGAATGCTTGTTTTTTCCAGTTGTTGTTAGTATGCTTGGTGTCTTTGTCAGTAGGTGATGTACCGAAGCCATTATTGAGACCTTTGCCTATTGGTCCTGTCATACCTCCCGTAGCAGCAGCTGACCCTTTCTACCCTTATCGAGGAGAACCAGCAGCTTACGGGGGAAAATTCTCAATCCTGAGCTACGAGAATGATGTTAGACCTGATGGGAGTTACAGATATTCGTTAGTAAAAATTTCACCACCATTTCATATAACCAACCTCTTCGTAGCTTTACAACTCACTGAATAATTTTTGGGAGAAAATAGTTCATATAATCATTCTACATGTATGATCAAATCCCAATCATCAATGAGATAGAACTCTTGTCAAACGACTTACTGGAGTCAATAAGCTGCTTTTTTAAGAAAGATCCAGCTCAATTTTCTTGAGTATCTATATATTTTGCCGTTTCTTGTAAATACTTAAACAATTTTAAAATAGGAGTTTCCCAAAGGTGGCAGAGAAACGTATATAGGGTGTTTCACAACTTATCCGACAAATTTCAACCACATATGCACTGTTACGGAAGAATTTGATTTCTCAAAAAAAAAAAATGTAATAAAAGTCCTACAGAAATTAAGTTATAAACCAGAGTTTCAATAATAAATTGAAAAATAAATACCTGTATTTTGCGTTCCATCGTCGAGATATTAGAACATGCATTACAAATTTATTGTAGCAAATGTTATACCAAACAACTGACGAAAACAAAATAACAGGAATTTTTTGTTTCTTTAAAACTGATAAGAACGTATAAATAAGGTTTAATCTGTATCGTGGGTGATCTGAATGAAGAACGGTCGATTTTCTTGAAGATAAATAAGAAAGTATTTTGCGAGTTTATGTTTTTAGTTATTTATTAATAAAACTTCGCGAGCGGCTTCTCGTTTGTATGCACACAGATTTCCGAATAGGCACATACCACATCACGAAACATTTAGTTGAATTGTTTTACGTGCACGTGCTAGAGCAGTTGTCGTGGGGTCGGGTTCGCCCACAACGTGTTTCAAATGCCGAAGACGAAATTTTGGATATTGTGGAAGAAAATCCGGGATTAAGCACAAGGCCAGCCCAAGAGGTCCCAGAAGTGTCACATGCAATAGCGTGGCGCATATGGCATGAGGCCCAACTGTACCCTTATCATGTCCAGAGAATATTTATTTATAAGTAAGAGAACTGTTAGACTGTATTATTTTATTATCTCGATTTCTGTAGGACTTTTATTAAATTTTTTTTCGAGAAATCAACTTCTTTCAAAATTTGTCGGATAAGTTGTGAAACACTCTGTATTAACACTGTTCTTTACTACTGAACTATTCGGACTTTTCTTTTCATTTAGATATGAAACCGAGAATGGCATAGCAGCAGAGGAAGAGGGTGCTATACATGCCGTTGGTACTGATACTCCAGTTGTAGTATCTGGAGTGTACTCTTATACATCTCCTGAAGGCTTGCCAGTGCAAGTGAGCTACATTGCTGATGAAAATGGCTTCCAACCTACAGGAAATGTCTTGCCTTCCAGTCCTAATGCCATTATAGGAGCAAGGTACTCATTGATAGTCAAATTAAGAGTTTAATCTTAAGCTAAAAGTATTGGCTCAAATTTTCAATTTTTTTTTTACAAAATCAAGTCAATATCCTCAGAAGCATATTAGTTGTGCATTAAAAAATATCACATATGGCGTTACATGTCTGTCACCAAACAATGTAAGAAATTTTGAAGAGGTCGCCATACACAATGCTACTTACTGACCATATTTTATAACAAATACGTGATAACTATAAATTCTAAATCTAGGGAAGGAATCCTGGGAAAAGGGCTTTTGGGACGGGAACCTCTGCTTAGACGAGATCCACTACTAAGAACTAGCCCACTTTTAAGACCTCTTGGGATACCAGGCAAGCCCATAGAATGAAATAATGTTGACGCACAAGTCAGTGTTGTAGATACTTTGCAGAACTGTAGATAGTGTTCGTTATCATTCAATAAATGCAATGACTAAGTTTCTTTTTTCCTTCCCATCATATGTTCCTATTGTGTGTCAAGAAAACAGAAAATTTAAATACCATTTTAAGAATTCATCGTTTAGAGCACTAAAGCAGATACAGCTAATCTATGTTCGAATACATGACAGTCCGTTAAAAATGGAGAACGAGGTTTGGAAAGTGTAGGTAATATTGAACAACTTGGGATATAGAAAATACATCAAATTGCTTGGAATGTAACAGATTTCTTGGTTATGTGCAAATAAAGATTCTTATGTAGTTGCATATATTTTTTATTAACAACTAGTGTAAGGGTAACAGTTTAGGTAACGTCAGATTCATATATTTCTACTATGAAAGTATCTCAGGTGAAGCCATTGCAGACCCAGATGTTGTACCACATTAGCTTTCACTATGCTTGGAACAATAACGATATCATGTCACATCTACATAGACTGTATTACTATGTAAGAAAGATTGCGAAAGTTTTGGTAGAAATTTTTTTGCAACAATATCAAAGCTAACATTTCATGTTCTAAAAGCGTAGTTTCTTTAAGTCATTGAAATAAGAGTAATAAACTTACAAATTGTCAACTATGAAGATGAACACAGAATATCAAAATTTCAAGACACCTTGGTCAAATTCTGTTTAAAAGATGACCAAGTCCACGAAACAGCAACCTGTATCCGCAATAGCGTACAAGGACACAAAAACAGCTGATTTTCACAAAATAGCTGATTGAAGCTGTCATAATAGGCAAATGTCCCACGATTAGAATTTACTGAGATCCGTCAGTGTTTACCATGGGATGTGATATTTATTGACCGTGTAGCCAGGACATCATTAATTAAAGATGGATAAGTTCACGTAGTATCCCTTGACATTGATGGAATCATCAGTAAATACTGATGTTATGGGCTACAGTAAATTTTGATCCTGTGACATTTGCCTTAAACTACGAAGCTTTTAAGAGAATATGGCACTTCGAATTGCTTGCATCGCTTTTTCTTAGCCAGGGAGTCCATGCTACATACAAACGAGTAAACTGGAGCAATTTTAAAGTTTTGCTTCGCAGTAATATGGTTTCAATAGCAATGCCTTATTTCAATAAGTAAATCATGAAAAATAGTAAGTCTAAACTTCGGTAGTGAGCCATTACTCATATTTCAACTGACTTATGTACCAATCTAATCTCCTTAGAAGAACTGCCTTTGAGGTGGAGCTTGATTTCTAGCGTTGAATTCCAAGGATTTCTGGATGGCCTCTGGGATTGGTGGTGGAATTGGCAGATGAGCACCTTGAGGTTGGAATCCATTCTCGTCAGCAATGTAGGTCACTTGGATTGGAGTTCCATCTGGAGCCGTGTAGGAGAAAGCGCCTTGTGCAACTACTGCTAACTCTGGTCCTACTTGACGTGGTCGACCCTGTTCTTGGGCTGCAATTCCGTTTTCTGTCTCATATCTGTCAAAAAATGTTCAAAATGATCAGAATCATCTTCACATCCATATGAGTATAGTTCTCATAAATAGGGTATCAGGTTCCACATATAAGCCAAATTATATCGACTTTGGCTTCCACAGTAATTGGGATAGTATCTAAGTGACCATCAGTGACAAATATATACAATGCCAGTTGACCTATGAGGCTGAAAAATATTGGACGCTTTTAGAATCAAACGTGTAAGATGGGGCGAGGAGCTGTAGAATGAAATAATTCTAGAAGTATGAAAATTCAGTGTTGATGTCGCAGCATGATATTGCTAATTTTGGAAAATCTATTAAGCCTCACTGCTCCAACATTACAACAGCTCTCAGTTTTCTCCTTAAGATGCTAATATAGCAAGACATGCCGGGCAATAAAAACCAGCTTGGCGGGTGGTAAAACTCTGTATAGTCATAGCCGCTACATCAAGGATCCTACATTACATACAAACCCCATTATGAACATTCTTTTTAAGCAAAAGTAAAAAAGTATAACAACTTACGCCCATTGGTAGGACCCTTCAGGACTAATGTCGGCATCCTGTCTCAAAATACGTGCCTCAGCTTCTGATCTCAGAGAGGCTCCATTGGCACAGGCCACAAAAAGAGCGATAATAATCTGTAAAAAAATAAATACTCAGTAGAGTTATTTTTTTGACGAAGTTGATGCAGGTGAATGTAGTGCGCTGCCGGAATCCCCTGCAGATCTCAGCAACCAGTCAAACAGTTTGAAGTAGCGAGGTATACATTGTTATTATCGTTATCTTGACTTCCTGCCATTCATTAAATACATGAGATATTCTTCGCAAATAACGACAAGTGATATTACGCGGTGAGAAAGAAATCGACAATTAAAGGTCAAGTAGTTAGAATAATTTCCTAAAACTAGGTAGTGTTGTTTTTAAAGCAATATTGCTATCAAAAATTCCTATTCTTCAGTTAAATTGAAAGACATCATAGATCTAATGGAAAGCATGAAGCTCTAATCATATAACTTCATAAAGTATCAAAAAATTCTAAATTTTATAGTTGTGATAAGGGTATCCTTTTCCGTTTACTTGAAGCGTATGCATGCATATATCAAGATTTCCAAGTTTTGTATGAAGTTCTGTTTGTTCTGTTTTATTGTATAGTAGGTAGTTATCATCTAGTGATGAAGTGCTAGGAGTGCTGAAATATCAAAATAAAAAAAAGAGTTATAGACAGATATATCCTATTTTCTCAATCAACATATTTTTTTATAAAAAAAAGTTATGCGACGTCGGTTTTGAATATGCCCAATCCTTATTCAACTCTCTTGCTCTCCACGTGCTGACTTCTGTTTAAACACTTACTTTTTCTAATATAATTATTGTAACTCACCGACTTGAAAAATAAGTTGGTTCCACCATCCCGTAAATTGATACGGCGGAAAGCACCCGCGACAAACCTAATTTATAACTCAATGAAAACAGAAGTTATTTTCAAAACCTGTAAGTTGTTACCTAGGTAATTAGCTTCTAGGCTCTACGCGGGAGATTATTGGAATTATTTTATTATCAAAAGAAAATTGTCGGTAACAAATTCGTAATACTTTTATAAATTTCCATTATATTAAAAATTTGTCGGTCTTGGGGTGACACTTAACCTGTGACTTGAACTGCCATCCCTATCTACACTATTTTAGTGATTTTGTGTGTTCATCTTAGTTTTAGTCACTTCAACTTTTATGATGACATAATACTTACTATTTTCATGGTTAAAATGGAGCTTGCAGAACCAGACACTGATCAACCAAAAACTGACATACCTAAATAAAAAATCTGGTATTTATACGAAAGTCATTCCCTTGCGAAAACCAAGAATATAGTTTTTTTTACTAATCAGGTAATCAATGACCGAGATGTTCCAATATTCTTTGTAAGGTCAGAAATTATGTAATAACCGAACCCCACGCACACAAGCCTGCAGATGATCTACACCGGTTCAACCAAATTGGTGCTTTGAATTTCGTACTGATAGACCGAGATCCAAAGTATCAAAAATGGAATATTTTGCAAAATAAATTCTAGAGTGACGTAAGGAGTATGATTATCTCTTGTTTTTAGGATATAATCTCAGATACTGGCACAAGGCTAGACTTAATATCAAATGGTCTTTTCTAAAGTAAGAAAATCAACCTTATTAGAAAATTTCCTCCGATCAGCAACAAGGAACTAGTTACGTGACGCGTTTTTGACGACTTTCTGACCCTCCTACCGACCCCCCTGGTGAGATTTTCTATTTATTGTGTAAATATTTGAAAAAACAAAAATTACTTTATTACTCATATTTCAAATTAGCTGAAAAACTTAAACAAATAATATTTAGTCTAATTAATTCCATGGAAACTCATTACTCATTACACTACATTTGTACACTGTTTTGCGCATTAAAAAAATTATGATAAATTGGCCCACATCCCCTGCTTTCAATACATGAGACTGGTGAGTTGCGATTCCACCCCTTATCATCCCTGAACACCTCACGTTATTATTGCACGCCCTCTTAAATGGTTCTGTTTTCAAGGTATCATATTTAAAACGAGGATACACTGCAACATCCTTCAAACAGGGATCTATTTCAGCAGTGGTAATATTAGATATAGCAAAAAGTAGATACAACGCGAAAAGTTTATATAAACATGATCTAAACTGTTCCCTTACCAAAATACAGAGTTTTAAAGTTTGCAGTTTCAACAACTTTTTATTGGATAAAGGTATTAGCTTAAATTTTTTGTACACGCAGTACTGACATCATTAGCGATACATAAGAAATATTTTAGGGCCTCACGTATAACATTGGTGTAAAAATATAGACTTTTTACTACCATAGAAGAAAAAATGAGGAAAATGAAAATATTTTCTACTCTGCTTACTTTTCTAAAATACCTATTGCATTTTTTTAGATAAGACATTTAATTCTTCATAAACTATCTCTTGAGAAACATAAAAAACTTCCGTTCTACTTTGAAAACATACTGAAGTTAGTGAATCTTGACCTTAAAAAGCGTATGTAGTATCTAGTTAGAGGAATAATAGCAATTTTCCACAGCGTTGAAGAATACTCGTGGTTTGTCCTTATTTAGTCTTATCAGCCTCGGGGAAATTTTAAGCACCCTGTATGTTGTAGTTACATATTAGGTCTTAAGTTTTTATGTTATTTTGGATGCACTTTCTCCTCTACACGGAAAATTACTGACTTCCGGTTGATGTGTCTATAGCACAATTTTGTACATTTCCTTTCCTGAGACTTTGGACATTGATGTTTGACGCTCTATACCCAGAAAAAGGCATGTGAAATGAAAAGCTATATTTATTTATATGTTGAGTTAGCCCACAATAAGAATTAATCTTACAGTTGGTTTGGCTCAACGATATGGAAAAAAAACAGGCCGAACCTGATTATCCTCAATTAATCCTTACATCTCAAACTATGGTATTTCTAGCGCGAACCTAATAAATCATCGGATGGACCTCAAATAATATCAGATCTGATCTTATTTATTTTCAAATGAACAGTTCCTCCCAGCACATAGTGTCAACTCTGATCCTAGATAGTTTTGTGTGAAGTATGAAGAATTTCAAACTGACGTATTATTTATTATGTTATGTAAGTATAGTCTAGAGCTGTATTTATAGGTGTAGAAATCCAAGAGGTGACTCTCCATTATTTTAATATCGTTTATCCTTTTTGATAGATTAAAAAGCACCATGTGTTATTTTTGCTAAAGGACCGTATCTGGGAAATTTTAGTACGGACTATATCTTCGAAACGAAACATCTTTCAGACAATCTAGACTAGATCAAAGAATCCCACATTGCCTGCGAGTCCCATGTTTTAAAGATAACTTGTACAAACGTTGTTGCGTTTGCAACCATTACCATATGGTAGATGTGATCCTAGACTATACGTTCACGAACTCGTATGCAAATCCTATCGATGAAATCTTTAATGGGTCCCTGGGGCGCGACGTTAGTCGTTTATTTATACACTTCATTATAATAATATAACTAAAGTTATTTAATATGGTGACATTTGAATGAGAATACCATTTGAATGGCATCTTTATAACGGTACTAAAAATTTGGGACATTTTCGAGTGTTTTTAACAATTAAAATGCCCTAAATGATGAACATTCAAGAGAATGCTGCATTTGCTTATAGCATTTTTATTGATTCTCGTATTTCACCAGAACCTAAATAAGTTTCCATTGAGATGTATTTTCAATATTTTGATATAATTGTCGACGACTAATGTTTTATTATAATGCTTTGTTAATGTTACAAAAAACTATGCAATGCGATTTTTTTTATGTGCCAATAACGGCGCATCTAACTCAAAAGGCCGACGTTTCAACGTTCATTTGAAATCTACCTTAGAGCAACCAACTGGCACCCTAAACAGGTCATTTGAGATGTAAAACGTTCCCTTAAGTAACAGAATTTTATATAAAACTGCAGATGCCATTTTTGAGCTAGTGGGATACGAAGAAGCTTTCGTTGTATAATTGCTATCAAATATCTCATCGAGCTGGGAAGTTGTTGAAGGCAACTTTTGACTCATTGCCAATGGATACCAAAGTGACAGCGTTGTACCAACATGACAATAATACTTACGGGTGAAAACATCTACCTTCATCAGGATTGTGCAGCTGTTTGCGAATTATTAAAAAATAACACTAAAAATTAAAATGTAATGACAGAACTGTCAAAAAATTGATTCATGTAACGTGCACTTTGATCCTTACTACAGACCACTAGAAAACATATCCTTGACTGGCTCTTTCTATCTAGCCTGATTTCGTTGCATTTAAGGGAGTTCTAAAAAAACATTCAAAATCTGGGTTTGGCTCACTTTTTGCCAAATTACCTATGTCCAGTAGTCGTTGAAAAAATGAAGCATTTTATTTCTACTGGAGAGGCTTTTCTATCTGTCTCAAATATATATATATATATATATATATATATATATACAGGGTGGCCCATCCATGGGTGGACGAAATATTACTCATAGACAAATACATTTTGGGAAAATCTATTTATGGCATGTTACACATGACATTTGAGGGCACATTTCTAAAATATTGTCAATTATACAGGGTGTCCCAATTTTGACCTACATATCAACGTTGTGATTTTTTAAATGGAACGCTTCAAATTTTATGGCATATTTGGATAGTCCAATTCAAAAGAAGAAGATTGATATCACATACTATGGGGTTTTGATAATTAGCTACCCCTCAATCCGCCATTCTGAAATTTGGAGTGCTGAATTTTGTATTAAAAAAAACTTACACACATTTTCGAATTTTCATTTTTGCTGATACAGAGTGGTCAAAAACGCGGATCGCACTTTTTCTCAAACATTTCAAATGCATGTATATTTGTGCAAGTTTGGATTCAATTTTTTATAAGCTTTTTTTGGTATAAGGTTTGATTCAGATAAAGTCACTAGATTTTGAGTTATTAAGCTTTTAATGGAACAACACACTAAAATTAATGAAACAAATCACATCATCCATGGAAACGAAAGACAAACAGTGGGCTAGACCCATAATGCCACTAAGGGTACAGATTTGACGTAAAAACTAATAACAATCAGAACAGTATAAATCAGCTTCAAGCGTAATAGTTAAAAAGAACTATAACAACAACATAAACAAATAACTATCAGTACTCAAGACCTAATCTACAAAAACTGCTCGAAAATATCTCCTCCATGTTGAATACACAGCCGTAGTCTTTGGATAAATGACCGATGCACATCCCTCAGCAGGTGTTCCCTTATGTTCAGAAAAGCATCCTTAATACTTTCCTTCATATTTTCCGGAGCAGATGGTGGATATCCATAAACCTCTTGCTTAACTTAGCCCCTCAGAAAGAAGTCCATCGGTGTCATATCTGGTGATTAGGAGGCCAAGATATAGGCCCATCACGACCGATACAACGACAAGTACATATGCATCCGAGTTTGCAGGTTGACATCCTCCGAAAGCAAAGGCAAATGCTCGATCAAAAAATTCAAGTATTCTGTACCTGTTAAACTGTTGTCGAAAAAGAAAGGCCCGATTACTTGTCTGCCAATAACTCCTCCCCAAACATTCAAGTTCCATTTATTTTGGAAATCTATTTGCCTAGCGCAGTAAGGGCTTTTCATCGCATACCTCCACCTGATTCACCTCATTGGTGGCACTTGGACTATTTATACATTTTTTACTATATTCCACTGCTCCACTTGATTCAAAACGTTCTCGTAGTGTGGAAAATGTTTCCGGCCTTGGACTTGCATTGCATATTAAGGTACCGTTGCTTATAAATGTAAGATCCTAGGAAACTATTTCTTTGGGCTTCGCCAAAAACGAACACCATATTCACCATTTCTTCTTTAGAAAAATTCATTTTCAAACACGATTTTATTATAATGCTCACAAAACTAATTTTGACAGTTTATAACTAATCAACAATATATTTATTACCAAGGATGATGAAATATTTTAGCGAACTAAGCCGTTCCATAAAAGACGTGCTAATAACCGAAAAAATAGCCGTAAAAACCCTTACGTGTCTAGTATCAAAAAAAAGCTTATCGAAAATTGAATCCAAACTTGCACAAATATACAGGGTGATGAATTTGAAATTTTTGAGAAAAACTACAATTTGCATTTTTGACCACCCTGTATGAGTAAAAATTAAAATTCGAAGAAGTAACAAATAAGATGATACAAAATTCAGCACTCTAAAATTCAAAATGGCGGACTGAGGGGCTGCCGAAGTGGGGGTTTTTTCAAGACAAAACATCTTATATCTCAGTACCTAATTACCAAAACCCCATAGAATGTTATATCAACTTTATTATTTTGAATTGGTTTATCCAAATATGTAATAAAATTTGAGACATTCCATTTGAAAAATCACAACTTTGATATGTAGGTCGAAATTGGGACACCCTGTATAATGGCCAATATTTTAGAAATATGCCCTCAAATGACATGTATAACATCCCATAAATAGATTTTCCCAAAATGTATTTGTTTATGAGTAATATTCTGTCCACGCATGGATGGGCCACCCTATATATATATATATATATATATATATTTGTCCTTTTATAAGTACATAATATCATAAGGGCATCTAATTTTTCCGATAAAAATCGTAAAAACACGTTGCTAAGTGGTATTTTAACAAGAAGCATGCTGGTGGCAACAAAAATCTGAGTCGAATACGAGGATTTTTGCACCTGAACAGCTGTTTTTTGTTAATAAAATATTACTTTGCATTAGATGTCCGAATGGTATTTGACAAAACTGTTTCATGAGTAACAGATTATCTGGTGTTCTAGGAGACCGTAATTACTTGTTATCAAAGTTATTGTTATTTTTGGTGACAAGAGCTGTCAAGTTTTGCCACGTGTAAACTTGAAAAAAACTGCTGACATTTGCTGTCATATAATTTTTCCAACTAGAAACCATTTGTAATTCAAAATTGCGCGTTTGTGATTGGTAATGTTTAGTTTTCAGGATCCAGATTCTGAAACTTTTTTGGAAATTCGTTTTTTTGCCAATATCGTAGCGAAGTCTGAGTTTTTTGTTGTAAATTTGAAAATATTTAGCAGGAATAGACAAATCCATGCACATTTAGCGAAAATGATTCAAGAAATGCTTTGAAATTTGCTTTATATTTTTCTATTTGGAGAGTTCGGGTTTTCCTAGGCACATGCCCATTGTACTCATAGAGTAAAAATGGAATAGATCAAATCTCAGTGAAAATAAGGTGTGTTGGCTAAATGACCAAGAACTTAGTTTACTTTAACCACTTTATTAGGTATCTGGATTATTATAATCAAAAAACTGGTGGTACTGGAACCGTCGGATAAACCGGAAGAGCCTTCTCGTGCGCAGCATTGAACTCCAAGGATCTTTGAATCGCCAGTGGTATAGGTGGAGGAGTGGGAAGCACATCCCCAGCAGCTCTGAACCCATTTTCATCTGCTACGTAGGCGATGGATACTGGTACACCCTCTGGAGAGGTGTATGAGTAGGAACCCGTCGCTGAAGTACCGAGCTCACCGACTGGTGGTGACGGGCGTTGGACTCCGGATTCTTGGGCTGATATGCCGTTGCCTGTTTGGTAACTATAAAGACAACAAAAAACGGTCAATGATGTGGTTTTGGATTGCTTAATATCTACACAAGGCGGCTGCATTGGGAAAAATGGCGTCAAGTAGGTTGACCTCGCACTTCCTACGCAACGCTGTCATCAATTCATAAGGAATTATATCAGTCTCTTTTACAAGAAAGTTGAGTATGAACATATATTACAGGAGAGTTAAATGAATTATGTCAGGTAAACATGTACATACAATTAGTTCACCTAGTAACCCTACAGACAGTACCGACTATCCAGCAACGTGGCAGCCCAGCACGGCATTGCATTACACGCATCATCAATAAGATAACCCTTAGTTATTCAAACCGAACAGACGTAAATATATATACATATATATATATATTGATCGACCAGCCAAAGATTGCTAGGGACGAAAGGGGGAAATGCGATGAAAAAACCTTACCATTAGACGATTTTATATGGAGTCATAGGCGGAGATCGGAGAGACTTGAATTATTAATTGAATTTATATTTTATTACAACTGGTAGTATTAATATTTTTTTGCGATTCATAATGACGTGATACCAAACATACATTATAAGAAATAAATATACACAAACACTGAATATTGAGAACAAAATAAATATATTTTTTAGGCAACAAGTAATATTCCTATGTACGCATTATGATTGAACAGCAAAACAAATTATGCATTCTTCTAAAATAGAATACAACAAGTCAAAAATATCTGACTGAATAGAAAAATATAGGAAAACAAAAAGTAATTTCTTGATGAAATAACCCATAAACAACACATAGAATTAGACTTTCTACTGAGATACTAAAAGCCACAAACCAATAGTATAATAAATGAATATCTAAAAATTCTAAAAGGTAGCCAATCTAGTATAGTTTCAATCCTGATTAGAGTCATGATCACTGTCTGAGGAACTGTCATTGCTATCACTTTCACCTCCTATGTTGATTATTATTTCTTCCTGTATTTCTTGAATGAGACTGTCTTTTTCCCAATATTCATCTTCAATTTTTATAACATGTCCAATAACCTTTTGCCAGTCACTGGCACTTACTGAAGCGATGGCCTTATTAGAAATTTCATCTAGTTTTTTTATAGTAAATTCGCCGCTTGTATTATGGCTTCTAATGAAAAATTTTACTTGTGCCCAAATCATCTCTATGGGATTAAACTGACACATATAGGGTGGCGTTCGAAGTGGGGTGTGTCCGAAACTTCTTATTAAATTATCTATCTTATAATTTTTCTCATCAGATGGTGGCCTATGTAGACAAGCTATTTCATAAAGCTCCATTTTTTTAGCATTAGGATCATGCTCTATACCTTTTTTGCTCAACCACGTGATGATGTCTCTTTTTAGAGAAGATCTAGTTGGAGGCTTGTCTTCCAAAGCTGAATGGTAAGGTGCATTATCCATTATTATAATACTATTAGGAGGAATGTTAGGAAATAGTTTTTCAGTAAGCCACTTCGTGAAATTTTCTTGGTTCATTTGACCGTGATAATCACCAGTGGCACAGCCAGCCTTGAAAATGAGACAGGCTCCAGGAACAAAACCATCTTGCGAACCCGCATGAACAATTATAAGTCGTCCTGGAAATGAATAAATAGCCTCATTTTAGTGTTATTTTAAGTTTGCCAACACCTTTTTGAATCACTATGTATAAAAAACATATTTTTGAGAAAAAAATACTTGCAAGGGATTATGTATTCAATTAGACAAATTAAATGAGCACTTATTAAGAATATTCCAAAATTGAGAAAAATGTATAATAAGCAAAATCGAGGTGAAAGAAACTTTATTACCTGTAGAACTTATATTGCTCAGGACACCCATAATTTCTTCGCTTTGCCAGCATTTCTTGAAAGTGAGGTCATTATCAACCCAAGTTTCGTCCAAATAAATAATATGCCTTCCTTCTTCCCGGAACTTTTTAATAGACCTAAGATACTTGTATCGCCAATGTAAAATACTGGGTCTTTCCATTAGTAATTTCCTTTTGTTGTGGCATTTACGCCAGTAAAATCCTTTTGCTTTTAAAAGCAGCCTCAACGATTCTTTACCAAATGGAAATTCCATTTCTTCCTTCAGTTTGATTAGAAGTTTACTACAAGTAGGTACCACTTTAAAATCACAGTAAAATTTTTCTATCATTCTCCGAATAATGGAAAAATCGACTCCATCAATTTTTTGGATCACAGAAGGGCGTGATCTCTTTTTTCCGGGAGAAGCTAAAGGCTGTGTGGAGGTTGCATTTTGCCTGTCTTTATCTTCTTTTCTAATTTTACTTATAGTTCGTTCACTAACACCCGTATAATATGCCGCCCTTGCATTTCTAGCTACCAGTGGATAAACGAAAGTATTGTTAGCCGCTTCTGCATCGCAAGCACGTATCACGTTTGCTATTATTTCCCTTGCCTGGCTGTGAATAACTTTCCCATGCTTGAATTCCATTATCACCACTAAACAGTAAATTATATTTTCAAAGTATTTGCCAACTGCCTACGCCTATGGGAGTAGGTTTATAAATGACCGTGCCATCGGCACGTTATTCTAGTTTCAGATAACATAAGAGTTTTGGACCAATCAGCGACCGGATGTTTACCTGCGGCCTGGGTTTTCCAGCTACATTGCCAAATTCAGCGGAACAATTCTATATCTTAAATATGTTAATATGTATGGACCGCATTTTATGTAGAACATCTGACAACTTCGCAATTTTTTGTCCGCATTCTTTCGGCTTGCAATCTTTCGCTGGTCCAACTATATATACTCGTATAACATTCAGTAAAGGAAAAATCTATGACGAATGGAATATATCTAATAGCGGCGTAGAATTACCGAGGTTGGAAACGTATAATTGCTAGTACTAAAATATTGACATACACCTATCGTAGCAAACTGAAATGTTCAGGGCTTATTCTACATGGATTGAAAGAGTGTTTCCAATAAAATGAATAATGAAATACAACCTCAATTTTTTTACCGCCCTCCAAAGTTGAAGGATGAAAGAGATTTTTCACGAAAAAATGAATTTAAGATTTCTTGCGTTGATTTCTAACTAACTGTTAAAATGTGACATAAACATTGCTTAAACTAACCATATAGCTCATCCCAAAAAGTACAAATCACAGTCCTAAAACTAATGGTTTAGTTGTAATTGCGATTGAAAGTTCATCATCCCGTTTTTATCGAAATTTCACAAAATTGCAATGCCTGAACTATAAAATTTCGGACCACATTTGAGACCCGCTATCACCTGACTTGCGTTGATTCACTACCAACTTTGCACCCTGTATACAGGGTGGCCCATTCATGTGTGGACGGAATATTACTCATAAACAAATACAGTTAGGGAAAATTTATTTATGGGATGTTATAAATGACATTTGAGGGCACATTTCTAAAATAATGGCCATTATACAGGGTGTCCCAATTTCCACCTACCTATCAAAGCTGTGATTTTTCAAATAGAATGCCTCAAATTTTATTGCATATTGGGATAAACCATTACAAAAGATGAAAAATGATATAGCATACTATGGGGTTTTGATAATTAGCTACTGAGATATAAGGTGTTTTGTCTAGAAAAAAAACCCACTTCGGCAACCCCTCAATCCGCCATTTTGAAATTTGGAGTGCCGAAGTTTGTATCAAAGAAAACTTACACACCTGTGCTTTTATCTTATTTGTTACTTTTTCGAATTTTAATTTTTGCTCATACAGGTTGGTCAAAACGCAAATTGTAGTTTTTCACAAAAATTTCAAATACCTATATACATATTTGTGCAAGTTTGGATTCACTGTTTTATAATCTTTTCTTTTTTGATACTAGACACATAATGGTTTTTACGGCTATTTTTTCGGTTATTAGCATGTCTTCTATGGAATGACTCAATTCTCTAAAATATCCCATCATCCTTTGTGAGCATTATAATAAAAACGTCTTTGAAAATGAATTTTTCTAAACAAGAAATGGTGAATATGGTGTTCGTTTTGGGCGAAGCCCCCAAATAAATAGTTTCCTAGCATCTCGCATTTATACGCAACAGTACCCTAATATGCGACATCCAAGGTCGGAAACATTTTTCGCACTACGAGAACGTTTTGAATCAGGTGGAGCAGTGGAATATATATAATATAATATAATGTATAAATAATCCAAATATCACCAATGAGGCGAATTAGTTGGAGGGTCTATTAAAGTTGCAGGAAAATCCCCATATAAGTGCATGGCAAATTGGAGCAGAAACTGATATATGCAGAACTTCTGTCAAATCTGTACTCTTAGTGGCAATCTGGAACTAGCCCACTGTTTGTCTTTTGTTTCCACGGATGATGTGATTTTTTCCTTAGTTTTGGTGTTTTGTTCTATTAAAAGCTTAATAACTCAAAATCTGGTGATTTTATCTGAATAAAACTTTATACCAAAAAAAGCTCATACAAAATTGTATAAAAACTTGTACAAATATATAGGCTGATGCATTTGAAATCTTTGAGAAAAAGGATAATTCCTGTTTTTGACCACCCTGTACGAGCAAACATGAGAATTCGAAAAAGTAACAAATAAGATAAAAGTGTAAGTTTTTTTGATATAAAATTCGGCTCTCCATATTTCAAAATGGCAGATTGAGGGGTTGCCGAAGTGGACGGTTTTTATGGACAAAACTCCTTACATCTCAGTAGCTAATTACCAAAACCCCATAGTATGTTATATCAATTTTCATCTTTTGAATTGATTTATCCAAATATGCAATAAAATTTAAAGCATTCTATTTGAAAAATCACAACGTTGATATGTAGGTCGAAATTGGGATACCCTGTATAATGACCAATATTTTAGAAATGTGCCCTTAGATATCATGTATAACATGCCATAAATAGATTTACCCAAAATGTATTTGTTTATGAGTAATATTCCGTCCACACATGGATGAGCCACCCTGTATATAATTAAACATATATATGTTGCTATCAATACTTTATACCTCAAGCTGTATGCGTACGAGTATTTTGGTAAAGCTTTCTGCAACTTTTCTAATTTTTTGTACAGGGTATTCCAGAACTACGAGGCCATTTTTCTAGAGTGAAAATAACAAAGAAATGTTTAATTACCAAAATACAAAGGTTTTTACGCCTCTGATGAGCTTGAATAAGGACAAAACATGAATAGCGGTCTCATAATGCTATGGAGTGATAGAATTAATTACCTAATATGCCACAAGCAATTTTCAATGTCAAACTCCGTCAACAACAGTGTATTTTCAAAATAGAAGGTTGAAGTTGTTTATATGGATCTTACAAATATTTAGACCGATTTTTTTTCTAAACAAAAATGTACCGATAGAAGCAATTTATTAAAAAATGTGATAGATGTTCCAAAAAAGGCAGTGGCGTAGAAAGTGATTTTCTTCTTTCGTCTGTAGGGGTCAAATATTTCCCCATTTATATACCATGTAGTCTTAGGGACGAAAACTTTTGTATGTACTGGCTACTGCTATTACTAGGTGTACATAATTTACGTTTATAAGAACTTTTCTACCAGCGTGCAAAGTTACTTTTCGTCGCGGCGTTATAGGGGTTATATTGAAAAGTCGACAAGGGACAACAGAACTTTGAACGAAAATGATACGACAACATCTAATGCATCAGCATACACTCCCCAATCTAAAATATCTTGGGTTTAAACAGAGCTACAACAGAAAAGGGACGCTGATAATGCGGACGCTAGCAACATTGAGTGCACTACCACCTTACTCAGTACTTGATTGTCCGCCATAAGTTCTCAAAATGCCTGCAATTGCTTTTTCGTAATTTTAATTAATAATGATTTTGGGCTTAAAAAAATATTTTAGCAGAAAAAGTAACGAGAAGTATAATTTTATACTTGGTTACTATTTTTGCGGAAATGGTGCCCTCTGAACCACTGTGCGCTGGTAGAAGAAATGTTGGTCCTAACTTTTGCGGAAATGTATCACTTTCCTCACTTGTTAAGACAATAACTATTTCGTGTTATTCTTTGATCTAGTAGAACTATTGCCGAACAGCCTGTATACGTGAACAATTCACGCATTCTACCTGGTAGAACACGTTAGTCAATGGTACTAGTTAAAGAAAATTATCATTTTTTTAAAGAAACCTTTAAAATCTTTGTTTCTCCTTTAAACAAATAGATCATCGTGAATTGTTTTTTATTAAAAATATTTTTTTCAAAAAAAAAAAAGAAATTGGACCACCTTAGCGCCTTGAGTGAACTTGGCAAATATTCACTACTCTTCAAAAATCGTTTATCGACATAAAAAGATGTAGGAATGCTTAAAAATGAGCTCACCTGTAATCATAGCTCCCATCCTCCCTCACGTCAGAATCGTATTTCACAATAGGTGCGGTAAACTCAGCTGTTCTATAGTACTCATGATTTTTGTAGTACTCAGGCAAATTTTTCTGATAATCAGCGGTATTGTAATGATCAGGCAAGTTTTTGTAATAGTTGGTAGGTCTTAAATGAGCAGGCAAATTGTGGTACTGATTCAAATAGCCAGTGTTTTGATAGTGCGGGAAATTTTTGTAATAATTGGCAGTCTGGTAGTGTTGGGGAAGATTTTTGTAGTAATCTGGATGTATCGAATGAGGAGGTAGATTTTTATAGTAGTCAGTGCTGAAGTGCTGAGACAGGAAAGGAGTACTTCCATACGGGTGTACAAAAGGAGCTGGAGTAACCGCCTGTTGAGCAAAAGTTGCTCCAAGTATCGCAAGCGAAATCAGAATGTTGGCCTGAAATTAAGGATTACTAGTTAATACCGACTTATCTTTGAATAAAGGGCGTCCTAAAATTTACGCAAAATTTTAATTATACATTATACAGGGAAAACCAAATTTGTCTGACGGCTTGAGTTCAATGTGTACGAGAGAGAAGCGCGAAAAGTGTGTATCAACACGAATTAGAAAGAAATAGAAGCAGGCTGAAGAGCGAAGATCATCATCATATTGCCTAGCAACGGCGACGCAAAAGGCCGTGAATTCTGCTGCGTTGCCAATGTTACACCAGAAAATGCTCGCATGAGCTGCTACAATAGGTTAGGTTACTACCAAGAAGGTCTGTTCGAACATTTAATTTGATATTTTATTTTCATCTTCATTAGAATTATTTATTTAAATTTTGATGCGACTTAATGTTTTAATTTATTTTAGAATTATCTTTGATTTCCACTGATGGTGATAGAACCAATATGTCCTGAGTTATTGTTATACTGCGGCGGAAAATGTAACAAATAAGGTTACCCAATACAATGTGCGGAAATTATCACTGTCTGCGTGTACGCAGGTGGTAGCCATTTCGCAGTAGGACGACACTCCCTTACGAGCGCTAGATGGATACTGACTAAAATCGCTCAAATATGATCATGGATGTGGAAACCTTGCATTGGAATGAACAAGATGCGTTGTTATCCTGACCTTTCGTTTCGACCTACAATGGAGGGCCGTTAGGGCCGATCTGGAATCAATCCTAAACAGATTCGACACAATTCACAATTCAAAAATGTGTACGCTCAAAATAAAACCATTATTTGGGCGTAAAGAATAAACTAGCGCATATTTTCAATACGCATTTTAATTCAACGAACTGGTGTCACACATTGGCAACGCGGCACACTGCCGCGTCAGCGTTGCTAGGCAACGTAGTAATGAGCTTCGCCATACAGGCGGCTTCTATCTCTTTCTACCATATGTGTCTATACACACTTCTCTCTCGTACACATTGAACTCAAGCTGTTTGCCAAATTTGGTTTTCAGTTTATATTCTGTTATTCTTTTCGAATAATACAGTACATCAGATAGGGTTACGTATGGAGTATCACATTAGGCAAATAGTCTCATCGGTCTGTTGGTAAACATGCGTGTTTTTGTTGAAGTTCTATATGACCATTTTGCAACAGTGTGGCTGAATCTTGTTTTCTTCAAGGCAGGAGTGTCTGTTGACCTGTTAAGATAGACCTTTGACTTTAAGTAAACCCATACAAAAAAATCAAACAATATCAAGCCCCATGGTCTAGAGGGCCAATTTTGGTCATTGTAACGAAAGAAGACCAAGAAATGTCTCATGCAGTCAATGATGCATCAACGAAATTTATCCACAATTACGCAAAATGGTCCTCGAAAAATGTGATAAAAGAGTAAATCTGTGCCAGTAAAGCCGAAAAGGTCATTTGCCTGATATGCTATTCCATAAACCTAGGTGTGCTCTATGATTCAATAAAGAAACAACACAAAAAATACTGTATTCCATTCAATCCAAATATTGCATAAATTTTGAAACACCCTTAGCAATGGCATAGGTACTCTTTCAGCATGGGCAAGTAAAGCCATTTGGAAAAAATGAATAGCTAGTGTAACTTCGAGGAACTGCATGGGCAAGGATAATTACGCATTTTATCTAGGTTTCTCTCTACAAGCACACATATTCTACCTGGAGATCCATAAGTTAGTACTCGTAAATTTGGCTTAGTAGAATAAACTTTCCTCGACTATACCCTCAGTTCATTAAACAGTTGAGAAACGAGCAAAAAACATAAATGATGAAAGCTCTTGAGACATCTATAAATTGTTTTTTGAATATGAAAAAGACCAAAAATGTTTGTCAATTTGCGCTGATTTTAAAAAGCAGTGGACCCCCGATAATCCGGCCCCTGTCTAATCCGGCGCCCCCTGTAATCCGACATGTCTTTGAATATGTATTACATACATACGTATTTGACAATCTTCGCTAATGTAGATCACGCAGGTTTGAATACGTTACAACGCACTTGTACGCGCCACCGCTATCGTGCTCGACGCGTAAGCATTGTTTTACTTAGTTTGAATTTGACTACTGGTGATAGCGGTACGGTCTAGCGTGCGTTCATTGTTTACTATTTATTCATTGTGTATTAAGGATAGTACCTAGTAATGTCATCACAAACTCAGAAGCGAAAGCACAAAACATGACAATTAAAGAAAAATGTGATATTTTAGACCGCTTAAATCGCAATGAAACTTTCAGTAGTTTAGCAAGTGAATACGGCGTAGGCCGATCTACAATTTATGACATTAAAAGAAACCAGGAGATCAAGAAGTTCGTGTCAACTACTGACTGCGGGCCAGGCAAGGGACAGACACTCAAGAAAGCTGAACATCCAGAAGTGGAAGAAGCTTTGTACAAATGTGGTTTCTTCAGGAAAGAAATAGGCATGCACCAATTTCAGGACCCATGTTGGCCATGAAAGCTAAGTTTTTTTATAAGGAAATAACAAAAAAGGATGAGTTTGTGGCCAGCAAAGGATGGCTAGAACGTTTTAAAAGTCGTCATGGCATACGTTTAATGACTATTACAGGAGAGAAACTTTCTAACGATGCCACCTGCATAGAGCCCTTTAAATTAAGATTTTTGCAAAAGGTGAACGATTTAAATTTTGACGTCACAGGTGTACAATGCAGACGAATCAGGGCTTTTTTGGCGGGTGATGCCTAACAAAACTTTCGTTTCTTGTAACGAAAAATCCGTACCTGGACTAAAAGTAAATAAAGAGCGTGTAACCATACTACCATGTGCTAACGCTGCGGGCACACACGCGCTTAAGATGATGGTCATTGGGAAATCCAATAAACCACGGGCATTCAAAAACATTGATTTACCTGTACACTATTACGGACAAAAAAGTGCATGTTTGACAAAAGACCTTTTCAGAAAGTGGTTTGATGAATGCTTCATACCTGAAGTTAGAAAATGGTTAAAAGATCATAATTTTCCTCAAAAAGCGTTGTTGCTTCTTGATAACGCTCCCGGTCATCCGTCTGAAGAAGAACTAACAACTGAGGATAAATGCATCACTGCGATGTTTCTTCTGCCAAATTGCACTGCACTGATTCAACAAATGGACCAGAATATCATTCAGATTGTCAAGCAAGACTATAAGAAAAACCTACTTCTGAGAGCCGTATGAAAAGACCAACCAATAGAAAAAACTTTAAAAGAATTTAATATGAAAGACTTGGTTTTTGCTCTTTGTCAGTCGTGGAATGCGTTACCGTCATCAACTATCAAATCGTCTTGGAAAAAGTTATGGCCAGATATAGTCAGCACTGCTAGCAACGTTCCACAAATCAGTGTTACATCGGAAGTTATAGAACAAGTCGCTACTGAAACACAGATAAGTCCAGAAGATTTGGAAAGCTGGTGCCGTGGAATGGATAAAGAGGAAAATGTTTTTCATGAAATGTCTGACGAAGAGATTATAAAAGAGGTTTCTAATTATACAACAAACAATCAGGAAAATAAGGACGACGTGATTGCAACTGTTCCACAAGTCACAGCACAAGAAGCAATTAACGCCTTTGAGCTCAGTTTACAATGGGCTGAAGAGAATGGTACATCCTACACCGAACTTTTACTTTTGAGAAGACTGAGGGACAAAGCTCTGATCTCGCGTTATAACAACCTTAAAAAAAAAAAAATTGATGAATATTTCCAAGCTTCATAATTTGATAAATTCATTAACGATTTTGATCAATAATTCTTGATTATTTTGGTACATATGTATGTGCATTTATGCTTAATTTTATAATAAAACGTAAGCACTCTACTGTTATTTGATTTATTAAATTCGACATACATAAACTATGTATGATTTGTACTTCAAAATACATACATATACATAACATATATAATCTTGCCATTGGATATGTAATTTTTCGGATTACAAGGTACTCTTTTGTAAAAAATTCCGGACTATAGGGGGTCTTAGGCAGTGCTCTATAATTTGATAGTCCGACACTGATCTGCATAATGTTTGTCGGATTACCGGAGGTCCACTGTATAGTAATACTGCCTACTACGACTTCGCAACACTTGCTTGTTCAAACATCAAAATGGGTGTAGCTGATTCAGAGATTCAGACACACAGACTGGTGAAAATAAGTGATATGTATTTTTGTATGACGATATCATGTACCAACTGCCTACTAGGCCGTAAGTTCGAAAACGGTACTTAAATCCTATATGTACTTACAATCTTAATCATGATGACTTCAAGCTTCTCCACCACGAAGAACACACTGAGACTAAATACTTCCAAAACAACTTATATATCAGGAATTCAGGAGGAACAGATTTCTGTTCTCCTACACACAAAAGACTATAAACAATATAAAAATGTGGATAATTGCATATCTATATTAGGAGTAGCGATATTTTAAAAGACATCCCAGTGTGGGATGTTTCGTGATTTTTCAGCGGCTTATACTGCGGATCCATGCGGAATTTGCGAATTTTATAGATCACTGGAAACATTAACCTTGTCTCAAACGCGTTAGTCTTTTTAGATCCGCATTTTTGATCGAAATTTTATGTAGACATGTTTATCCTGATAAAGTAATTAAAAAGCTTTAGGTGCAGGACCGTCTCTTGTTTTGTTCCATAGCTCTTCAATATTCATTAAGAACAGTAAGGTATCGATCAAGAAAATACTTTTCGATTTCTATAGTACTAACAGCTTCATACATATATTTTTGGCCCGGGCAATAAATGAAACTTCAAGTCATAATTAAGTAAACTTTTCTTATACTTCAGTTACCTGTAGACTTTTATACAGGGTGTAAAGTTAGCAGTGAATCAACGGAAGTCAGGTGTTAGAGGGCCTCAAAACCTACCGAATGAACCCTTATACTCGTATGTGTGGTGCGGACTTTTATAGTTCAGGAGATATTTGCAACTTTGTGAAATTTCGAAAAAAAAAACGGGATAATGAACTTTCAATCACAATTACAACTAAATCATCAGGTTTAGGGCTGTGAATTTTTTCTAAGATGTGCTAAATGGTTAGTTTTAGCAATGGTTATGTCACTTTTTAACAGAGATTATTAGAAATTAATTCAAAAAATTTCAAATTCATTTTTATGTGAAAAATCTCTTCCATCCCTCAACTTTGAAGGGTGAAAAAAGAAATTGAGTTTGTATTTCATTATCCATTTTATTGTTAAAACTATCTCAATCCATATAGAATAAACCCTGAAAATTTCGACTTACTACGATGAGTGTATCATGTCACTTTGGTTGTTGTGATGCGATAAACGTTAGAAACGCAATAGAATCCTTACCACGTGACATTTGTATATTCAGATGCATAGATTATCCCTTTATAAAACCCCCATATAAAAAAATCTAGAGGATCTAATCGGGTGACCGTGAAGGCCATCGTATGTATCCACCTCTACCGATCCAACACCCAGGAAAGGCCCTGTCAAAGTAATGCCGTACATCCCGTGCAAAGTGGCATGGGGCACCATCGCATTGAAAATACACGCAGCTTCGAACTTCCAAAGGTACATCCTCTAGCAGCTCATGCAAACTGCTTTATAGAAAAGCAAGATATGACTGATCATTCAACCTGGCGGGCATTTCATATGGTCTAATTAATTTTTTTGTTGACTACTTCAACCCATAAATTACGGCCGAACTGACGTTGAACGCTGTGTCGGCGAATGGCGTGCGGATATTCCACGCTCCATGAATGGAAATTGTGCATGTTGAATATTCCATTTCGGTTAAAGTTGGATTAATCTGCCCATAAGTTTCATTGCTAAAACTAACCATTCAGCTCATCTAAAAGAAAAATCGCACACAAACATAATGGTATAGTTGTAATTGCGATTGAAAGTTCATTATCCCGTTTATTTCGAAATTTCACAAAATTTTCTTGGACTATAAAATTTTGGACCACACACATACGAGCCCCTTCCCACTTCAGTTGGCCCACTTCAAGATTTGTACCAGAATATGCCTTTATAAACTAAACATGATGAAACTATTTACTTCTAAAACAATTTATTTTCTCAAAAACATTTTAGATACACTCTAGTCGTAAAAAATACATATTTGAAATCACTTAGACCTATAACTAATAGAACATCTGAACAAATAAAAAATGTGCGAATAAATGCGCGAAGTTAACAAAGCAACAACTGAAAGATTACCATTGGGTAACATCACCTTTATTTTTTATTACGGCTGAAATTCTTTGGGGCATAGTGTTAACCAAGTTTTGGCAAAAATTTGGTGTAAAACAATCCCATATTTCTTGAAGCTTTTGTCACAGTTCGGTGATTGTACGAGCAGGATGTTGTCGTAGAACCTGTTTCATCTCGTGCCACAAAGTTTCAATAGGTGACAGATCTGGACTGCTAGAAACCCATTTCAAAAGTGGTACATTATTTTCTTCCATCCATTTTATAGCCTTTTTTGAGGTATGGCACGCTGCACCATGTTGCTGAAACACAAAATCTTGGGCGGATGTCAAACATTCTTCCATCACTGGTAAAAGCGATTCTTCTAAAATTGCCGAATATTTGTTTGTATCTACATTTCCATCAAATGAAGTTTTCCTACTCCTTTTGATGACATACTGCCCCAGACCATATTGGATGCTGGAAATTTCACTTTTCTCTTCAGACAGTCAACATGGAATGCCTCATTTTTTTTTGAGAATAACTCTACTGCGACTGTCACCAACACAAACTTCGAATCGGGCCTCATCACTCCATTGTATTGCACACCATTGTTGAGGTGTCCATTGTCTATGTTCTTTAGCCCATCTAAGCCGATTTTTCTTTTGCAGTGGAGTTAATAGTGGCTTTTCTTTGGCCTATAAGCAAGTTGTGCAACTTTAGAGTTTTTACTTCACTTTTTTTTATAAGAAAACTTACCTTACAAGTGCTAAATCCCAGTTTGTGGGCCTCTCTATGAGTTGTGGACCTCAAAATTCTCCTTCCAACAGCGTCACTCCACAGATCACTTAAATGTAAATAATTGGCACGCCTGTTTTTCACGATTATTCTTCTTAATGCTCTTCGGTTGGCATTTGTGATATTACTTCTTTTCACATATCCGGGCTTAATATTAATTGAACCAGTTACGTTATATCTTCTGACAATATTTCTCACACTGTGCCGCGATAAGTCTAACAAAGTTGCAATTTCTGAGTTTGATTTCCCATAATTAAAAAATTTAATTATCAGTAACCGAATTTTCACACAAATAACCTTTCCTCTACCCATTTTGAAAACCTTAATTACCCAAAACTATTTTAAACGTATTCTGACAGCTGTGATTAATAAAAATAATTGTCATGGCTTTTATTTTTCACAGCCACCTATGCGTTATAGACTTATTTTGCATTGAAAATGGTTGATATGCTGTAATTGCAACATGTGTTATTTTTATGCTGCAAATTTGATTAGGGAGTGATAAAGTTGCTGTTTTCTACTATATATTATCAAAATATTCATTGTTAATATTTTAAACCTATAACACCCTGCTACATTTTTATTATTTGTGTTTAATAAGAAAACAACTAAGATTTCTATAGTTGGGCAAACTGAAGTGGGAAGCGGCTCGTAGAGGTTCATTCGATATGTTTTGAGGCCCTCTATCCTGACTTCGGTTGATCCACTACTAACTTGACACCCTGTATATATCATGATTGCAAAAAGTAGCGACTCTTCAGACATTGTACGATATTCAATCATAAAAGCGCAATCGGTGACCCTTTGATCTACTTTCGAAAAATATACAGAACAAACAAAATCTACAAGTATTATAGTTTTAAGCAAAAATCATATCTCAAGCTATTTGATCTGCAAAAACTGGTCATAAAATGACTGGGTCCATCTAGTTAAAACACAACACAACAATCTCTTGGCCTTAGACTTTTTCAAGTACACCTGGGTCATTCTCATCGAATGACGTCCAGCACCTTCAGTATAGTTAAACATATTGAAAGATCAACAGAAATATGTGCCGATCGTTGGATAGGTCAAAGACGACCTGACTTATCATCTGCTAGACATGACTTCATCTGCCCAAGCAGTCTATTTTATAAGGGGTCATCCATAGCTATTAGTCTACACAATTCAGTGGAAATTTGAATAATTCAGATAAGAAGCTTGAGAATAAAATCTGTTATTTTCGAAAACGTGATTCGTCATGGATCTCCGAAATGAAGCGGGTTTTCAAAAGCTGTTAAGCCAGCTTCTTTTAACGAAGCCATACCTAAGTCCTGGTCTTCGAAATTGTCCGAACAATGCATCATTTACTTGGAAATTAGACAAACATTGATGTTCCTTCATCATACATATCGAATGTTTCTCCATAAAACGCAATATGTTCTGTAACAACGATAAATTAATAATCCAATAAACTAGTAATATAGATTTCGTTCGTCCATGGACAGCAGTTGCGGCCAACCATAGACATCAGTTGCGTGCTATTTGGCAACTCCCCAGCATGGTCTAGGCTTGGTCTTGGATATCGTTTTCACTCTCGTAGTGGTCAAATCTGGTAATAGATGGCACTTTGTGACGTCTTATTTTGATAGACCTTATGCTCTGAAAGGGGATAGTTGTCCTACCGAGACCAAGCCTATGTCATGCTGATGAGTTGCCAAATAGCACGAAACAGGTGTCCGTGGTTGGTCGTCTGAGGTCTGTCCTATTCCTAGTTTGTTCAATGGCGAGTAGACCGTATATACTATAGCAGTTCCAACAGACAGTTTGATGTTTTCACTCTCGTAGTGGTCGATTCAGCTGATAGATGGCAACTTGTGTTGTCTTATTTCGGAAATAATCTAATACCTACACCAAAATAATAATGACTAGCCGTTCAGCATAGTCCGAGCCAACTTTGACAACTCGCCTCATGTGAAATGTAGGGATGCGTTTTGTTGCAGTTTCGCTCAGTAGTAGGTAAATGCTGGTAATCAGGTTGGCTCAACAAGAAAGATGGCATTATTAATGAATGGTCCCGTTAGAAACGAGATTCCGCTGTGTATCTTTTTGAATAAGCAGCATTACAATTATACAAATTAGGTGCATTACGAAACAAGTGTGGGGAAAAAAGAAGAAACACAAATAGTTGTAATATACTACTGGATACTAAAATACATAATACGAACTGGTTTGCTGCTGCATAAATAATGGCAGGCTTAGCGGATGATAGAGCAAGTGGCATATTGTAGTCGAAAATAAATATGTGTTAACATTAATTTTTAGTTTTATCGTAAAAACCGTTTCTCTATTACTTACCGACTTTATCCTCTATTTGTAGATAAGCTAACGCCTACAGCAACTACTTTGGCCCCGTATCATTTTTGCCAATACAATTTACGAGCCCCTTCCCACTTCAGTTGGCCCACTTCAAGATTTGTACCAAAATATGCCTTTATAAACTGAACATGACGAAACTATTTACTTCTAAAACAATTTATTTTCACAAAAACATTTTAGATACACTCTAGTCGTAAAAAATACATATTTGAAATCACTTAGACCTATAACTAATAGAACATCTGAACAAATGAACAATGTGCGAATAAATGCGCGAAGTTAACAAAGCAACAATTGAAATATTACCATTGGGTAACATCACCTTTATTTTTATTACGGCTGAAATTCTTTGGGGCATAGTGATGTAAAACAATCCCATATTTCTTGAACCTTTTTCATCTCGTGCCACAAAGTTTCAATAGGTGACAGATCTGGACTGCTAGAAACCCATTCCAAAGGGGTACATTATCTTCTTCCATCCATTTTATAGCCTTTTTTGAGGTATGGAACGCTGCACCATCTTGCCGAAACACAAAATCTTGGCCGGATGTCAAAAATTCTTACATCACTGGTAAAAGCGATTCTTCTAAAATTGCCAAATATTTGTATCCACATTTCCATCAATAAAATGAAGTTTTCCTACTCCTTTGGATGACATACTGCCCCATACCATAATGGATGCTAGAAACTTCACTTTTCTCTTCAGACAGTCAACATGGAATGCTTCATTTTTTTCCGAATAACTCTACTGCGACTGTCACCAACACAAACTTCGAATCGGGCCTCATCACTCCATTGTATTGTACACCATTGTTGAGGTGTCAATTGTCTATGTTCTTTAGCCCATCTAAGCCGATTTTTCTTTTGCAGTGGAGTTAATAGTGGCTTTTCTTTGGCCTATAAACAAGTTGTGCAACTTTAGGGTTTTTATTTCACTTTTCTTTATAAGAAAACTTGCCTTGCAAGTGCTAAATCCCAGTTTGTGGGCCTCTCTATGAGTTGTGGACCTCGAAATTCTCCTTTCAACAGCGTCACTCCACAGATCACTTAATTGTAAATAATTGGCACGCCTGTTTTTCACGATTATTCTTCTTAATACTATTCGGTCGGCATTTGTGATATTACTTTTTTTCACATATCGTGGCTTAATATTAACTGAACCAGTTACGTTATATCTTCTAACAATATTTCTCACACTGTACCGCGATAGGTCTAACAAAGTTGCAATTTCTGAGTTTGATTTTCCAGAATTAAAAAAATTCCTTATCAGTAACCGAATTTTCTCACTAATAGCCTTTCCTCTACCCATTTTGACAACCTTAACTACCCAAAGCTATTTTAAACGTATTCTGAGAGCTGTGATTAATAAAAACAATTGTCATGGCTTTTATTTTTCACAGCCACCTATGCGCTATAGACTTATTTTGCATTGAAATGAAAATAGGTTGATATGCTGTAATTGCAACATGTGTTATTTTTATGCTGCAAATTTGATTAGGGAGTGATAAAGTTGGTGTTTTCTACTATATATTATCAAAATATTCATTGTTAATATTTTAAACCTATAACACCCTGCTACATTTTTATTATTTGTGTTTGATAAGAAAAAACTAAGATTTCAATAGTTGGGCCAACTGAAGTGTATATATTCACAATATGGGCTATCAAGGATCATATGTGGTTTTCAGTACCAACAACTGACATTTTGCTCATGCAAACTCCTAACAACATTTAGATCAACAATTTTAACAGATTAACCAGCTGCATATCATGAATCTAAAATGGTTCATGGTTTTTGATCTATTCTGCAAAATGTACTTAGCTAGAATATACGCCTTCCATCTTCTTATTTTTTCTTGTGGAACTAATTAATTACACTCTTTGCTTAGAACACCTTACTAGATAATATTGCAATGACGAAGCAAATACAAATATTACGTGGGTTAATTCAAACGTCAAGAAATAATCCTCAAGTTGTCCCAAAGAAGAAAGATCAGCGATATACCTGTCTGTAATAAACCTACACCCTTTATTATGCTGCCAATCAATAAAACAAAGGTCGCACGTTACATCTGAAACCATTGTTGAAATCTTAAACATTAAGAAATAATCCAAATGAAGCAAAACAGGCTGTATCCTTGTTATTGCTACTTCGTTGTAACTGTCTTTAGATTCCATGATAGCATTCTAACTTGAAGGAAAAGAGCGGAGGCAAGCAGACTGACTCAGCATCCCTCACGTATTAAAATATACTAAGTGACATATAAATCCGAACACCCAGTTTAAATGGTTTTATTTTAATAAAAGTTGGTGAATGTATTTATCTTACTGTAAATAACAAGTGAAAAAATGTTCAGCCTTATCAGTTGGACATTCCGGTTTTTATACTGCTTTTTTTTAATTCAATAACGCTCTAAAAATGAATATTTCAGCCGCAGTAAAGAATCAACGTTGGCGGATTTTGGTTCTTGACATCCTTTACGATCGGTTACGATGCCTAGAGTACAGAGACCTGTACGATTTCGTCAACTTAGTGAGTTTGATAGGGGCCATATAGTGGGACTTCGGGAAGCTGGACTTTCTTTTCGGGCAATTGCAGTTAGTGTGCAAAGAAGTGTAGACACTGTGGTTAGGTGTTGTCAGGTATTGCTTCGAGAAGGCCGTACGCAAAGAGCAAGGGGCACTGGACGCCGCCGTAGAACAATAGACCGTGAAGATCGCCGCCTAAGATTATTGGCCTTAAGGGACCGTTTCTCCACTACCAGGTCCATTGCAAATGAATGGTTTGCAGAACACGGAAGACCTATTGGCATGCGAAGTGTTTACCGACGAATGAGAAGTTTTGGCTTGTTTTCATACCGGCCACACTGGGTCCTCCCTTTAACTCGAGAACACCGACGTAATCGCCTTGAGTGGTGCAGACAACGGTCACTCTGGGATCAGGAATGGAACAGTATGGTCTTTAGTGACGAGTCTCGATTTTGTTTAGGCATGCACGATGGTCGTGCCAGGGTTAGAAGGCGACGTGGTGAAAGGAGGAATCCACAGTTTTTTGTTGAAAGACATGTTCATCACACTGTTGGAGTTATGGTTTGGGGTGCTATAGCTTATGGTTCCAGGTCACCATTAATCTTCATCAGAGGTAACATGAACGCGCAGCGTTATATCCACGAAGTTCTAGAACCCCATCTTTTACCCTATCTTGACACCCTGGCAGATCCAACTTTCCAACAAGATAATGCCCGACCACATGTTGCAAGAGTCACAATAGACTTCTTTCAACATATGATGTCACATTGTTACCATGGCCACCAAGATCTCCCGACTTATCCCCAATTGAGCACGTGTGGTATATGATGGGTAGGAGATTGCTCAATTTGCAACATCCTCCTCAGACTCTAGAAGCACTTCGAGAGGAGTTGGTGGTTGCCTGGAATGAGATACCACAGGAGGACATTGACCACCTGATCAGAAGCATGCCTAGGCGCGTTGGAGAATGCGTAGCACATCAGGGTGCATCCACACATTATTAAAGGTCAAAGGGCTTTAAAGCAGTGCAATCGTTTTAAAATTTTTATCATTTCCTTATTATGCTTCATTAAGTACTTATACAAAATTTTATTAAAATAAAACCATTTAAACTGGGTGTTCGGATTTATATGTCACTTAGTATATATACATACACATATTTTTGATATTGGGATCTTGGAAACTGCTAAAATACGAAGTTTGTCAAACGAAGGCATGTTGCACAACTTGGTGACCAAGAAAGTGGTTATCAGAAATCTTCGCAATTGCAAGTAGTTCCAATACGGCATCCATAAGAGGAAATTAATGATAGGGGACAACTACGAAATTTCATAATCGAAATACAAATTATGCCATCTTGTAAAGGAGAAAGAGTGTCAATATTAATTCGCATTTTATTTGGAAATCCCATCTCACATAAAGTCAGGTAAAGTTATGTACGATTTTGGAAAAATTAGGTTTCTCCAGAAATATTACGAATTGCGAAAGTTTCTAAATGCCATTTTTTAAGTTTCCTAACTGTCCCAATTTAAATGACTCCATATATCTTACCGTGTCCGAGATCTCAGTGGTGAGGGTCAAATTTGGACACAAGGTATATGCATGACCAATCCCTGAGGTGTTTATGTTGTATCACCATGATTAAAATAGAGAAACGTTGGAAAATAAAATTTTCACTTGGAGAACGAAATAAGAACTTGTTTCAGGAGTTTTGCCTCACTAAAAATTATTATTGAGCATACCTTAATGTGATCAGAAAACCAGAAAATAGATGCAGAAACAAAATTTAGAATTTTCCCCAAATTTTGAATACACCCAATTTTTTTCGCTATGCACAAAAATGATCAAAAACCTGTATAACAGACAAATTCGGAGACTTTCTGGAATTGATGGTGAATCGATTTTGATAACCTATCATTTTTTGTACCCTTAGCATTGTGACAGCCGTCTTAGTCTTTTAGTATGTACTACAAATATGTAGTATGTCTTACGATAACCGGCTTGTTCCAGTACAAAAGATAAAAATAAATAGGAGAACATGGAATAAAATTATTAGTACACACAGACAACTAAATACTGGAATGGGGAAGCTCCTGAAAGTCCTGGTAAATCTATTTTTCTTCATCAGATATGTGGCTTCTTCCAGCTAATCATATTACGAAACGATTACGTGTAAAACGTAAATGCTCTTCGGTCCGGTTAGTCGTGTGTTGATATTATTCAGACGCGCCAGTTTGATGAATGTTCTACAAGAATTGTTATAATCGATGATTATTACTATATTTGTCGGTAAGTAAGCCCATACAAACTTCCTGCTTTTGAATTAAATATTTCTTTAGCTCACTCAGATTCATGTCTGAAACTTGGTAGGGATTTAAATTCTAGCACCTAAAATCGCCACAAAATGTTACTCCACCTGCATCACTTGATATTTTTTTATTTATCGCGTATCAAGTATGCTCTAAAGTGACTTTTACAAAAGAAGAACAAAAAATCGTCTTATAGAAGCCGCCTATAGGTTTTATCCGATTCTTCATGGTTATGTTCCAGACTGATGGGAGGCCTCGGCAAATTAATTGAAGCCAAATATTGGAATATAAAGCATGCTGCCAAATTGCCAATATCGTAATCTTATTTTATAACTCATGCTTTCATTATTTTCATTATCTCCATATCTTAAGCTTAATATTATACTACTTCTGAAATAAGGGCGAAGATATGTTTTTGAAGCTAGGAGCGAAATGTAGCTTTTATTTCATACCCATTCATCAAATTTCAAAAAGAGTTCAATCTCAAAATTTGGAATGTGGTGATTAATTATGCATACCATAAATGGTACTAATTGAGCAATTGCATTTGAATGTTGGCAATCATTCGTACTAATTCCTGAAATAAGAGTTAGAATTTCATTGCACTTTGGGACGACCTCAATAAATTAATTTACCGTTCAGTTTGTGTCACCGACTATAATAAAAATCTGGATAATGATTAACGATTTGCAGACATAGCATTATAAAAATTTAGAACTACCAATTTATAAGCAAAATGCTGAAACCTGTTATTTACTACCTCCGTTCAAATTTTTTTATTTAAATTTTCGCTGTAACAATTGCTAAAGCGGATACAAATGACATTTCAATGGATCATAAGAGATATAGCTATTTCAGAATATCCTTGCTAACATCTATTGAACGTAAATCATATAAGTTTAAAATTTATCTTCGATGACAGAGATCAAATTTCCTCTCAATTTCATTATTGTAGCAACGATTTGCTTTACTATTTACTCTTGCTTATTGATAGTGTTTAATAAGATCTCACAGCTACAGGGGTCCTAAAGTGTCTTTGAAAAAACCTTGGATATAAAGTAAGATTGGGATTAGAATATTTTGTATAATACTCGCTATGCGACTCAAGTTGCGTAATACTCGTGAAACATTCCAAATTCTCTTGTTCTGTTCTAGGTAGGACTAGACAATATTGTTGAAGTTCCGTTTCAAGAAAATGAAAGTGAACTTTGGAGACGTACCAGAGCCAGGGGACAGGTAATATATTCCTCCCTTTAACAGCCCAACAAGGAATTTTTAGTATTTGATAAACTGTAACTATCATCATGGACTAACGTATTTTACCTGAAGATAGCCAACGTAATTTGTAATTGTCCGAGATGAAATGAGAAACCGTAGCGTCATATATGAGAATCTGTCGTAGCTGTTTCTCTATTTACTATACAGGGTGTTTCAGAAAGGCGTGCCAATATTACTAAGGTAGAACGCACATCTAAAAATAATGAAAGAAGTTCTCATAAATATGGGTCCAAAGATGCTCCCCTATCGAGATAGAGGGTGATGACGTTTTATTCAAAAATTGAAAAAATATTATAGAGTAAAGCGGGGAAATATGGCAACATAAATTTGAAACGCTCACATCCTGGCCTCCATCGGACCTAGTCGCAATAAGATTATTGAACCTTAGAGCTTACACATGCAGGTTTGCGGTGTGAGAACTCTCGTTGCCCTATTCCTATCAACAAAAATACTATAATCAAAAATGTCCAATGACTCACCATTGCCATATTACCCGCACCTATGGGTAATATGGCATCTAGCTCTGGGTAATAAGGCAACATGTTTTCGTAACGTAAAAATTAGGGAATTCAACTTTTTATAGAAAATGCTGATAATTGCAAAAATACACTTTTATTTCCAATGAAAACACTCAAAAAGTAAAAAACAAGACAGATAATCCTAATAATGTAACTGTTACTATACTTAGGTATACTGGTAAATATCCTTTAATGTGATTTTGTCTTGGTAGCTATTTCGGATAACGGCGTACACTCTTCGCAAAATTTGTCAGATTGCGTACATATTTCATGGACCCATTTCAAACATGTTACGCATTGGAGCCAGTCGCATTTGGGACCTTTTTTATCGTAAAAATACCCATGACATGCTGCACAAAATTCTGACTCATCAGTATCGATTTCTGAATCGTCGCTTTCTTGGGTTACTACCTCGGTTTCGGTGTCTGACGAATTCGGGCTTGGTGATTTTTTAGTTTTCTTTTTTGGAACTACCGTTTTGTTCCTATGCTCAACAATACTTTGCGTTTTTTTCCGTTCTTCTTTTTGTTTTAATTTTGTTCTTTTTACTTCTTCCTTTGCTCGTTTTGCGCAAATTGTTTCTGGCATGTTGTTTTCGTCTATAGCCACTTGGTCCTGGTTCTACGCATGGAACCGGAGAAATTGCTTCAAAGGGGTTTCTATTTTCGGGGTTGTTGACTGCAATGACACTACCTGGTCTGTGGTCGTTTTACTCCTCACTGAGAATGTCTTGTGGGTTGTGTTTGTTTCAGCTGATGGTTCGTCGTTAATGGTAAAAGCATAATCGGGAATTTTTTCGGGATTGAAAGGGTAAATCCCACAAGTTCTCAAACCGGAAGTCCCATTTTGAATTGTTGCAGCCTTACATCAGGCAATATTTAAAAGTTGGGCGAACTGCAATCGGTTCAGTTTTCGACCAGGATTGTTATGAACCCAGTTTTGACAAGTTTGAGCCCAATAAGATTTTAAGGGTTTGAAGAATGAGCGATCAAGCCGTTGAAGCCAATGTGTGGTGTGGCTGGGCAAACAAAACAGGATGACGTTATTCGCTACAGCAAAATCCAATAGTTCGACATTAGAACAGCGCAAAGAATGTCCATCCATAATTAATAGAACCTTACCGGCACCTTTCCGCGGAATAAAAAATTCACGAAACCATTGGAAAAAAAATTCAGATGTGACATAAGCTGACTTCTCGCCCATAACAACCTTTCCTCCAGGTGGTAGACCATCTTCAAATTTCTTTTTTTTGTTTTTACCTTTGAATATACAGCAGGGTGGGAAAAAACTGCCTTCTGCGTTTACACACGTTATAACGGAAATAGTTTCTCCCTTTTCTGCACTCGTGATACAGTTTACCATTTTAGTGCCTTTAGTTACCACAACTTTGCCTGGATTATTATTTAACTGCAATCCAGTTTCATCGAGACTAAAAATGTTTTGAGGCTTATTTAATAAATTATTTTCTCTCAAAACGTTTCCTAGTAGTTCGAAATATTGGGTACATTCTTGTCTCGTCATGCCTTTGGCTCTGGCAGTAGACATTCTTTGAGCCTTACGTACTGCCAGTTCAGGATGTCGTCTCATGAAGGCGAGAAACCAATCTTGACCTGCCCTTTTTCGTTCGGTATTAAAATTATGTGGAATATTTTGTTGGATCGCAAAAGAATATGAAAGCTTTTTTATATCATGAGCAGATAAAGCAAAGCCGTGCGATGCCATGTTTTGTATATATTTGACTAAACTTGTTTCTTGTACCATACTGAGTAAGCTTTTGCGACCTAATGCCACTTTATTTAAGTTTCCCGACCGCATTCTTCTCCTTAAGGTTCTAACTGGAACATCATAAGTACGACTTATTTCTCGAACCGATCCTTTACCTCCATGAATATCAGATACTGCATTCCGAAGGTCTTCTTCTGACCATTGAACTCTTACATTTCTTCGAATATAAGCACGTGGCATTGTGTTAATCTGAAATAAGCAGAAAAACACACCACATTAGGATCTGTCACATGAAAAAAATAAATGGGGTAATATGCCGCACCGTCACTTTTATGCGGCATATTGCCCCACTGCGCAACAGTAACGTTTCAACTAAAACGCACAAACCCCGTGTAAATCCAGGAAGCGGTACATGTGTTAAATGTTAGGTTATGGATCTTACTTTGCCTATCAATAAAGATTATTTAAATCAGACCACGAAAACTTGAAAAAATTCTTAACATATCTCATATAAAAATAATTTTTGGTCTGTACTTACCGGTTTTTTGGGTCTATCTTACACTAAATCAAGTAATTAACACACATTCAAAGGTAACGGGCTTTCTTGCATTTATGGCAACAGATTAATGTGGTAGGTGCCCTCTGTAACCGTCGGAGTGCACTATGAGCGAAGTGAGGCGTATTACCCGTTGCGGCAAATTTCCCCGTTTTATCTATCTATTAGGAAATGTTTTCTACGCCACTGCCTTTTTCAGAGGCAGGTACATTTTATAAAATACCATTCAATTTTCCATAAATTTTGTTTCTTGAAGATTATTTGTGAGATCACTCGTTTTGGAGATATTTTGGTTTGAATATTTGAGGTAAAATCACAAAATATTCTTATGGAAAGGTTTAGCCTACCCTGTTCTGAAAACACCGTGAAGCTTGATATTGGAAACACTATATGGTATGTGAAGAAAATTATGTCACCTCATTATAACATTAATTGCATGCCTTATCTTCAAACAGTAGCGTAGAAGCTTACTATTCTTTCCTACGCACGCCACTGGTTTTGCTGGCATATTCATTCATGCTTATAGATTTATAGAGAGAAGAAAATTCAAAACAAAGAAAAAGTTTATTCCAAAAATATGTGAATAAAGCAAACAAGAATTAAATACGACAACAATAAACGTTACTTTTGATACAACTATTTCTAAATTTATGAGGACATAGCATTGGGAACAAAAAATAATGCTGAATAAATGTTACAACATCCAACCTAAAGGAGGTGTTGAAGTAGCCACCTCTGGATTCAACAGAGCCCGTGCTCTACGCCGCAAATGGAAATGCAAAATACCTGGCATAGTACAAACTATATTGAAAGCCTTCTGGATACTTCGTCTTCATACTTCGTATTGAGGTTGCTAACGATTTGTGATATCTTCTTTGTTGAGCTAACTGAATCCGAAATGCTAAGGAATTTTGAGAAGAAAGGCCGATAATTTCAGAAGTAAAATAATACGAATTTTACTCAAATTAATTAGGTTGAGAATTTAGACAAAGAGAAGAATCTCACATGGGTAATACTATACCAGGAGAAGTATACTATACCATGAAAACCAGTGGAGTGTATAGACTAGGTTGAATGAAAAGTAAGCTTCTACGCTACTGATTGTAGATAATATAACGCATATTATACAATAAATGTTGTAATGAAGTGCTATAGCTTTTTTCACAGGGCATATTGTGTTTCCAATATCAAGTTTCATTGTGTTTTCAGAATAGGGGAGGCCAAACCTTTTCATAAGAATGTTCCAGGATTTCGTCTCAAACATTCAATCTTAAACATCTCCAAAAGTAATCCGACAAAAACGCCTTAAAAAGTAGAGTTTATGAAAAATTAAGTAATATTTCATAAAATGCCCTTCTTTTCTCCGAACAGACCAGTGGCGCAGAAATTACTTCCTATTAGTGGTTCAGGTAGCCCAGTTTCTACGTCCCTGGCTTAGCGTGGGCTGATGCTGTTACCACTGAACGACTAAAATCCTAACTCAGTATCTTTAAACGCTTTGTAGATATAATTCATTTTTAATTTCGCAAAGAAAACTTCATGACCCTGTATGCCGGTGGGGGAGCATCTTTGGACCCATATTTGTGAAGATTCTTTCATTCTTTTCAGATGTTCCTTCTACCCTAGAAATATTGGCACCTTTTTTTGAAACAAGCTGTATATACTTTGAAAAGGTGTCATAGATAGCGCTGTCTATATGCTCGTATTTACTGATTTAATTGGCTAATGCGCCATCTATGAGACACTTATATTTTAAAAGTATATAATTATAATGAAAAGAGCAACCGGTGTGTCAAATTCACATAAATACAGTTGCTGTATCTTATTTTATCTCGCATAGGTTAATCATTGCTATTGGTCCTAATATAAAATTAATGTTGCTACATTCTTTCACGACATAATCATATTTTGGGGGCTGTGTTAAAAATTAATATAGAGAAGTGGTAGCCTAGGATGAAGGTAAAATTCTTGTACAGGTATGGTTAATAGCTCCTTGATTTTTTGATCAGGTATCAGCTGGGGGAGGTGTTAGGGACAGGAGATTTCGGGAAAGTCTACCTAGCTACAGATCAACAGGCAAACAGAAAGAAGGTTGCTGCGAAGATTCAAAAGTACGAGGGAGATGGAAAGGGGTTCATAGGAGAGGAGTACGTGATTCTAAGGGATTTGAGTACGCACCTAAATATCGTGGACTTCTATGGGGTATACAAGAAAAGGAGTAACATCTGGTTTATATTGGAGGTAATTTATCGGTCTGATAAGAACACCCATCATAATAGGGATAGTCATGCTACCTTCACAAGACAAAATCCTCTACGTAACGCATACGGGTAATATTTTCGGCCTCGCTAAGAGTGCATGCGTCCACTGATCTGCATCGGGCAGACGACGTAGATCACACCATCGGTAATTCAAATAGGATTTCTATTTGTGTGCCGGCGATGGTGTGTGGACAAAAATCCGAAAGGTACATTGGAAATAAGATTGTAAATTGCTGCGGCGTCGGCAGTCCGTTTGCTGCAGATACAGTCGACGTACTTTTTATATATACTGAGGCAGCGCACTAGGCTGAAACCTAAATACCGGAGTACTACGCGTTATTGCTATAAGGAGCTTAAAGAGGCAGTGTTGATCAGACTTTCGAGCTGCTTAAGGTTGGCAGAACTGGAAAAAGCCTCCTCCTGCAGATTATTCCACAATATTGACGCCCTAGGATAAACAGAAAGTCATACCGGCCAGTTTCTGACGTTCGAAGTTTGACAGAGGGGAGGTGTAGAATCCTGGCGGTTCTGTCTGGCAGGCTTAATATGCGTCATCATGGAGGAGCAACGCCCGTTAACATAGCCGTAGAAGGGATTAAGATCCGGCGCGAAACAATCCCAAGACTGTCTGTAAGAGAAGTATCATCGATCACAGCCCTCCTCTGAACCGTATCGAGTATCAATGATGTAGTCGGGGTGGCAGCACCGCAAACATGTAAGCAGTACTCGAAGCTGGGTCTTATCTGGGCCTTGTACAGAATAAGGGGGTTATTTGTACAAAAGTAATTTTTAGCCCTAAACAAATATTCGAGCTTTCTCCCACCGGTTATTGCGATTCAAGAGGTGTATTCGTAACAAATTAAGTCCTCAGTGAACTGTACAGGATTGTTGCATCCCCAAGCAGAGACGAGTCGCTTTTAGTCTTCTTTATTCCAGCGCACCGGCAGAGATTAACTTGTCACTCCGAATTCCTGCATGTAGAGTCCTGTCATCAGCCAAGCTGTGGATGGGATTGATCGTGCAGGAGATGTGGTTGATATGTAATAGAAACAATGTTAGAGCCAAGACCGATCCCTGGGGAACACCTCCAGAAATATTGTGGGATAAAGAGGAGAACCCGTCAATTACGACGGACATCTTGCGGCTGGAGATGAGGTCAGCCAGCCATCTTTAAAGCCTCTCTGGGTGACCATGGGTTGAAAGTGTGCATCAGGGAGCAGCATGCCTCAGCTGATCGAAAGCTTTCGCGATATCAAGAGGAACGACATATGGCTCACCATATGACTGTATAAGGTCCATTCACAGTTGTGTGATAAGATAGGAGGTCTCCCATTGATCGCTCTTGCCGGACCACCATACATTGACCAATTCAGTGCGAACAGTCTGATGAGCAGACCTGGGAATGCGCAGCTTAAAGCAAAAATAAGGTTGTAGGAAAAAACGAAAAATTACATCGAAGACAATCTTCTTTGTACGCTACTGAATGTGACCTAAAAATCCACCGATACTAAACTCGTAGCAATAATGGACATCTCATATTACGTCAGCGCTGGAGATATGATTCTAAGGTCAATATCAAATATTCACTTTCAGACAATATAATGAGGAGCCTGATTCGATGAATTTATTGATCTCAGAAAAACATTAAGAAGATTTACTGGATAATATTATCATGTGTTTCTATCAGTTCATTTCAAATTGTATAATTTGAAAAAACTTAAAGAGCTTTTTTGAGTTCCTGAATAATGGGTTAAAACATCGAATCTTCGCAATATATTTCTTGCTTAAAAAATCTTAATATTGTATGTTTTCTTATACTGTATCGTGTGTTTTGTCGATTTGACGTTAATTTTGTAATCTGCAATCTATATATACCAAGTTTGAAGAAATCAGGAGATTATCTTAAAAACCTGTAAAAGAAGTTCGCCTGTTGAGTTTCTTCAATACTAGGGCACCTAATACTTGTCTATACTTTTTAGCCATGCGAATGTACTGCAATAGACTTTGTTCTTGGCCTCCTAGCGAAGCACCGGAGAATTTCCGAAGATCATATAGCGTACATCCTCAAAGATGTTGTGAGGGTAAGTATAGCGTACACAGCTTCATGACCTCTATGTGTCAAACTTGTATTATTTCTGACACCACTTAAATGTGTGATCTTTTAGGCCTTGATACATCTACACGAAAATAAAGTTATCCACAGAGACGTAAAAGGAAGCAATATTCTCTTAACGAGAGAGGGTGAAGTTAAGCTCTGCGATTTTGGCTTATCTGTAAACCTGAGGAAACAAGATGAAACAATTACAGCAGTTTTGGGTTCTCCATGTTGGATGGCACCTGAACTTGTGAACGCCAGTCCAGACAAGAAAAATGCTTGTTATGATAATAGGGTTAGTATAGCTCCTCTTGTTAAGAGCATGCTATTGCAATTTCAGAGCGAATAATTGAAATTTCTTTAATTCATTCCAAACAAAACAAACATTCAAATACAAAATTGTTTTCTACACAAAGAACAGAATCGGCCTTTTAAGTCCTCTGTGAGTGAGAAGCACTACACCATAACAGGAAGGATTTCTTTGGGAATTAACCATTACACGGTGACTGCGCTATTAAACACGAACGAGAATCTTTGCAGTTCCAATAATTAGCTGCTATGCGCTCTCCGTTGTGGTCGATTTTGGCGTTAGATGGCGTTTTGCACTGTCTTATTTTGACCGCACGTCCTTGATAGAGGATAACTTCGATGCTTTTGTTCGCCGCCCTAGATACGAGATACCAAGCCCAGACCATGCCGATGAGTATCCAAAAAGTATGAAACAGCTGTCCATGGTTGGCTCTCGTTTGCTCAGACGGATGAAGGCATAATGTTTAGAACTGAAAAAGTTTAGTACAGCATCGGAACTATATCGATTAGTACAGACTCTGAGGCAGCTATATGCTATATATTAAACCTCCACTTTATTATTATTTTAATTTCTATTTAAGGTTGATTTATGGGCATTAGGAATAACGGCAATCGAGCTGGGAGATAGTCAGGCACCTTTTCAGGAAATGCACCCTAGTAGAGCAATGTTCCAAATAATCAGAAATCCCCCTCCAATGCTGCAAAAAATATCTTACTGGTCTGAAAACTTCCATGACTTCATAAGCGAGTAGGTATTTTCTCTACTAGAATAAAAATTACAATATTACAACTATTCTCAAATAAGAATATTTTTACTGCACCATCTAACTTAGAGTAGCCAGCAACATACGGCAATATTCTTTTTTACCAGCGTATCACTTTTCCGTACGCTGTGTGGCAATGTTACTTTTCTTCATGGCGTGCGGAAAAGTAAAAATGTCACCTGATGTTAAATTTAATCGTTGCTTGAGTTCACTACCACCCTACCCAGCATTTTGTCTCCCGCCATAAATCTTTAAAATGCCAGCAATTGCTTCTTTATTGCTCAAGTCTTTTGTTATTAAAGGATATGATTTCAATTGCTACAGTATACAGGGTGTTAATAAAGTATGTAGACAAACTTTAACCATCGAATCCTTGGTCAATTTGAGGACGAAATTTCCATATGAACATGGTGCCGCAATGGCTTTGTTGTCAAGCTAGAGTATACGAGTATTAGCACTAAAAGAAATGATGATATCGTTCTACAACATTATAAAAGAATGGAACGTATTTTATTTTATTTAAGTAGGCCCTGTGGTGAATATCACATGATTTATAGTTGTTTTCATACCCTCCATGTACGTAGATACGGATAATGTTATCCAGTATTTTTTGAAAAAATAGCATGACATTAATTGTTTTTGAACGCAATATTTTTAATATATAAGCATTGTGCTAGACACCAATGACGTACCCGAAAACAATTGAATTAATCTATTGTCACAAATAATTCGTGGTCACTTTGAACATTTACTGTAAAAAAAACTATTCGATATTTTCTAATTTTGTCGTTCTATTCGAATGTTACTGTTCAAAACTATTGACTTTCTAAATAATTTTTTTCCCAAAAATATAGGATAATACTATTTTCATCCACGTTCATATTGAGCCTCAGCAACTTGCAAAACATGCCAAATTTATCATAGTTATACCAACTGTTCAATAAATACGTTTCATTATTCATAGAAATATTTGAAATATTACTCGTATTTCTTTAGTAATAGTGCTCTAGCTTGAAAAGAAAGCAGTTAGGGACCCATATTCATATGAACATTTAGTCTTCAAATTGATCAAGGATTCGATGGTTAAAGTTTGTCCACATATTTTATTAACACCCTGTATATGTAGTTGTTTTATTTGTTAGGAAAATAACCATAGTATATGTATTGCTACACATATTTCAGGTTTCCGACCTACTTTCTTACCTATATTGCTGTCAGATTGAAGCCCTACTTCAGTACCGACTAGTACAATTTTGTCAGTTATTCTTGCCTGCAAACAATATTGTCAAGATATATTCGGGATATCGCTGATATGGTCGAGATATACAGGGTGGCCCATCCATGTGTGGACGGAATATTACTCATAAACAAACACATTCTGGGAAAATCTATTTATAGCATGTTATAGATGACATTTGAGGGCACATTTCTAAAATATTGGCAATTATACAGGGTGTCCCAATTTTGCCCTACATATCAAAGTTGTGATTTTTTTAAACGGTATGCCTCAAATTTTATTGCATACTAGGGTAAACCAACTCAAAAGAAGAAGATTGATATAACATACTATTGAGTTTTGGTAATTAGCTACTGAGATGTAAGGTGTTTTGTCCAGAAAAACCATCCATTTCAGCAACCCCTCAGTCCATTTTGGGCAAAGCCCAAAGAAATAGTTTCCTAGCATCTCGCATTTATAAGCAAGTGTACCCTAATATGCGACATCCAAGGCCGGAAACACCTTCCACACTACGAGAATGTTTCGAATCAAATGGAGAAGTGGAATATAGCAAATCATTCTTTCCTTCTTTGACGTGTGCACGTATGTGTACTTAGCACTAATAAATTTTATCATTTGCTTATCACATATTGCCAGGAAAATATTGGCCGCTTAAAGGCTTCAGTAGATGATCTAGCTTGGATACGAACAGTTCCTTATCTCTAATTTTGAGCTCTATACCCTCCATGTTATCGGGTTTTTCAGAGGAATGTTATATTGCAGATGTTTAACTAAAGATTACGAATATCGGCCATACATGGCAGAAATAATAGAACATCCATTTTTGGCACAAGTTCCAGAGAATAACTACCATGTAAGTTTAAAAAATGTTAACCTAAGTTCTTTTCAGATTATTCAGATCCACTTTCACAGTCGCTACTTTAGGGTGAATGTCACCAAGAGCATAATAACTTGTGAAAATGATGAATTGCTCGTAATGAAGAAAAACTAGGCATGACTTTTTAAATTCATTTCTGGGTTACTGTAAAATATATTTTATCATAAAATTTGCACAAAAAGTGAACGAGCGCTCTATGTTTTGATCGTCACACTAGAACTGTAACTGATTTAATTTATTTACTGATGGTAATTTACAAAAAGTAATCCCACCAGGTACAAGCAACAAAAATATATAAGTATATCACAATGTATCACAAAAAAATAAAGAAATAGTAGCGTCACCTAATGACTTTTATCTTAATATCCATGTAAAAGTTATATTAAAAACAGAAAAAAACTCTATATCACACTAATACATTTACGCTTGCATTGTAAAAAACATACAGAATACAATAAAATGAATATAAATATATAATACAAAATGTGCTCTTGCAAAAATGGTTTTAAATTGTGGAGAGCCGCGTTATGATCCAGATATGATTACAGTTGATCAAAGTAATCGATACGTGAGCCACACAAAGACAATGTAGGATGGACACCTACCTAGGTGTACTTGCCGACTTCCCTGGAGAAGCTCCTTCCTTTTCACAGCTTATTCTTATCGTATATTGAGTTGATCACGGACGCTTCGTCTTATTGTACGCATATTTAGCTTGTACACACTGGTTCCAAACGGTTTGAATTTGTATGGCTTTTTGACTTCAAATGAGTTAACGAAATATATTTTCAAACTAGAATGAACAAAGTTTGGCAAAAATGCCAGTTATAATGCTATTAGATGCATATATCGATATTTATGAGACTAATTGACATCCTTAAGCAGGTTCTGAGAACAGAAAGATGTTTCTTTTTCCCATAATAACTAATCCATATCCTGGAGGTAATGTAAGAAGAACTACTCTTTATTGTATCATCACCTACTTCAATAGTTTAGGATCGTTGATGATTCAACCCTTAATAATGCTTACTCTAATATCACTATAGTATACAACATTGGTTGTACTATGTGGGCGTTTTACTAAGTCAGGAGTATTTAAAAAAGTATCAATACTTTTTACAAAATACGCTATATCTACGAAAGAATTTTATCTTGGCATTTTTTAGCTGTCTTTAGAACTGAAGACCCAGATGAAAGACGTTAAGATTGATCCACGTAGAAGACCTCCAGAAGTCACTGTTATCGACAAGATGCTGAAGAGGGGCATAAAAGAAGAACTTGAACCTATGTACGATGAAGACATGGCTGCTCTGAATAATATAATGGAAAATGAAGTAGTTGATGTTCTCGAAAAGAGATTTGAATTAGGAGAACAGTACAGTTTTGTCGGTGATATTTTATTATCTTTGAATCCTAATTGCAGGAGAACTTTCTACGGCGAGGAGGTAATTCATTACAAGAAGAACTGTCATGATAATTACTTTTTTAATATATTTTTGACAATTATGATTTTTAGTACCATCATAAGTACCAAGCAAAATCAAGATCTGACAATGCGCCTCATATCTACGCAGTAGCCGATACTGCTTATCAAAATGCTATGCATCACAATACTCCACAGCTTATTTTGCTTTTTGGAGAAACCGGGTCTGGGAAAACCACAAACTACCTTGACTTGATCGATCACCTTTTTTACGTGGGTAAATATTTTTTATCTAAAGAGAAAAAGGTTCGAATTGCGTCATCCAACAATGCTTAACTAACGGGTGTCCAACATTGTTGATTACGTTATATAGATATAATATTTTATAGTACAGATATAGATCTTAGCATAAAATGTTCCACTGTTAGACTACCTTTTGCAGGTGAAAATCAAAGTGTTGGTTCTCAAAGAATTAAAAATGCGATACACCTGGTACATTCTCTCATACACGCTTCTACACCATCAAACTTTTACTCTACCAGGGCTTTTTTAAAGACGGAAGTTTCGTATGGTAAATCCGGGAAACTGACAGGTGCAAACTTCAAAATTCATTGTCTTGAAAAGTGGAGAATTTCTACGACAGAAAAGTAAGAGGCAATAAATGATTCAGTTGAAAAATGTAATATGTGTACTTTTTTGTAGTGTCCAGAGCAATTTCCATTTTCTATATTACGTTTACGATGGCTTGGTTTCCAAAAATAAAACTGATAAATATAAACTAAGTCCAAATAGGAGATACCGTTATTTGAGGACTCATAGTGAAAATACTGGCCAGCCTAGGGACGATATAGAAAGTAACGTTATTAAATATAACCAATTACTGGAATATCTTGACGAATTAGAATTTTCTGAAGAACAAGTTTCAACCATACATGCTATTTTGGCAGCAATTCTTCACCTAGGTGAGTTATCAATGTAGTTATTCTCAGTTAAAACTACTTATGTAAATATCTGAAGCATAAGTCTGGAAGGCTGTTAAAATATTTGGCACTCTCAACTTCTTGATGGGACCCAAAGGGCTTTCCAGTAAGACAGTCTGAGGGTGCTAAATCAAGAGAACAGGGGGGACGACTGAGCAAGGTGGTGATTCACGGATACTTCCTTCGAATATAGTGGACTGACTTTTTTGGTTTTTTGAAGTTTCATGGTGAACATTTTATACATATGTATATCTAAACGCTTCGCTACTTTCGTTCTTGAGGACAGACTTACTTTCTCCGCATTCGTGTACACCCTGGATTACGCGCTTTGATTGGCAGGTTCAAAAAGGCCTGCCATCTCTGGTCGCTTCACAAAGGATTTAAATGCGGTGTTGTCGAGTCATACAAAAAGCCTTTGATAACTGATAGAAACTGTATAAACAGATGCGTTGTCCTTATGAAAAATCATTCTCTTCTTCTTCAAGCAAGGTCACTTTTCGAGAATTTTGCCATCCAGCTGATCAAGTAGGGTGGAATGGCATTCGCATGTATGTTCCTACTCTGTCCAGAGTGATAAATTAACAGAATACCTTTTGCCCACCTTTACATGCCTATTGTCCAACACGATATCGTGGATCATTTCGAAGGTTTTAGCTCTAGTTGTGGTTTTTGGACGTCCTTCAAGAGATGTGCGACAACGTTTGAGTTCAGCTACGTACTTAACAATATTTGAGATTTAAGGAGCATAGTACCCATAAACTTTTGTCAAAACTCATATGAAAAAACTACTAACAAGTTTAAGCTAACCATACGATAAACGATATGTGCATGCTTGCAGGACTTATAATTTTTCGCTGTCATGGCATGCCACGCACTTTTCACCTTATCCTCGTATATTGGTTGTATATTCATCGTTACTCCTTTCTCATTTGGCGTTGTCATATTTATGACACTTTCATATTCAGAGTTTAGGGGGGCGGCTTTGGAACTAAAACTCCCGCCAGAACCCCATGACCCGATACGATTTTCCTCATATAATACGTGTGACCAAGTTACCTCCCTCATTCAACGGTATGATCCGCCCTGATGCCTCACAGAACCTTTTACTCGCTACGCCAGTGTTTTTTAAATGACCAGAATGTATTTTGCATAGAATTTTAATATTTTAGGAGAGACTCGTTTTCAAGAAAACGATGACTATATGGCAATATTGGAAGACCGAGACCCAGTGAACAAGCTTTCAAAAATATTGGATATAGACGAGTGCAAAATGCGATGGGCTTTAACAAACTACTGTGTAGTACGTAAAGGCAGCGTAATAAAAAAAAGAAACACCTGTGATGAGGCCCGAGAAGCTAGAGATGTCTTAGCTAACACCTTGTATGCCAGAATGGTGGATTATATTGTTAATACGATTAATAGCAAACTTGAAATCGGAAAGTCTATTTTGTAAGTAAAGTGATGTGTAAAATGCAGTGTATAGTGAGATATTGCTTTGTACAGGGTGGACCATTAAGAAAAAAAGCGGATCTTAAAAAATCATCGAAAAAGCTACGAAGCGTGTGGAAGATACATTTTTAATAAAGTAGACACATTTAAAAATAAGATCATTGAGATGCGAGCCAACGAGGCGTACCCACTCCTCGAATCTCGACTTAGAATTCGTAACAGCTCGCTGGCACATCGCTCGTGGGAAAGCGGACATCTCCTCGGAAATGTCGTGCTTGAGCTAGACAATCGTCGTTGGTTTATTGGCGTAAACGCGGCTCTTGAGGCACCCCCAGAGAAAAAACTCCAGTGGCATGAGGTCTGAGCTCCGGTGAGACCACGGAATGCCCTCTCGCCGCGATATCAGTTTTTCACTAAACATTTCGTTTATAACTGCTAACGACTCGATGGCGGTATGAATGTCGCTCCATATTGTTGAAACCAGGTCCTTCGAAGAAATAGGGTCCGATGATTCCTCCAGCCGACATGGCTGCTCAAACTGTAACATAACGAAAATGTTTTATTTTGGGATTTTCTGCGGATCAATACCGATAATTTTGCTTGTTGGCAAACGCGCCCAAATGAAAATGAGCTTTATCAGAAAAGAGAATATTGCTCAAACTTGGAAAGCGCTCTAATATTGTTTCGGCAAACGTACGGTATAGATGGTGGTCCTGCACTAGTTGAAGTTGATATGGTTGTGGTTTTTTCGAAAAAATACGCCTTAAAGATGTTCCTGATATGGCGAGCTCAGCTGATATCTTTCGGGATGATAACTGTGGATCGCGCCGTACAGACGTCGCAACTTCGCTTACAGTTTCCTCTGTTCGTATTTACCTTGGACGCCACGCAGGTTTCTGATTCAGTATCGAACCGGTAGACTCGAATTTTTTGACCTAAGACCTGATCACACTTTCATTAGGAGATTGATTGAGATCATGCAAACTAAGCTCAGAGCGAAACAGATGCCGCGCAATAGTGCTCGAATCACAATTTTTGTAATGAGCCTTAATCCAGAATTTTCGAGCACCAAGTTACTTATCCCCACTACCCGAGCCCCGCTCCCGCGTGCCTGTCACGAGCAATGCGGTTTTGAAATTCGTAAGTCTTTCTGGTCCACCCTGTACTAGATCACGAATTCGTCATCACTGAATATTCGAACTACAAAGGATCAAGGGGTTTTTCGGTCTTTTTTTATACTCCAGCTACTACTAAGGCCTAAAGCCTAAACACCGATGGGGTACCGTGCGGCTATAGGGGGATACAGGGGAATGAATGAATCGTGAAATTAGAGGCATTCCGGCCACCATAATGAGCCAGTGCATAGGCCGCTTAAACGGGCCCTTATGCACCTCTACATTCCTTAGATCACAAGCCTCACCCTTTTAGCGAAGTTGAGAATCGTCTTGAGTCCAAGCTCCTTGACGTCCTGAGGGTCCAGAGTAATGGACCCCAGTGTAGTCTGCCTATAGTAGCTCAGAGCTTCACAGCGACACAAAACGTGCGCCGAGGTCTCTTCCTCTACCACGCCGCGCTCACACAAGGGATCCTCAGCCACCCCCATCACGTGCAGATGGCGCCTTCACGGATATGGCCAGACATCAGTCCCACCAGCAACCTTAGGTTGGCTCTATCCAGAGATAAGCAGAAACGTCCATCCTTAGCACTGGGCCCTTCAATGAGTTCCCATGCCTGGCGGAGATGTTTGGAGATACTTCTCCATTTCTGAGAGTGTTGTCAAGTAATCCGCGTCTCCATTTTTTCCCAGCTCTATGCGCGGTCACTCCTAAAACTGGCTCAGGACCAACGAGCTTGCTGGCTGATCCTGTCTTGCCCCTTATCCCAGCTTGCCCCGGTACTCACATTAACGATATCGGATGCATCACTGCGAGGCAATTCAGAGCCTTCCCTGCATTGTAATACAAGACTCGAAGTAATCTTACAGGCACTTAGTGCCTTCATTGCAGGCTGGCTCATGGCTGTCGGATAAGATTGTTATTCTTCTCCTAGGTCCACCCTCCTCCAGAACGCGAGATACACAGGCTAGAGTCGCAAAGATTTCCGCTTGGAAAATAGTGGTGTATCCACTGAGAGGCAAAGATAGCCTAGTTCTAGGCCCAGAAACCCCAGCACCTGAGCCCTCTTCGGTGACCGAGCCGTCCGTGTACCAGACCTGCCGCTCACTTCGGAGAGTCCCCGGCTACCGGCGTCCCACTCCTCCCTCGTTGGATACGCCACAATAAACTTGCGGTTGAAGCGATATTTAGGGGTAATACGATCACCCCTGCTTAGACGGACGGGGTCCTCTCTTTGCAATTCGACTAAGATGGAAGTATGCCCGTTGACAGGATTCAAGAAGCACCAGCTGCCCTGACTCCACAGTCGATGAGCGACTATTCTCGCTTCACCGCGGATCACCAGATACAACGGTGGGAGATCCAACAGAGCTTCCATTGCACTCAATGGCGTTGTTCGCACCGCGCTTGTAATGCTAATACAGGCCAAACGCTGAATTTTATCGAGTTTGGCCTTAGTTGTCTCAGTTCTAATGCAAGGTCACCAGACCAGGGAGCCGTAGAAGAGAGATGGACGTACTATCGTCGTGTAGACCCAGTATACCATTTTGGGTTTGAGCCCTCACCTTACACCGACAACACGTCTACAGGCCCACATTGAATTGCGAGTCTTGATAACCTTGTATTCAACCCGCTCTCTACAGTTAAGTTTGCAATCCAGGATAATTCCTAGATATTTCACTGATTGGTATAGAACTAATCAAGTCCCAAAGAAGGTCGGCAAGACCAGCCCGTCAAGCCTTCTTCTCCTAGTGAACAGGATCAGCTCGGTCGTTCCAGCATTAACAGAAAGATCGACTTCCCTGCACCACTATTGCGCAGAGCGCCCTGCATAATTTCAGAGACTGTGCAACAAAAACGTCCCCTAACCACTACGCTTAAGTCATTTGCATAGGTTTGCACGTGAAGGCCCACACTGCTGAGCCTAATGAGGAGTTCGTTCACCATGATGCACCATAGTAGGGGTGACCGAACTCTGCCCTGACGTCATGCTCTAGCTATGCTGATGCTACTCGACCCTTCAGAGTAGATAGGACCCAATCTATTAGGATTGATCCAACCCCGTGCCTACCCAAGGCATGTCTGACAGAGTCGGTGGATACAGGGGAAAAGGGGGGGGGACGCCACACGGGCTCCAGCGAGGAAACACGTGTGCATGCAGCATGCACTCATTCTGGCCCCGCTTACGAGGTCCGCCGGGTGGTACCTCCGTGTACGACAGTCACAGACTATCTACCAACGACAGACAATCACAACAACCATAGTCAAGAGAAAAATTTCTCTTGGAACGGGATTCGAACCTCGCGGCCATTGCTGCTGCCTATAATAGAGTTATTATTCGAGTAAATTCCAAGTTATTCGCAGATCGAAATAAGACAGCACAAAGCGCCATCTATCACTAGAATCGACCACTGCAGAGAGTGCGTAGCAGCTATTTGTTGGAACTGTAAAGATATCAGTTGGCGTTCAATAGCCCAGTCACCATGTGTACGCTAAATGAATCACGATTCTTACTGTATAGTTGTGGTCTACTTGCCATTGAATAAACTAAACGTAAGCATCATGTATATATTGAGCCCAGTACCGAAACGCATTCATTTTTATATGCGTTTCGTGTTTCAATGTGTTTTATGATAGATTTGAAATAGGAAGTGTTGCAATTATCCACTCATATATAAAAAATAAGTTAAATATTGAAAAATTTTGGACAATTACACCAAAATTACAAACCTTGTATTTTTGAACAATCAAATGCTACAATAAAAAAATGTCAATAAAAGTTAAAAACATCAGTTCTGACATACTTACAATACAAAAATTCAACAGATGTGATCGATCAACTTAGACTTCTAGTTATTTTCAGGGCCAAAAACAACCACACCCTGATCCTTTTAGCTATTAATACTTTCTTATCTCACTTATCTTGGGGACGGGGTAAAACCGAGGTATTGGCATTTTCAAGGATTCATGAAATTCTAATGAAATTTCTCGATAGTTGTATTGCATACGTAGTTTAACTGGAGAATTAGTCACTAGATTTTTATTTTATAATTTATTTTTATAAAAAACTTTAACTTTTATTCTAGTGGCGCAAAATACTTCGTGAAAATTCTGGATTACTTTGGTTTTGAATGCTTCAAAAATAACGGCATCTCTCAACTTATGGTGAATAGTTTCAATGAGCTGCTGCACTACCATTTTTTACAAAGAACCTTTGCTTGGGAACTGGCTGATTTGAAAACAGAGAATATTGAATTTACACCTATTAAATACTATAATAACAAAAGTACGTTGAACGAATTGCTTGAAAAACCTGAGGGTGTACTATCTATCATCGACGATGCTTCAAAGAAGGGACTGAGTAGCACATATATTTCAGGTAACTATATAATGTATACAGGGTGTTCCAGAATAAAATGGTAATTTCTCGTATACAGATAGAACATGTAAAATCATGCCACAAGCTCTTATAAAAATGTACTATCTAAAAGAAGCTACTAGAAACTGATCTTCAGCGAAATTTTTATTATATAGCAGCCAGCTGGGGCCTCACATGATCGTGTCCTATTTTGCGAGTGAAGAATTGTAGAACAACATACTTTGACACTAACCTTTTTTACCTTTGACAACACAATTAAGAATTTAGTTACTGTAGTCTCTTTTTTGTATTTTTTAAAAATGTACTTATTGCGCTTTTTTATTGCAGACAATATTTGTAACCAAGAAAAGCAGAAAGTCTTCATATACGATGCATCAAGTTTCACCATAGCACATTATACAGGAAAAGTAACGTACAATTGCAACGAAATGGCTTCTAAGAATAGAGATTTTTTGCCTCCAGAAATCATAGAGACTATGAGAATGTCTGAAAATCCTATCATCAGCATGTTGTTTACGAATAAGCTCGACAGAACGGGGAATTTGATATTATCGTTTGAAGAATTTCGTAAAAATAGATATAACTTTTCCTCGAAGGTTAGTGGCAAATTCACTTTTCATAATTTACAGGAGAATTGTCATCTCCTCACAAATCTATAAAACTCAACTGATATCCCTCAGCTTCCATCAAATTTTGACAATAGAGCCATTATAAGACGTGAAACGATCCACCGGAAGCTGTTAAATTCTAGGTGAATGTGAGTAGACTACAGAAAGCGAAGCATTCACCATAAATTAAAATCATGCTTACCTACGTTTTGGTCATACTGTCCTGTCGTATTGTATTGCAGATCTTGTAGCTTCATTAACACTAAACATATATAAGTTGTAGCGAAAAGGTAATTTACACTAATTTTCTTTTGTAGTCATCAAGTAGTCGCCAATATTCTCAAATAAAAAAGATGCGTACCCAAGCTACAATCTTCAAGACCCTTTGCGTGGAGCTACTGAAAGAGCTGTCTGTAGGAAGTGGTTCTGGCAGTACCCATTTTGTCAAGTGTATCCGTACTGATCTTCGCCGGACCCCAGGCAAGTTTAGGAAGGAGTTGGTTAGACAGCAAGTGAGAGCCATGGTTATTACTGAGGCTGCCAGGATCAGAAAGGAAGGGTACTCGCAAAGGATTGGATTCCAAGAGTTTCTCAGAAGGTACGTGACTCTAAACTATACTGAGTGACAAAAAAAGGTAAACATCTATGTATGCTTATCAGAATTCAAGAACTTTTTATATATATATATATATCCTTTAATTCCTTTGGGTAGAAGTCAAAGTACACTCTTATAACTTAAAATCTCAAGCTTTCGAAGAATTTTTTCTTCATCGTCTGGAGTAAGTCGGCAAGATTGTTGCTGAAATTGTTTTTTAAACAACAGTGAAGGGAACACATAGTCGACGAATAAAAAACTGTACCGATGAGGTTCGATTAGGACGAAATTATTTTATTGTTAAATGGCAAATCATTTTGAGAGGTTTTAATTAAAATTAGGCGTTGATTGTTTTTGGAAGAAATTTGGAGATTTTGAAAATTCCCCGAGATTTCATCTTTTTTCCACGGATAACCTCCACATAATCCCTTTATTCGTCGACTATGTGTTCCCTTCACTGTTGTTTAAAAAACAATTTCAGCAACAATCTCGCCGACTTACTCCGGACAATGAAGAAAAAATTCTTCGAAAGCTTGAGATTTTAAGTTATAAGAGTGTACTTTTGCAATACTTTGCCTTCCACCCAAATAAATTAAAGGATATCTTCTCCTAACAGTTAAGGCAATTAACTATGAATACTATATATATATGTATATATATATACAGGGTGACTTTGAAGTTGAGTCATTAATTTTCAGATAATGATTGTAGAAGGAAGACAAACCAAAATACTTGTGTAAAAATAAAAAATAAATTAAAAAAAAAATTTACCTTGTTTTATAAAGTATCTTCCCGACAAGTATTTCAGTGCGGACCTGTATTTGATCGTGAGGTCTTGGAGCACCGGCATGCCGTCCCCTGTGAGGTCTTAAGTCACCTGATTCACGAGCCCGTTGTACTACATTAACAAAGGCACGAGGGGTTGGTTGCACTCGGTTGGGAAACCGACCTGCATAAACATGTGCCATTTTTTATTTCGTTTGAGCCACGCAACAGACACCACTATTCACTCACGCGTTACCGACTGACACTGACTGTATACAACTGAATAAAATAATTGTAAAAACATCGTTCCAAATCCTTTCGCTTTTTTGTTTCCGATGCGATGAACCGATAAGGCGGATTATATCCGTTGTTGCCAAACACGAGCACATAATATTATTATTGAGACAGGGCGGTACTCAAACTTCCAAAGGGCTATAACTTTGTTACTTTAATTTTACCAGAAAAATGGTAAAGGAAAAAAACATTTCTTTTGATCAGATCTACTCACTGTTAACATAATTGACTCAACTTCGAAGTCACCCTGTATATATATATATATATACAATTAATTGTTAATTGGGAAAATTGGCGATTGACAAGTGATTGACGCGACACTTGTCATCTGTCGACGCTTTATCTTTCCGTGCCGTCCCCCTCTCCACGTGTTGCGAGTACAGAAGGTTAGAATCTGCATTCCGATTGTTTCAACAAAATGTCGTCCCACATGTAATATTTTTAACTTGTTCGGGTGGATTGATATTTTTAACATTTAACGAAGGTATCTGTCGTTTTACAACAAACCCAATGACCCCGTCCTTTTGCTTTTATACTGATTATAATTTCGATCTTCTCTACGTTCGTTCTGAAACACCTTGTGGCTGCAACCTCACGGACGAGTAGGTTGTCTGACAATTCTGTCCTGTTTTCTTTGCTAGCATCACAATTGTGTTTTCAGAATTCCTGATGAAGGCTCCATAGAGAATGCCGAAAGCTTGATTTTATCGTCAAAAGAGTCAACTTAAGCCTAAGAGTTTTGCCAGTTTTCCCAATTAACAATTAATTGTATTTTGTACCCAACTAGTCATTGGCTTTGGCAATGACTACCGCTGATATATATATATATATATATAAAGAGAAAATGATCATGCGGAGAAAGGTATATAACAAAAAGTAGGAAAATAATGGGCAAAATCCGCAAAAAGGAGGAAAGTGGATTCGAGCAGGAAATAGGATAGGTAACCCGAGCGATACGTATTTCTGCTGGTTGGATACGACAGGTTGGCGTTTTTTCTTATCGCAGATATTGGGTGCAACCTCTCACAGCTGAACATCGGCGTAACAGTTTGCTCTGGTGTAGAGAAAGAATTCTATGGGACCGGGAATGGGATCAGGTGGTCTTTAGTGACGAATCCCGCTTCTGTTTGGGGATACACGATGGTCGAGCAAGAGTGAGAAGGTGACGTGGTGAAAGACGTGACCCAAAATTTGATAGAGTGCGCCACGTTCACCACACCGCACCGTGGGAGTTATGGTATGGGGTGCTATTGCTTATGGGAGCAGACCACCACTAATCTTCATCAGAGGTATATGTCAGCCCGACGCTACATTCAGGAAGTAGTGGAGCCTCATCTTATTCCATACCTAAACACCATCCAAAAAACGATTTTTCAGCAAGACAATGACAGACTGCAGGTTGCCAGAGCATCGTTAGCATTTATGGATCAACATCGCATCAACCGTTAACCTTGGCCACCACGATAGCCTGACCTATCTCCAATTGGACATGTCTGGGACATGATAGGTTGCAGGCTCTTGAATTTGTAACACCCTCCACAGACTTTAGCAGCTCTTACTCACGAAGTGGCAGTAGCCTGGAATGAGATACCCCAACAGGATATCGACCACCTTATCAGCACGATGCCCAGGTGTGTAAATGAGTGTATAAGAAATCTCTGAAAATTAACCATTTTACTAGTAAGGGTTACTGAACATATGCATATGCCAAAAATTATTAAAATCGGATAAACATACGTAGGTGTTCCCCTTTTTCTGTCACTCAGTATATATTGTTTCACTTTTAAGCTACTACTAAACCTCTGTACTCGGTGGACAAGCATTCATTCACTATATATAGGTAGCAAGAAATGGACGTCCATATCCTTATTATAAATATGATCTCTTTCAGGTACAAATTTCTAGCCTTCGATTTTGACGAAAATGTCGAAATATCTGGAGACAACTGCAGACTCCTGTTGATACGCCTCAAGATGGAGGGTTGGGCATTAGGAAGGTCCAAGGTGTTTCTCAAGTATTACAATGAAGAGTATTTATCCAGGCTCTATGAGACGCAAGTGAGGAAGATTGTGAAGATTCAGAGCATACTTAGAGGATTCTTGGTAAAGTGCAAGCTAGCTAAGCAAGTGAAAGAACAGGAACATGAGTGCAGTAAGTTATAGTGCACCCTGTAGGAGTTATTGGCAAATAGCAATCAGGTTTAAATACTTTGGTGCAGTATTATATCTATTATATTGCTTAGAAAAGACTAAATAAATATATTAAGAGTTCTTATAGCTTATTCTTCATTGAAAAGAAATTATATACGATGGTGAAGCGTCATAAGGCAACTGTTCTCATTGAGCAGGTTAGGCATATCTTCAAATGACATTTATTTTTCACTGCTGACGACTTGGAAGCTATGTATGTGTAAGATAGGAGTTGAATTGGTCAGGTCAATGAAGATATGTTTTTTAGTTGAAACTATTCAAGAAAGGAGGAGACGGAAAAGTAGCATTTTGACAGAAGACGAAGCTGCTGGAATCTTACAAAGAGGTAGGCAGTTTTTCAAATTACTTAATATACGTACAACATTTGTTTTTAAAAGTACATCGATCGTAGAAAACAAAATACTGTGTAATTGCAGCATATAAAAGAAGATCAGCTAAGCACACTCAAAGTACACTAGAGCAGCTACAAGAAGCTGACCGTATTTTTATTAGACCTTACGCAGCCAAGTGGCAGAAAAACTCCATATTTTCAGTTCTCATGAGATATCGAGCTGTTAAACTTCAACATTTCTTCAATTTGTCCCAACAGGTAAGTTCAGCATGTTTTAATAAATGTAAATAAAAACCTTTCTCGACTATTAGTTTACCCAAAGCACAGCTATTTCTTGTATTGAAAAAATAAGATGTTTCCTCTCGAGTTACATATTGTTAGAAGACTGCCATATGATATTTTATATTCACAAAGAACTGGTAAATCCTAAGTGTCGTGTACAACAAACGTAAAGTACACAAAAAAGTTTGCACTTGTGCTTGGCGTTGTTAAAACTAAAAGTACAAAGAATAATAATAATAATAATAATAATAATAATAATAATAATAATAAGAATCGACTGACAAGAGAGTACTATATGCATATAAGGCTTGTTCTCAAAACGGAGCTAAGTTCAAAAAACAAGGTAATGGCTATTAATTCAATCGCTGTCCCTGTGCTGACATATAGTTTCGGTATTTTTGATTGGTTGAGAACCGATATACACAAGCTAGATAGGAAAACAAGAAAACTACTAACTTGTGAAGGTATGCATCATCCCAAAGCTGACGTTCAGCGTCTATACATTGCACGGCGTGATGGCGGACGAGGTTTAATAGAGTTAGAATATGCATATGACCTAGCCATTCTAGACATGTATGAATACCTGAGCTCGGAGAAAGACAAATATACAAAAATGTTAAAAATCCACGATGCCCAGAAACGTAAATACTCTGTTGAGAGAGAAGCAGCGAGTATAAAATCAAACTACCAAAGTGACAACTCTGGGACGTCGAACACAAAGAGCCAAATCAAGGCCAGCATTGCTAAACGCAGAATGGAAATATTGGAAAATAAACCATTGCGCGGCCAGTTCTACAGAGACCTCAGTAGACCAGCCGTAGACAAAGACGCTAGCGTTGCATGGCTCCGTAGTTCTGGTCTGAAGGGCGGAACAGAAAGCCTCTTGATTGCTGCTCAGGACCAAGCCCTCAACACACGCTATCACCAAAAGCGCATACTTGGTTGCGAAGTGGACAGTAAGTGCAGGATGTGCAATCAAGCAGAGGAGCACATAAGCCACATCGTGGCTGGATGTACAACACTCGCACCTACTGAATACACAAAAAGGCACAACAACGTAGCAAGGTATCTACACTGGCTAATGAGCAAAAGGGCTGGTATAGAGGTCTGCGATAAATATTATGAGCACACTCTAGAAAATAATAAAGTTGTAAACAATGAGGATGTTCGATTCATGTGGGATGTTCCCATCATCACTGATAGAACCATACCTGCGAACCGCCCGGGCATAGTGTATCTTGATAAAAGAACAAAAACCTGCTTACTAGTAGATGTAGCGGTTCCTAACGATTCGAACGTAATGCTGAAAGAAGCAGAAAAGTTAAGCAAGTATAAAGACCTGGAAATAGAGGTAAGCAAAATGTGGAACGTTAACACCCGAACAGTTTCAGTCATTGTAGGAGCCATAGGGACCGTTAGAATGGGGTTGCAGACCAACCTCTCACAACTACCAGGAAAACCATCTGTTGCTGAAGTGCAGAAAATAGCACTACTGGGCACTGCTCACATTATCCGCAAGGTATTAGGGTGAATCGCTTTGATCTCGGGTAGAGATCTGGATTCGCTTAATACTGTCACAATAGGACAAGAGGAAAACACTAAAATAATAATAATAATAATAATATGGGTACTATATTATTATTATTATTATTATTATATATTATACCCTTAAGGGTATCAATTGCAGAAACATCCTCCAGTTCTATTAACGCACCAGTTATATGCAGATAACCTCAAATTGTACGCTGCTGGCGAAAGGCAATTAGTATCGATACTAGAGATTGTGAATAACTTCTCAGAAGACATAAAAGTAGAGCATGGTCTACAGAAATGTACTTGTCTGCACATACGAAGAGGAAAGGTACAATGCAGTGATAATGCGGAAATGCTTAATGGCCTTAAGGTCCAAACACTTACTGAGAAAGACAGATACAAATATTTTGGTATCTTACAGGCATCAGAACTTAATGCTGCTAAAACTAAAGAACTTGTTATCGCCAGACTTTCCTTCTGACAAAACTAAGCAGCAGTATCATTATTCAAGCTTTGAACACTTGGGCCTTCCCTGTAATAATGTATACATTTGGTGTTATAAACAACACTCAAAAAAATTGATATTGATGTAAGAATAACACTAAGTACCATTCATCATCACCTTACGTCATGTATCTGTAGACTGAATCTCCCACGGAACAAAGGTGGGAGAGGTTTAATCAGTCTTGAGACTGGCAAGCGAACAAGAGAAAGCGCTGCAGCAATAGTTTGAATCGTCAACCAACCCATTACAAATGGCAATTCGTGTAACAGGAACGGATCATTTAATCTTCAAGAACAGACCTGATTCATATACAGACAATAGCAGGATTACAGAGTGGCGACAAAAGCCACTACACGGTGGATTTTTCAATGCCCTCAATAATACATTGACTATGGGCTCTCTATTATACCTTAAATTAGGATACTTGTATCCTGAAACAGAGGGTGCCTTAGGTCCGTATCGTCAGTCGTCCCTACAATTGTAGGGCGCCTTTATGGCCTCCTTGATTGTCATAGTTTTATACTTCTCCGTGTCAGCGCTCAATTTGGAGGTTATGTCACAAACATCTATTTGCATCAAATTGGGCTTGCTTTTGAGTTATATCATGTTTTATCAGCCTGAAATTTCCTACAATTTAAAAAGAAAACATATCTTCACAGTAGGAGAGTGACACGGGACAAGTGCGATCTAGAAATTTTTGAAGGAGAGAAAGGAGTATGACAATCAAGGAGGCCATAAACGCGCCCTACAATTGTAGGGACGACTGACGATACGGGCCTTACATGCTATCCAAGATCAAGTGGTCCCTACCAGAGCACGCATCAAGAATATACAAGACCAACCGATTGGCTCTGACAGATGCCGTCGATGCAATACAACAGCTGAATCAGTCCAACATGTTGTGTCTCTGAATGTCCATCCCTAGCTCCAACGGGATACCTGGCGAGGCATAATATGGTCGCAAAAATAATACATCAGGAATATTTGCAAAAACTACCTCATCTTGGAACATCTCAAGCCTGCATACAAATACGTTCAAACATGAATCATCAGGTGTCATTATTTATTGGGATACAAGCATATTGACCAACACATCGATAAATCACAACCGTCCCGACATACTAGTAATCGACAAAAGTAAAGAGATTACTTATGCGGCAGAGAGGACGGACGTTTTTGGGATGGGTAGTACTCTCCGCGTCCGTCTACGAGAGAGGTGGGGAGGGTGCCGTTTGACTCGTGAGATCCTAGCATTATTTTCCAGTTGTCGTTATGGAGCCTTGGACGGTGGAGCACTGCGTTTTCGCCTATGATTGCTTCGTCCGAAATAATGAGTCAGTCATCGTCGTACAGCGTGAGTTTCGTCTCCACTTCAACATTCATCGGAATAGAGCTGTACCCTCTCGAAACACCATCCTTCGTTGGGTTGAATCACTTCGCAGGCGTGGTGAACTGATCAACAGAAGACCAAGAGGAGCGCCGTGAACAGTTCGAACTCCTGAAAATGTTGAACACGTTGGACAGGTCTTTCTTCGCAGTCCGACTCGATCTGCCCGGAAACATGCTGCTGCACTTCGCCTCAGTGATCGTTCGGTAAGGTGAATTTTGCATATGCATCTCCGCTTTCACCCCTACAAATTGGCCATTGTGCAACAGTTACAGCCCGGAGATTATGCACAACGAATGAACTTCGCAGGTGAGATGGAAGCACTGATCGATCAAAATGAGAATCTCATTTTGTTTAAGAGTGACGAAGCCCACACAGCCCGAGCATCCATGGATGTTATTCGCCCTCTCTTCCCTGGTCGCCTTATTTCCAGGTTTGGCGATGTTCATTGGCCTCCTCGGACCCCAGATTTATCCATATGCGATTTTTTTTTATTTGGCTAGTGTATACGCGAACAAGCCCCGAACTCTCGACGAATTGAGGGGCGAAATTCGCGTGGAAGTCGCCCAACTTGAGAGAGCGATGTTGGAGAGAGTCTATGCGAACTTCCAAGAACGCCTCCAGTACTGCATTAACGATTTCGGCCACCACATGCCTGATGTGATTTTCTACACTTGACTGTCTCAAATGCTATTTCTTTGTGAACCTGATTCCATCAATAAATTTGTTTTCGAGTAAAAATTAACTATTTTATGATTTTTTTAAAACCGTCCATCCTCTCTGCCGTACCCTGTATCATAGACATTGCGGTGCCAGTTGACGAAAATGTACAAAAAACTTACACGGAAAAAACAAACAAGTATGAACCGCTCTCACACGAGATCAAACAACTATGCAAATTTAAGCAAACATTTATACTGCCATTTGTTGTTTCTGCCAACAGCCTCATCCACAAAAACTTCCACATAAACCTCAAAGTCTTCAAGCCAGCCCTTAACTATTTAAGGGAATGCCACAGGGTAGCAATCCTCGGTACCTGTAGAATAGCCAGGAAGTTCTTTAACTAACTTTGCCTATGGCTGACCAGGTATTGACCATAAAAAAATGAAACAGCAGGTTATCAATACTTACCTTGGGAGGCTTGTAGCAATACTTAAAACAAAGCTCTCGACCCAAAATACAGCAGCCTCTGTCAATGCATATGTTGCTTCGGTTTTCACATATACGTTTGGTATACTACAATGGACTGAAGCCGCATTAAAACACATTGATATCAAGACTAGATCTGCCTTCAGGAAGCAGCGCACTCATCACCCCCATAGCGCTACTGAAAAATTCCACCTGTCTAGAAGCGAAGGGGGCAGAGGAATACCAAGTATCCAGGCCAGGCACTATCAGCAGGTGCAATATCTAAGAGATTACTTCCTAGAAAAGTCAACGACATCTGACTTACATAAAGTGGACAAGAACCAAACACCGCTGAATCTAATAGAACCCAAAACCCTGCAGCAAAGGTGAAGTCCACCACCGACCTCATCGAACAATGGAAATCTAGACCATTACATGGACGCTATAGGAATCGAATAGATGACTGCGTATTCGACAAGAAAGGATCGCAGGCGTGATTATAGTCAGGAAACCAATTTAAGGAGATGGAAGGATTCATTGCTGCTATTCAAGATCAAGTAGAGCCAACGAGAGCTTATAAAAAGCGCATTTTGAAGCAGAATGTACCAAACGTGAGATGTCGGATATGTGGAAGTAAAGAAGAGGGCATTGACCACATAGTAGCAGGATGTTCTTCTTTGGCACCAAAGCAATATCTTGAACGACATAATGATGTTGGGAAAATTATTTATAAGGCACTGGTACGTCACCACATGAAAGACACCATAGACAACTACACCCCTTCACCAATACGAGAAACGGAGACCTGCCGCCTATATTGGAACAGAAAGGTCGTAACAGATAGACCAATTCCTAATAATATCCCTGACATTATCCTAACAATAAAAAATACACGGATTACATTCATCATTTCCATAGAAGTACCCTCTTCCACAAAACTCAGAAACTACTCAGGCAGAGAAGATCAACAAATACCTACCACTTGCGAACGAACTAAAAGAGGTGTGGGAAATTGAGAAAGTAGTCATTGTGCGTGTTGTTATTGGAACAACAGGAGAGATATTAAACAAACTACATCACAGCATAGAGAGACTACAGCTTGATAAGCGATTATATATCCAGCTTCAGAGAGCCGCGCTATTAGGGACTTGCAGGATAGTGCGTAGGGTTCTTGGCGATGAAAATAACACCTCATAAAACACTTCTATCCTTGGTTTAGGCCCAGAAGAAGGTTGAAATACCCTCGTAAGGAGGAGAACATCACAATGAATAATCATAATAATAATAATAGATTTATTTATCTTCAATTGTAGTTATAGCCAAATGAATAACTGAACAATGTAAATACTATATAATTGGTGAGCTAAATTATACGGAATGCTAGAGAAATATCCAGAAATTTATAACTAAAGTATTAAATAAAATAATTATTTGTACGCGAGTTAGTGATAAGTAAAATATTATTGATTTTGATATTGATTTTCCATGTCTACAATTTTGTAGATGGGGCATCTTGATAAATGTAAAATCCATTTCTTGAGACCTTTTTTAAATGATCTAATCGATCGAATTGATTTAATTACTCTAGTGTGAAGTTATAGGATTTTGGTACCAAGAAAAAAAGAGATCGTTGAGTGATGGTTCTTGATGTTCGTGGAATATACACTGATTTTGATTGAATCCTGTTCTGTAGTTATGAATGATACGCTTTAAGTGTTCCGAATGTTTAATATAATGTACAGTTCTATTCATAAAAAAAGCGTACACGAATTAGAATGAGAGGAAACCTTAACCTTATTTGCGTAAAACCGGCTTGTCTAAATGATTGTTTATTGGAGGTTATCACACGTCGTAGATTGTCAAAAATGCAAAGCATTGACGTCGGTGTAATTCATTTCGAAAATGCGTGGTGGTAACGTTTGATAAACTTTGACAGAAGAAAATAAAAATGCCTCGTCAGTTGTCTGAAGTTGAAAAGGCTCAAATTGTATCAAGAATCGAAGAAGGATGGTCAATCCGTGCTGTAGCGCAGTTGTATAATAGAAATAAAAAAACCATATTGAAAATTAAGCAACGCTGGGAACAGGAAGATTCCCTAAAGAGGAAAATTGGTTCAGGTCGTCCCAAACTTACCAACCCTGAACAGGATGCTGCTTTTTTGGGATATTTAAGAAATAATCCATTTGCAACTGTAAGGGATGCTGTTATTGATACAGCATTTCCTGCCTCCCAACCTACCGCCAGCAGGAGAGTAATGAAATCTGAACTAAAATGTCACCCTGCTGCGAAAAAAATGTTTCTTAACGAAGAACGGCGACAATCAAGGATTATTTTTGCTTTAAATTATATATATCGCAATCCTCAATTTTGGAACAGGGTCATTTTTACTGATGAAAAGACGTTCCAGTCGACTTATAACGGCCAAATTCGTGTTTACCGTCCAAACAATACCAGGTTTGAAGAGCGATATACTAACCCCCTCAATTCTAGACCTGGGCGTTTCTCTGTAAATGTATGGGGCTGGATAAGTGTTCATGGACCTGGTGTTTGCTGGCAAATAGAGGGAAGATTTAATGCCGGAAATTACATTAACATTTTAGAAAACATATTGTTACCAAGTGCTGAGCAAATATATCCCAATAATACGTTCATATTTCAACAAGATAATTGTCCAGTTCATACTGCCAATGCTGTAACCCACTGGTTTCAAACCCATAATGTGGAAGTGCTGCCTTGGGTCGCTTATAGTCTCGATATCAATCCAATCGAAAATATTTGGGGTATAATCGTAAAAAAAATATATAATCGAAATTTTAGGCCACAAAATTCAGAAGATTTATGGGAAATAATACATGCGTGCTGGGAAGAGCTTGATCCAAATATTGTATCAAATATAATTCAGTCAATTCCGAATAGACTGGCTCAAGTAATAGAAAAACAGGGATATATGACCAAATATTAGATTTTATTTATTCTTGTTAATCGTTTTTTGTTTCTATTGTAATTTTTATAAAACTTTTAAGATGTAAAATAAAGAAATACATTTTTGTTACTGTATTGAACTAATGCCCGACGCCCATGCTTTGCATTTTTAATAACCTTTAACATGCGCTAAGCCGGTTTTACGCAAATAAGGTTAAGGTTTCCTCTCATTCTAATTCGTGTACGCTTTTTTTATGAATACAACTGTAGTAGACCACTATAAAAATAAATTTGTCTGCAATCTAATAGTCGAGCCTCCATATAGAGTGAATGACCTGGATAAGTAAGTTCTTTATGGAGGATCAACTTTAAAAATAATGTTTGGATGACATCAACCTTTTTGCAATTATTATTCATAATACCTCCCTCAAGCCAAAATTCCGTAAAATAGTAGAAGGTAACAAGATCATAAAGATTATACATCTCAGTATCTTCACCAGCTACTCTGTATGGGCATTCCACTTCAAATGTTTGTCCAAAATTACGCCTAAATATTTTATTTTATAAATTAACTGAATATCTTTGAGAACACTGCCTGTATGAAGGTGAAGCTTACTAAGTTGTTGTGAGAGCCCATCGTCACCAGAAAATGATATATAGTATGTGCTTTTGTAATTGTCATAGCGACAAACAACTATTTGCTTATGCAAAACGACAGAAATGACCACAGATTACAGAATTTGGACCACGACTTATTAAATGCTTTTTCATTTTTCAAGAGTGGTTACCTATCCTTCTAAAAATGTATTGTCATTGTATGTATACATTGTCTACGCGTTGCTTACATCGGAACATAGACATCTAAAGTATATGCGCCACTGCGCATCACTGATATCCAATACATCATTTGTTATTTCAGGTTCATATTTACAATCAAGCTGTTTTTCACAATATGCAAAAAGTACAAGAAGGTGTGGACGTACGCGCTATTGATCCAAGAGCCACTGTTTCACTGTGGCTTGGAGAAGTCAAGACAACTGTTCACAAACTCCATTTTCGTTTAGATGAATTACCATTTTATGACACATCGTTCATGTGCGATTCAGGATCAAACTTAGGGTATGCAGATGAGAAACATATCTCTAACGCTTTTAGTTTTCTTAGATCTCAATCCGCAGTTTAAAGCAAGATCAAATTATAAATCTCACGCACTAGATGATTGAATTCAGTAGAATTTGTAGATATCCCCATTAATCTGCTGGAAAAATTCTTAAGTGTAAGACCATTTTGTAAGATAAGCAAAAATAGGAATAATCGACATCGTGAATGTAAAATATGGCTTTGGAAGTTAGATTTAGAGTCGTGTAGCAAACTATTGTGAATTTTTCCAAATTTTTATATTTTTGCATTTAACCTTCCCTGTCGTCCAGCTTCCGTGGCATCGCTCAGATAAGGTAAACAAATATAACCCATAGAATCAAGCTTATTGCTATACATTGTAGTTAGTTAGTTTTTATATTATTTTATTTTGTAAATGTGTCTGAAGCTTGTTTAAATGCAAACTCACCTGGCTGGTAACATGTGTCGCATAGACTGTCAGAATATCTGGCGCATGTTGGGCAACATTTGCCCGGTAAATTTACTTCGTAATGTACCACATTTCGTGTGGTAAAAGTTCTACAAACTAAAACGTCCGCGGCACTTACTTTTAGGCTTTGCAGTGAGATCACGTAGAACAAGAAAGTACTTCATTTTCCAACAAACAACATATTCCCTTCTTTCGCGTAGGTTGTTGCTTAGTAGCTGCAGCAGTATCAATTTGGAACTTTGAATACTGATATCTGACGATTAATGACTTTTCAGGAGTTTTGCTGAAAGAGAGGAACCCTGGGACACTCCGTATCGCTGGAGGGAGACTCAACTACAAATAAAAGAGGTGAATTTCAATGAGAACAAAGAAAGAGGAATGTTGTCTAATACCGAATATTGTCGGGATCCCGATGAAGCACTACCGTCTCTTCCTGAAATGGAAGATGAAACTGAAGGCTCTGATGAGGTGGAAGACGAAAAACCAGATATGGAGAAGCTGGAGAAAGACTGCTTCAATAAGAATATTCGAAACAATAAGCCTATACAACCAAAGCCGAGGACTAAGCTAAAGAAGCAAGAGCCAGAATTTAAAAGCGTCAACGTACATAAGTCAGATTATACACCTACATACAAAGCCAAAGTTGATCGTGAAAATTTCATCAACAACTCATCACCAGCCAACAAGGATTTTGAGTTCATCAAAGCCACTCCAGTTACTGTGAGACCAAGGTACTCAGTCAACCCTATCGAAGAACTCAGAAGTTTGGCAAGAAGAGACAGTGATGCCAAGGAAGATGACCCTCCCTTCAATTTTCAAGGCATGCTCAGGAAAACCAACTTTAGGAGAGATTCGTTGAAGAATGCCTTGGAGGGTAGAAGAGACTCTTTGAAGAACGCATTGGAGGCAGTTAGGAGGTTTTCTTTGCCAAATGATGCTGACGATGAGAAGGGTGATAGGCAGAAAGGTGATAAAGGCATGCGAGCTAAACAGATTTCTTTTGAGGTTATGCCTGGGCTGGTTATGGAAGGAGTAGAGGTTGATCTTTAGAGCTTCATGAAGAGTTACCAGAGAGATTTTACGTACTTTATAATTAAAATACGGAAAAAGTCTTAGTAGACTGGAAAAATTTGTTCCAAATAGCAATTATATTATTGCTAGTGGTCTCTATACTCCCTAGGTCTGCTAAAAAATATATTGTTTTCCTTTAGGTTAGATTGGAACTTAAGAACACTGAACATCATTTTGGTTACACTCTAGCTTATCCATGGCGTAGTTTTCAGTTCTATGTTATATATAACTGCTGTTATAGGAATTTTGAATAAATGGATAGCTCAGGTTACGATCTTATTCGTTCCCATCTGGTTCACACAACCTACTGTATCTCCTACAGAAGGTACAGGGTGCGGCAGCATACCTTCCTTTTTGAAAATGCGCGCAATTCAGTCGGTTGATGACGTAGCATAGTGCTAATGCTCTCGTTCGAGATACGGTACCGATACCATAAAGTTTCATCCCGATACGGTTCAGTCGCTATCATGAGTTGGGATAGTGAGGAGTATGCTTTTGACGTTGAGGCTTACTTTTCGAGTGGATGTTCTGTGATCAGGAGCTGGAGTTTCTTGTCCCATTCGATCACCTCAAAGCATTGAGGCAGTGAGAGCTCTAATGTTGCGTCAACCACAGCGTTCTGCGTGTGGACTTTCCGATCGTTCTCTAAGGATAATTTTTTATGCTGATCTCGGATTCCAGGTGTGAACATCTTCTCGAACTCGTTGTTGCTGAGGGTGCTATTGTCTATTTTAATGATGAAGCCCATTTTCATTTGTGTGGATCCGTCAACAAACAAACCATGTGCTACTGGGCTGACACCAGGACTCGATAATTGCATCAAAGGCCTTCACATTCACCTAAAGTCACAGTGTGGGGTGCATTTTGCTTAGCTGGAATTATTGGTTCTTGGCTCTTTGAGGAAAATAAAGACCCAGTGACAGTGAACTCGGACCGGTATGTAAATATATAAAATTCTTGCCCCTTGTGATTTTTTTCTGTCGTATTAATGACCTTGTTGCGCACTTGGAGATTACCAACAAGGCTGCTATCGTCAAAGGCTGTGACATACTTAGTAACAATAATCAACGAAATGCAAGCACTTTTCATTACTTTTTGCATTGTTTGGCCACATTTAGAATAAAAAACAATCCGTACAAAAATCATCAAAATGCTGAATAGTGTTTAAGGTTGTCCATTATTGCTATTGATTAGTGAAACGTAATTTGCTAGTTAGTGAAATACGTTAATTAATTAGCTAAGTTGGTCACGATGAAATTTGCTTATCACTATGTCAGTTAGACCCGAATTCGAGCGGACATTCTGACCATAACTTGAAGTTCATGTTATTGAGAGCTTGATGCGGTTGTAGCTGAGTAATGGAAACCGTTAATAAAATGAATATCAATTTATCAGGTGATTTGACAAAAAGATGTAAGGTAACTTACCTATTTACTATCTGACGCTGAGAAGGCTTCTCAAGATCGGCGCATACTAAGGTCATTTACTTAGTTGTTTTTACACTTAGTTATACAGTTTTACAGTTATAGGGTGTGAATCTATATGAAAAATTAATCTTAGTTTGCTTTATAAACTATGATCCAAACATGTTTCCTTACAAAAACTCGGGGTGTTGAAGTTTTAGGAAAAAAATGGAAATTAATAAATATTTTCAGAACCGCTTAGATATTTCACTGATATTTAGTACGTAGTGAAAGTTAATAATGTTGCATATTTTTCAATGCAAAAATAATTTTTAGCTTTAACAGTGGCGTGCGAACGGGTATTGACGTTGATATTTTTTAAGAAAAAAATGGTACGCCAATGATTTTTTGCCAAATAAAAGTTTTTTTTGAATTCCCCGTTCAATTTAAAACAAATGATCTCTCTTGAATTGTTTTCTTTGGATGCGCCATTTTTGACTAAAAAATAAAAACCATTCTATTGTCTAACTTGCAAAATTATTATTAATTTAATTGGAAAAATTAAACACATTAGGGGTAATGAACAACAACAACAACTGACAACATAAACATAAAAATAAAGCCAACGAAATGGTTACAAAAACTGTTGAAAATGGCCCCCTTCACTTAGTATGCATGCTTCCGCCCTCCTCATGGAGTTGCGCACTCCTTGAAATATCTCTGGAGTGTTTTTTAATCTATAACAAGCTGCAACTCTTTTTTCTCTTAATTCCTCTACAGTGTTAATGGGACTTGTGTACACCAGTGTCTTAAGATAGCCCAACAAAAAGAAATCTAAGCTGTTGATGCCTGGGGACCTTGGTGGTCATTCTTGGGGCTCGCCGCGGCCAATCCAACGATTTGGATAAACAGTTTGTAAATAATTACGAACCGGTACACTGAAATGCGCTGGTGCACCATCATGCATGTACCACATATTGTTTCTTATTACTAACGGAACATCATCAAGCAGCAAAGGCAACTGTTGTTGAAGAAAATTGAGGTAGGTCGGTCCGTCATAAAGTGGTTGCCAATAATTCCTGCCCATACATTAACCGAAAATTGGTGTTGGAAATGGGTTTCGGTTACGGCATAGGGATTTTCTTCTGTCCACAAATGATTATTGTGGAAATTCTGAATGGCATTTCGAGAAAAATTAGCTTCGTCCGTGAACAGAATCATTGATTCAAATTGCGGATTTTGTGTAATTTTTTGAAGATACCACTGACAAAAGGTCACACGCCCCGGAAAATCAATGGGAAGTAGTGCCTGTACTCTTAAAATATGGTAAGGATATAACAAAAAATCCACTAAAATTCCCCAAACAATTGGCAAATTTTTGAGTGTCTAGCGATCTTCCTCGTACTCGTTTCAGGATGTTCTTCGACTTCGTGTAGCATTGTTTTCTCAATTTCAGGTGTTCTCATATTTAGAGGTCTACCTTCAGATGTTTCTTTTGGGACAGAACCAGTTTCAACAAGACGACGATGAGTATTAGGAAAGGTTCGAATATCCGGCAAAGCACGATCGGGATATCTCTGGTGATAAATCCGTCTGGCTTGCTCACTATTACCATCGGCAAGGTCATATACTCGTACGTAATGCATTTCCACCATTTCTGCATTTGAATAATTCACCATTATTAACAAGATATACTACACAATGAAAAAGATGTCACAGCGAACAGATTTGAATAACAGAGACTTGTCAGATGACATATTCCAGAGCAAGGTATTTATTGCTAAATTGCATTCTCCAATTATTACATTAATTTTCTCGCATATCATTAACACCCTGTATATTTAATATATGAAAAACTGATCAGAAGAATGTTCAAAATATATGACCTTTTCACTTTAGCTCTGTTCTAGAGACTTAATTGTCAAGAGTGGCAGACTGGAGATACTCGAATAAAGTCTGACAGTCGGTTGCGGTTAAGTGGAGCTAAACTACGTGGCTACGAAATGAAACAACTGATTATCGAGAGTTTAGGATCACCAGCTTATTCACTCTCAAGATAAAATTATTATTTTAGAAAAGAAAAGTCTGGGCTGTTTAGTTGGGTTACCCTGTCAGCCTAACAGGTCAGTATCAAGCACGAAACTGAATTTATTTCGTGATGATTAATTAAAAATTCTAACTTAATTTAAAGAATTAGCTCATCGAATATGGAAGAAGACCTAGAGATATAAACTGGATAAGTTGTATAAGATCCAGAGATTGAGACCGTTTCATTATTAAAAGTAATAATGAGATGTTGAAAGATATTAAATTGATCTATAACAGAGACATAATTATGTTACGAAGAATGCAAATGGCCATTGAATGAATAATTAGTGGAATCATGACCAGGAAGGAAATTGAGAATTTAAAGAACAGAAAACAGAAACTCAAGCACAGAACTGAGTGCATGCTCTTCCTGAAAGATCCTTTGGGACCGAGAGTTCAGACAGATGAACTTCTACGAGCACCCCTTTTGTGTGTCTATCTGCCACTGTGCGGCTCTTCCGCCATTTTTAGGATAAAGTTTTTGTCGGAAAGCTGTAAACCCATGGGTTACGGTGGTTCGGTTCACTCCAGATGTTTGACTTCTTTTTCATTATGTAAGATGCCCTTATTTTCTCATAAAATGCACAAATGTGTCTTCATGTTACAATAGATACTGCCAGCAAGAATGCAAATGTTAGATACTCCCTTGAACGTTCCTTAGAAAATACTTCTTTTTCATTTAAGATCCAAGAAGAGATTATTCCTCAAACGGCACTCAAACCTGAACGAACGCTTCTAAATGTGATTGTAAATGCTGTACAAATACGTTTTTGTAATTTCGTTTAGCTCCTAGACTAAACTGTCGATCGAACCGTACAGCAGACACAGCATGCGTCTCACAGAACACGCGTATAACTCTGCAAGAACCAACAAATCGAGCAGCAGGCATTAACTAATTCAGGTGATTTTTTACGTGCAACGCACTAAAAGGAAGCAGGATTTATGCGTTCGGAAGAGAGAAAAGTTGTTAGTAGACGCTCTGGTGGACAAATAGCAGAATTATCGTGCCGACAAAAGACCGGCGAGACAGCGAAATGATTTCCAAAGAGATGGGCGTAAACAGGGGCGTACGTGAGGGCTGAGTCTGAGGATGATAGACAATAAATGGTATGACTTTATTAGAATGCAAAAAATCTATTTTTTTCCCTCGTTCCTGCAAGTGAACAAAAATTGTTACAGTGGGGTAATTTGGGTGTCGGGCCGAGATTTTTTCAGCGAAGCACCAAATTCGTGATCTAAACGCCTGATTTACCCAAGAAACGAATTTCGACCGACATTCACAACCAGCTATAGGCGGTAAGTCAGGCAGCCGCCTCAGGGCGCCACGAATCGAGACCGATCAGTTAACGCCACCCCTCCCTCGCTCTTCAGTTATTAGAAACTAATGTCCCTAAAGTGGAGTAATTTCGGATGTTGTCATCTAAATGGTTACGTGTCGCGCCATCTGTCGATCTTAGCTGTAAACTGACATCAATCATAATCTAAGCACCCGATTAATCAAAACTGGTTTTGGTTAGAATTGTGGATTCTGTGAACATTTTCTTCAGAAATATGACATGAAACTTTGAAGTTCCTCCATGCAATATTTCCATTTTTGTCTTTCACAGTTACGAGCGATCGAAGATTCGCAGAGGTATTACATAAAAAATCGATATAAAGTCATTGAGATGACACGCTCAGGTACTACAAGAGAACACAAAGTGAATGACAGCTAGTTCTAAATGTCATTAAACTTCGATAAAACATCTCTTGTTGAGTTACATAATACCATACCATAGATACATTTGAGAAGTTGATTTCGAATATGGCCCTCAAATATGTTAAAGTGCCATGAATAAGTCACCTCTCCAACAGTTGTGGAATAATGATAAAATATTACTGCCTACGCCAATTAGCTAGCTAGCAAGTATTGTATTCGCAAAAAATTCCAACAATGAGATATCATGTTTCTTGGAGGTCACATGACCTGGAAAGCTGTGTCAATGAGTGACATCACTTTCATCGGTCCGCCTGTTTGTCTGTCCGCTGATCATTGACTATTCTAGAACTTAGAAAGTATCAATCGGATTTTGACGAAATTTTTGAAAAAAGTGACTTTTATACCAAGGATGAAAACGCCT